ACCACCATGCCTCACTTTCCCTAGTCACCCAGTCTTGCCCTGAGTGACTTTTTTTTGTTTCCCCTGATGAAAAAATTCCTCAAGGGGCAATGTTTTGCTGATATGGAAGAGGTAAAGCAAAACAAACAAACAAACAAATAAAAACAAACAAAAACCCCCCACCAAAAAACAGTGGAAGCACTAAAAGGCATCAAAATTGATGAGTTTAAAAATTGTTTAGAGCAGTGGAAAAACCATCTTGATAAGTGTATTCTGTCAAATGGAGAGTACTTTGAAGGTGACTGAAGTTTAAACATGTAAGGATAAATACACAATTTTTAATAAATAAATTCTGGGGTTTTGGGGGGAGTGCCCCCTTTATAATGTAGTATTTTGTAACTGGCTTCTTTTACTTAATGTAATATTTTCAAGTTTCATACATGTTGATGTATTGGTACTTTTTTTCCCTACTTTTTTAGAGCAATTTTAGGTTCACAGCAAAATTGAATTTTGCGGAGTTCCCACATAGCCCTTCTCCTTAGTGGCAGCCTCCCCCACCATCCCCCACATCCCATACCAGCGTGATACCAGGTTGTCACCTCAACAGACCACCATTGCCACATCGTTGTCAACCAAAGTCCATAGTTTACATTAAGGTTCACTAAATTTGGCTGGAAAATGCTCCTTTCTATGGATATATGGTTGAGTTGAAATCTACCGTCTTTGCCATTTGGTTTCTGTTTCCCCCATTGGTCCATTGTTCCACCTTTATCACCTGTTGTATCAGTTGAGGATTTTATTAATATTCTACTATATCAGTCTACTTGGCTTTTATATCTCTTCATTTCAAAGTTTTCATGGATTACGTTATAGAGTATGGCACAAATAATGCCCCTTTTTTTTATTACAAAGCCATAAGCATGTAATTCTGTAACATAACAGTATCACACTCAAACACATCACATGACATTTTAGGTGAAATGTTCAAATTGTCATGAGAGACATTCACATACCCTACCAACCCCGCGCAAACAAGCCTTACTTCTGCCGGACCCTATATGTCATTAACTTACCGGTCTACCATGCGTTAATATTAAACATCTTTGTCTGTAATGTAAGAACTTTACCCCCTTCTATTCTTTGAACCAGTAAGACTCTGACTTTCTTCATGCGTCCCAGCCACTCTGCTCTGCATCGCGTGGACTGAGGAGTGCCCACAGGTGGGAAGATGTGTCACTGTGAGTCTCAGGAGTCCGATTGCCTCCACTTTCTACCTGCATTCGGTGGCTCTCTCATTTTTCAAAATCGTTTTTGTATTTTATACCCAGTGTTTTGTATTGCTATTTGTGGGACAGTTTGTTCATTAAAATCTATTCCACCATTATCAGAAGTGGAATTCCCATTTTGTCATTTTTAACACTATAATAAGTACTTTCACATCCATTACCTAACTCAAAAACTTGACAGCGACCGCATGTGCCTGTGTCTCGTTTGCAGTCTGTTCCCCTGTGTCCTGGCTCGAGATGGCCCTCACCCTGCGTTGCATCTTATCTCTCCCTTTTTTCTTTGCGGGTCTTTATATAGAATCTCTGTGTATTTCACACATATACTTATATTTAATTATTTTTAACTTTATAAAAGTTTTGCTGAATTTACCAGAGACTTTTTTACTTACTATTATATTACATAGATTTGTCCATACTGTACATAAGTTGCTTTAGTTCTGACAATTGTATGTAATTCCGTTGTGTGAATATTCATCTCTTATCATGTTGCTGGACATTTGGGCTGTTTCCACATTTTTGTCCTTGTTAAGAGTCCTCCTATGACCATTTGTGTATTGCTCATGGTTATATACCTTGGAATAAATATTGTTATATTGAAAATGAATGTGAATGTTTAATTTAAGCCCATTTTACATTCCCACTACCATTCTAGAAGAGATTCTGTGAATCCACATCCTCTCCCATACTTGATAGTGTTAGGGTTGTTTTTTTTTGCCAGCTGGTGAGATATAAAAGGGTTTCACATTTTCTTAAATTCCTTGCTATATGAAGCATCTCTTTGTATTTTTATTGGTTAGACATGTTTTAGGTCTGCTAATGTTCTCACCCCTCTCATTTTTTATTGGTTTGTAGGAATTCTATACTTGGAATATCACTGAACTTGACCACCTATACTTAACTACTTTTAATTTATTAAAGAGATCTTTGACCTTTGAATCTGTCATTCTCTTTGACCACCCTGTTGAATTTGCAGACCCCTCCAAACTCTTGACTCCCTTATCTTGCTCCATTTTTAGCCCTTAGCACCTACCACCTTTCCCACATTATATACATATTTATCATTTTTACTGTCTGTCATCTTCTTACTGTTACATGTAAGGTGTTGTGCAATATAGAGATCAAGAGTAAGCATTTATAAGCTTTTATAATAGTGAAGTATTGTCATCATAGTTTTATGATATGAAACGAAGGAATCATCTCTAAAGAATTGGAAATCTTTTTAAAAATGGGTTCTTCATTACTTTGAAAAGCATAACCTAGAATCTCATACTTCCATGCCAGAGCATTTGAAAGGCTCTGAACAGAACAGAGAAGAAATCAATAACCACCTGTCATACCTCAAAGTGTTCAGGCTCTACACAAAATATAGTTGCTAACAAAGAGGAGGATTTGTTCTTTTAATTTAGTGAGGCACTGAGAGTTTTTTCAGTGTAAGCATTACTTTGTTTTATTAGCATTTCCCATGTTTATAGCTGAGCCTGACATGTGTCCCTTTATATATACCTCACGGTATCTGGAGCCCTTTGAAGTACAACTTTTAAAATGAAAGGGAGTGCAAGCTACTTAATTATATGAAAGTGAAGTACTGTATGCTGTTCAGCCTAATCCTTTATGTTCTCAATTTTCACGTTTTAAGGTTTCCAGCCTGGAGTGTGATTATTAAATTTGTGCCCCACCTCTCTGGACTAGCTAAAGGTGCAAGTTAATTTTTGAGAACCACCTAGCTTTGTGACCTGGCGTGTTAACCCCCTGATTTCTGGATAACTAAATGTGTGCCTTGGGTACTTTTGTGCTGTAGTATCTCCACATAACATGGTAGTGGTACTGTATACCTTCTGAAGTGAGTAACGTTCTGGGAAATTCTTAGATGAAATCTATAGGAACTACAAACTCCAAGTAATATTTCACAGTGATTAAATGGCATATAATTAAAATGAATGCACATAAAGAACTGATCCAAGAAGCTGTTTATCAGAACTGTAAATATGTTTGTAAAAATAAAGTGGTAAGTGAGATCTGGCTGCTTGGAAACAAAGGGCAAAGGTTTCTGTTAAACAGCATACCCTTTATTTCCCAGGCATTTGTTACACAGTACCGCAAAGTAGCAAGAGCCTTACTTAGGCCTGTTGGGAGAATTTATGTGGGTACTTTACCTGAAATGCATTAATTATATTGAAAACCACGTAATTTGACTTTTTCCTTCTATGACCAAATTTTTTGCAAGGCTAGTTTCAATCTTTTTTTTTTTTTTTTTTAATGGATAAAAGAGTGAGTAGATTGTGACAATTTCAGCATAAACCTATCTTTCACCTAGAATCAGATAAACAAATTTAATATTGTAGTGGAAATCAGATTTTGGTATATTTACTTGCCGTGTTTCCTTACAAAAAATCAACAAACATTTTTGATGTCATCTATAAAAGGAGATGAATTTGTCCATGTTACAAGGTTGTTGTCATGATTAAAGATTACAGATAATTTCACTAAATGTGAGGGAATACTATAGACACTGAATACATGGTAGCTATTGTGACATTAAAAAATAGCAGTAGATTGATGTGTGTTTAGTATACAAGGTCCATACAGAAAGTATCCAGCCTTGTACTATGAAAAAGAGACATTTATTGAAGAAGATACAAGAAACAAGAAACATTGTTCATAGGACAGTGACACCTCAGTCCCCTTCAAATTAGGCACCTTGTGACCTCACACAGTTCTCCCAGTTGCCATCAGCTGCCCCCTCGTATTTTCCTGAATCTTATCAATGGTCTGGAATCTCTTCCCTTTTAAAGGTAATGTTAGTTTTGGGAAAAGCCAGAAGTCACAAGGGGCCAAATCTGGGCTGTAGGTGGGCTGAGTCACCTGGGTGATTTGATGTTTTCCCAAAAAACTCTGCATGAGAAATGATGCATGAGTGGGCACCTTGTCGTGATGCAGCTGCCAATCACCAGTTGCCCATAGCTGTGGCCTTGTGAGTCATCCAGATAGTTTCCATGGAGGAATGTTCAAACTTACTGCAAAAAATGATACAGATTCGTTGCTATATTCAGTCATTTTGAATGCAGCAGTCACACAGGACACATGCTCACCAGGTGCACCTACCACCCCCACTGACTAGTACAGTGAAGTTGTCATTGTTCATGCGTGTGCATTCCAGTCCACTCTCCTTGGCTGCCAGGTTACATTGATGTGGCACAAACTGTTCTCATTATATTAACAAAGGCTGGACTTTTTCTGGACAGACCTTTCCTGGACACACACACAGTGGGAACCATTTTCTTAGACAAGTCTTATGGTAATCCTTATACACAAAAAAGGCAAAATTGAGAGAGTAGAGTTCGGGTGGGTCTGATTCACGCAGAAAGGTCTTGTGCACCCAGCATTCCTTAGGGCCCTAAGCAGGGCTCCGCAGCCACCCCGAGGCTCTTCACGGAGACCTCGAGTTCCACGGAGTGCAACACGGGAAGCATTCTGCTGGATTTTAGACACCTTGAGTACAAGAACGGAATCTTACTTATTGTATTAACTGACACAGGCATAGCATGCGGGCTTGCTGTACAGTAAGTGATGATTGGCCACAGCTTGTAAAATGATTCAGTTAATTCAGCCCTACTACTTCGGTAGTTCTCCATATTTGCCTGCTAGGTGGAGTTACAATTTGAAGTTGAGTTCTCAAGCCTGCCAGGAAGCATGTGTCATTTAAAGGATGTAGTGACAACATCATTATTTTTTCAGATCTAGGTTGGAATTTGCCCTTGACAAATAGCAAAATGATGAGTGATGCCAGTGACATGTTGGCTGCGGCGCTGGAGCAGATGGATGGTATTATAGCAGGTAACCTGCATCCTCTGAAAGATGGAATTAGGCCATTTAGTCTGCTGTCGTGGCTTTTTTCATACCATTGTTATATTATTACCTTTCCACTCTCTTATTTTCATTTATTGGCTTTCTCCAATGCCTTCAGGTTGTCCCTGGTGTCATCTTTGACTCTCTATTTCATTTTCTTCCAGAATGTGTGTGTGTGTGTGAGAGAGAAAATTTTAAATCCTCACCTAAGGACAAACCAGTTGATTTTTAGAGAGAGAGGAAAGGGGCGTGGGGAGAAAGAAACATTGGTGTGAGAGAGAAACATCAATTCGTTGCCTCCTGACTGGGGATTGAACCCACAACCTATGTATGTGCCCTGGCCAGGGATCAAGTGCACAGCCTTTTGGTGTATGGGACGATGCTCCAACCAACCAAGCCACCTGGTCAGGGCCAGAATTTTTCTTTAAAAAAATTATATTTATAAATACAATTGACAGTCAGTATTATTTTCTATTAGTTTCAGGTGTACAGCATAGTGGTCAGACTGTTACATAATTTACAAAGTGATACCCTGACAATTTTAGTAGCCACCTGGCGCCATACATAGTTACTACAATATTATTGACTATATCTCCTATACTGTACTTTACATCTCCATTATTATTAAGTAACTACCAATTTGTACTTAATCCCTTCACCTTTTTTACCCAGTCCCCACACCCCCATCCGCTCTGGCAACCTTCAAAATGTACTCTGTATCTATGTCTTTTTCTGTTCTGTTTGTTCATTTATTTTGTTTTTTAGAGTCAGTTGTTTGTAGATATGTATTTATAGCCATTCTCCTATTGTTCATAGGAGAAATGTTTGTATGCACTTGCACCCACATTCATCTACAAATATACACATGTAGCCCTGGCCAAAGTGGCTCAGTTGGTCGGAACATCATCCTGTAAACCAGAAGGTCACATGTTCGGTTCCCAGTCAGGGCACACACCTAGGTAGCAGGTTTGGTTCCTGGTGGGGGTGTGTATGAGAGGCAACTGATCGCTGTTTCTCTCTTACCCATAGATGTTTTTCTCCCTCCCTCCCCTTCTCTCTAAAAATCAATAAGCATTTTGTCTGGTGGAGAAAAATAAAGATTAAAACAAAAAAGCAACTGCCATGCTATTTAAGAAAATGTACATATGTAATTTGTTGAACTTCTTCAGAGATTTAAATTCTGGCAAGTTACCTAGGAGCTGGCCCTCTTCCCTTGGAAACTGTGCTATGCAATTTCCACCTCAATGCACAACTTGTTTATAGGAAAGTTAAAGACATTATGGTCCCTAAAACTTTGTGTTTTTTGTAATGCATGGCTCCACCCAGACTAATCCCTCTTATCCCTTCTTGTCAGCACATCTTACACCACAGCCTGCCATATTCTTACTGTACCACACAATTGGTGGCCTGCCTGTTAGCTATTTGAACATTGATATTTACCATCAGTTATATGGTTTTTATTTTTGCACCAAATAACTATGCCTTGGAGAGATTTACATGATCGAGTTATCTTTTCCCCGGTTCTTGCTTTCGTTATTCCTCACTGTGACTGGACTTGCTTGCCACTTTCAGCTTTGGTGTGTTATCTGATATAAATCCTATTACTTTCTCTGCAATTTTTTTTAAACCTAGGTTCTAAGGCCCTGGAATACCCCAATGGAATTTTCGATTGCCAGTCTCCCACCTCCCCATTCATGGGAAGCCTACGAGCTCTGCACCTTGTGGAAGACCTGCGTGGATTGTTAGAGATGATGGAAACAGATGAGAAGGAAGGCCTGAGGTGTCAGATCCCAGATTCAACAGCAGAAACGCTCATCGAATGGCTTCAGAGTCAAATGGTAGATTTCTCTCTCTTTTTTAAAAAAAATTTAATCTTTATTATATATTTTTTACATTACCTTTTAGTTTCCTTATACTCCCTTCTCCCCAGCAATCACCACACTGGGTGGATTTCTTCATGTTACAAATCCCATGCCATGAATCTTCAGTTGCTTATTCAAAAATTTCGGACATAGAATAGCCAAAGTAGAACAAGAAAAAAATTTACAGAACAAGTTTGCCCTTAAGATATCCAAATTCCCTTTTGACTCTCAGGATTGTTTTTTAAAAGTGTTATTCATATACATTTCCTGAGATCTAGCAAGTCACCTGATTATTCTTATAAAAGTGGACTAGGTTTTTGATTGTGACCGAATGACCTACTGTGGCTTTGAACAGATAGTCCTAGAAGAGAAAGAACCTTGCACATAATAGATGCTCTCTCAGTATTGGGCGGTTTACTGTAAGAGGACCCAATGGGAGTTCTAAGTAGGCAGTAGGGTGTCTAAACAGACACTCAAAAAGCAACAGAGGTTTGTAGCAGTATTTGATATGAAGTGCCATCTAGTGGTGTATGGCAGTCATTTCCATTCCAGTATGCAAGTTACGTTACGCAGCTGGGCTTTAAATACTTGTTTTCACTGAACAGTGAGGTCTCTTTCTAGACATTCTTCTCAAAAATTGATGACATGACGGATCTGCCCTTTGTCAGAAGACCATGGTAAATACTATAGTTTTAATATGTGTCAAAGACATAAAATCTAAAGATCACAAACACATATTCAAGGGGAAAGATAGGAAAGGTGTTATTTTTAAGTAATTAAAGGATACTCAATTTTTAGGAGTATATATTAATAAGCTTATCAGTTAACTGTTTATGGAAAAGCTAACAAACATTGTATGAAAGAACTAAGATCTACTTTGCATCTGTGATAGAAATGGAAGCTGTTTGCTTTGGGAACCTTAATACTACATCTTAGGGCTAAAACATGTCCACATGATGTGACATAAATACTGATGTTTCTGTCTAGTCCTGTGCTGAGTGTTCTTATGTCCCCAGCCAACATGCCTGTTTATTTTTTGTCATTTTTTAGTAGTGGTGCATCTACACAAACTTGACAGTTGGAAATATTTTATATTTTGTTATTCATGATACCTTATTATTATACTTTATATTTGCTTTGCAAACTTTATAGTTTCTTCCTAGAGATTGAAATATCCATGTTTTGCTGATTTTCTTTTTTTTTTTTAGAATTGTTTTGTGCTCTAAATAAAACATTTTCTAGCACATTCCTTAGGTTGTTTGTACTTCCCATTTCACCCCTTCTTTACTCCATATTTTTCTGATTGTCCATCATGTAATGGGAAAGGAATTTATTACTGTAGAAGAACCTATTCCTAACCCACATCCAGAAGTTGCCAAGGGCATCCATAGCTTAAGGCTTCCTGTGGTTGAGTTTTTAATTTGTGTCTAAAAACAAGCATAGTACAAAACAAAATCTATGTCCAAAAGCATTTCCACTAACACATGTTCAATCTGTTCTGTTAACATCTTTCTGCAAAAGAGTAAAAATGATGATGATAATCTGAATATAAATCAGCTCTTGTCCTTCACTCCTTTTTCAGAAACTTCCCAATGATAGTCACATCTCGCTCAAAGTAAACGCTGGATGCTACTCTTACAGGATCACAAGGCCTTATAGGAATCATTTCTCATTAGTTTTTGTCTTCATGTCTCATTATGCTTCCCCTCTTTCACGTCACTCTAGGCACAGTAGCTTCCTCACTGATTCTCATACATCCTTACAGATTCTCAAACATGCTGGGCAAGCTGGCTGCCTGGCTTTTGCGCTGGCTGTTCATGCTGCCTGGAAAGCTCTTTCTCCAGATACCAGTGTGGTTAGTTTTCTCATAGTCTTCCGATATTTATTTAAAAGTTGTGCTTTCAGAAAGGCCTTTTATGGCCACCCTCGCTAAAATTTTACCTATTCTTTGTTTTTATTACGTCTCCCTGCTTTAGTTTTTTCTTAGCACTTAGCACTTTCTTACGTACTATGGATCTGCTGTATTAATGTCATTTATTTTCTGTCTCTCCAACTGGAATGTAAACATCAAGAATCAGAGAATTTTGCCTTGGAGTTAGGTTACAGATTACACATTCAAGGTTTTTTCAGACTGTGCAGAAGTGTCCACAATATTTTAAAAATTTTACTTATTTTTAGAGAAAGGGGAGGGGAGGAAGACAGAGGGGGAGAAACATAAATGTGCGAGAAACATAAATGTGCGAGAAACATTGATTGGCCGCCTCTCAGGCCCTGAGCCGGGGACCTGGCCCACAACCCAGGTGTGTGCCCCGACTGGGAATCAAACTGGCGACCTTTTGCTTTGTGGGACATTGTCCAATCCACTGAACCACACTGGTTCGGGCGTGTCCACAATATTTTAGAAAAACTTACTATTAATAATAGCTGCATAATTAAGATTTCTTTCATGTTTAATGATGGCTAACTTGAGAGTACATTACTTAAGACTGATGCTAATTTTCTCATTAGTGCAACTGCACATTTGCAGTTCTAATTATTATTTTGCCTGGGCCAGGGAGATGCCCTGGTTTCCTGTAGGATGCAGGTTATTCTTTTACTACTAACTTCTGCTCTGTGTTTAATGGTTTTATAGGGGAAGCTGGATAAGAAAACAGAAAATAGTAACACTAGTTGCCTGTTACAGTGAAGAGATATTAAATCTACAAGAATAAATTTGTTTTAATAGTGTGGCTATAGCTGTAGCCTTCTGGAAATGAATAACTATTTTTTTAAGATTCAGAACTTTAAGACTAATATTAACAATGCTTTAGCAAACTCCAAGTTTAAGAGGGCAAACAGAAAAATATGTTTGTTTGAACCAAGCAAGTGATTCTTGCTTACTTTAAGTCTAACTTGATGAGTCGCCCTAATGTTTTTTTCCAATAGATGAAACTGAGAGGTTCGTGACCTTGATCAGGTCATGAAATCCCAAAAGTGTCTGATTATTTGGCATTTGTAATTATGAGGCAATCTCAAAATCAGCAGAGATTACAAAGATACAGTTTTCAACAGAGTGAGTGAAACTGCTGATGGTAGTAACTCCAAGTCAGGCGTCATGACCCATGAGATAAGTAGAGTATAAGTGTGGGGAATGAAGAGTTCTCTTCTTGCTTCTGACCTGTTAAATCAGCACAATAATGCTATCTTATTTCTATATTTTAAAAAACTAAGTTTTACTCAAAGTGTACCTTTTTAAAAAAGTTTTTGCAAAAAAAAAAATATTCATAAAGAGTTCAACCACGGGACAGGCTCTCTCCAGGGCGGCTGGCTGTTCTCCCCAGTCTCTGACTCTGAGCCACGCGGCTCATTCCAGGCCCGCCGTCCTCCGGTCCCTGCTGTTCTCTGACCAGCTTCTCGTCACATGTGCGCCTTGGGGGGATGTTTTCTCAAGCCTTGGCCCATCTTCAGATTGCATCCCATGTGTGGTCACAATGATATGAGTTATGCAGCATCTCACGGAGACATCCTGGCTAAAGTTGAAGCTGTCTTCCCCTTCGGCTTCTGGTAAACATCTATGAAAAGTATGCAGGCACAGGAAAACAAATGGACCGAGCCAGCAGAATTCTCAGTTGAGAGAGGCCAGTGCAGTGCGGTGTGATAAGTGAGACAGACACCTTCAGTGAAATCCCAGGCTACTGGTATTTGTATTCAATAGAAAACAATGTCTCTTCTTTTATGAAAGTGAGCTAAGAAAGAATAAGTAGCAAGAAAAATAGGGACAGCATTTTCTTCTTCTCATGTTATGCTTCCCAAAGTTGAAGAGAGATTCTTTTGCTATATTTGCATCCTGTCACATAGCTGGCTTTTCAGTAAATATTGAATAAATTCATGAATAAATAGATGAAGGGATGCATATAGTACACAACTACAATAGAAGTTGGGCTTTAGCTTCTAGGAAACTCCTCTGTCCTTCTGTAACTCAGGGGACTTTGGAGTGTACCTGTGACCAGGATAATGTAGTCTCAACGTGTACTCCCCTCCCCAGGGCAGAATCTTAGGTCATGGGCATGAAAATAGGCCAGAAGGCGTTCAAGCTCGTCTTCCCTAATCAAGGTGTGTAAAAGAAACTCTTAGGAAACAATAAAGAAATCTCTCTAACTCACCCTGTACACATTGGCTGCGGATGCACAAACGAGGAGGTGTGTGTGTGCCTGTGTTAGCTGTGTAACAGGATAGCCACCGAATCTTCGCAATTGATATTTGGGCAGCAGATACCCAAATTCTCCAAAGGAAGCGCTTTCGGGCTAGTTCTCATGTGACTGTCAGGTGAAAGCACTTGTCATTCGTTTCTCTTGCCAGCATTTCAGCTGTAAATAGTTATTTTTCTGGAGAGGTGAATCTCCAGGGGCTGGCCTACTGCTGTGAGGCTTCTCGCTCCGGAGCACTTATTTTTGCTCCAGTTGGCAAGTTAGTGGAGAAGAGGCTATCTATTTCTGGAAAATGATCACTGAGAAAATTTAAACCCAGAAAAACAAAACCCAGAAATAAAAACCGTAGTCTGATTTTGACCACATCTGCAATCTTGACTTGGAAAGTCCAGAATATATTCAGGCTTATTCCGAGTTTCACTCTTTGATGCTCCTTCTGACGTTGAATAAACCGATGCCTTTTCTGGGAGAGGGTCATGCTTGGGCTTTTGGGGTGTAACGAAGTATGTGTGAGATTTATTTTCCCTTTGGTTTTCTTTTTGTGCAGAGATCATGAGATTTTGGAAAAAAAATAGAGGGCTTCCTGAAGAGGTGTCCCTGTTGCCATGGCATCTTATTTCCTCTTTTGAACTGCAGTAGAAACGTAGGAGGGGAAAGTAAGTGGGCGATGGGCAAGGCTGAGCTAGAGTCAGAGGCGCTGTAGCCCAGGGACAGCGGCCACTCGGGAGGGATGTTCCGCTGGCCCCGAATGGCAGCGGTATTGCCCTGAGATGATGATTTTCAGCACAAGGGGAGAGGCTCGCTGCCACGATTTCGTCACATCACATAAGAGGACAGGGCAGCAGAGCAGAGTCTCTGCCTGGCTTCATTTCCAGTACCTCTGGTGTCGCGCTCTTGACTCTGGACAGTAGGGTGTGAGATGCCGTATTGTAGGGCTGGACCCAATGAAATAGGACTACAGTATTCATGGTCGAAGGACTCAGGCCTTATCTCAGTCTGTCCTCCTAGTGCGGTGTTGACTGGAGAGAAGGCACTAAAATGTTTGCCCTCCGTGGTAGAGATATTTGTGTTAGATATTTCTTTTGGTAGCTAGAGAGAACATTTAATTAAAGGAGCTTCCGTGGACTGTGTTTTACTTTCCCTTTCTTGCTACTGAATTTTAAAGACTAGAATCATGAAATCAAGAGTGTATTGGTGTAAAGTACATGATTTTGTAGCCATTAGGTTACACATCTGAAACAGAGAATATTCAATGTAAACTAATTAAAAAATAAAAGAAAATATTTATTTTAAAAGATAGCAATAAATAGCAAATGGATTGACAGAATATATTCATAATAAAACTAACGACACAGAGTCGACGTAAAAAACAAATTATAAAACCTACACCTTACAGTACAGCAAAGTAGTTAAGAGTGTAGGATTTGGAGTCAGGCTACTGCATTGTTGCCCTGCGTGCAAGATAGAGTTATGAGACTTAGAGGAGATAATCTCCGTAAACCATTCAGAACATTGGCCTGGGTTATTAAACACTTAAGCACTTTTTAAAAAGTGTATTCAGTGTGACGCCTGCTGTTGTGTAGGTTCACCTGGATGCTGTAACTGACATGTGAGGGAACACATAATTGAAGGAAGACTTTATACACAAAACTCCACTGAGGTGGACCTTTGGGAATGAGGAGAGAGGAAGACAGGGGAATACAGTCCACGCAGAAGGAATGCAATCAGTGTGAGACAGAGTGTTCTGTGTTCTGGGCGGTTTTGAGTGATCTGGTAGGGAGAGCACGGGAGCTGGGAAAAGAATGGAGGTGGCAGGCTCTCTGCCTAATGGAATTTACCTCTCTCTAGCATTTTCATGTTGGCAGAAATAAAAATAAAGGTGTGAATGGAATAGACCTTTGCCTACTTGAATAAGTCAATACGGTGCTTCAAAAGTCTATAACTACTTCTGTGGTAGTGCCTGAGTCTGGCTTTACATCCCTATAGTGACTTTGAATAGCTTGGTTGGTTAGAGCATCATCCTGATACTCTGAAATTGTGGGTTTGGTCCCAATCAGAGCACATACAGGAATCAACCAATGAGTGCACAAATAAGTGGAACAAAGAATCAGTGTCTCTCTCTCACATGCGCATATGTGCTCGCTCTCTCTTTCTCAAATCAATAATAAAAATTTTTTTAAAAATACTCTTAGCATTATGAGCATTTGTAAATATCAATACACTGTTGAGAAACGCGAGCATTATCATTGTAAGTCAAGTTTTAATATTTGTTACTCTTTTAGGATAACTTTGTAGAACTGATTTTGGAACATCTTGTATTTCTGTATCATATGCAGTCGCTTCATGAAACACTTCTGGAACTTGCTGTAGAAACACTTCTAATCTTACTCTAATTTACTTCAGGCAGAAGAAAGATGACTTTTTTTTTTTTTTTTGTATCTTCACTGAGCAGAAGTCTTTTCTTTTTTCCTACTTAATGAAATGTATTTGTTTATAAAATGTTGCTTGCCTGGGGATTTAAAAGCAGGTGCCTGCTAATATCCTTAATCAAAATGAGGACTTTAAAGCTGTGGAGGGCCAGTCTTGGCACTTGCTTAGTTTGAGAGCATGCATTATGCATCCTGGCTTTTTTCCAAAAAGCTGTCTTCAAGAAGTTACATGAATTTCATTTCATGGTAGTCCCCAGGGATGGAAGTCGTCCAGGCCACTCCATCAGACTGCTCATAATACTTGTAATTTAATTCTGGGTACTTCAGTTTACAACATGAGCAGAATTATGCTGCGGTGGTAGTGGCGCAGGTATGTGGTCAAGCAGCTGATGCTAAAATTTTATCCGTTCTGAATATACATTGAACACTTACTAAATTAGCTTCTCATTTTTTTTTCCTGTGGCCTCATGGGAAATATATCCAGTGTGTATAGTTTTTAGAAGAAACATCCTGAAATTTTCTTTTTTGTTAAAGCTCCTTTATGTGGGTTTTTCTGCCCCCTCCCCCCCCAAACACATAATTTTTGTTATTCCCAGAATATATACTGGAAACTGCATTAATTGGAAAGGTAGGATAACAATACCAGTTAATTCTGGAAAAATAATAGATGTCACATCAGATGTGACCTGGTCGTTAAAGATGCACAGTTTATACGTACTCCGATTCTAAATCTGAAGTTGTTACTTGCTTTTTTGATTGAACTCTGGGTGGCTCCATCTAACCACTTGGGACTCCACTGGCTTCTATCTCTGTTGTATTTGAATGGGGAATCAGGAAATTCTGTTGGGATTCCATATTATATGGTTGTGAACTATTTAAATGAGATAACAAGGGACATATCACATATACTTCTGTATTTCAGAATGACATTTTTATGTTGTCTGCTCTTAGCCTTTTCATGTGTCTCCTTAATGCCTTGTATATGTAAGATGACTGAGGGGAAAAAAAAAATCTCACTTGCTTTCCCAATCTCTACTTCCTTTAGCATTTATACCATGCAGGACTATCCCCAGGCCTGATAAAAAGTGGCGGGGAGGGGTTTGGAGGGAGGGGAAGGAAGAGTGAGCACTAGTCTAAGCAGAGCGCTGGGCCAGATGCTGTGGGGGTCATGGGGTGACTCCAGTTTATAGACTCTGCTCAGGAGCTTGGCATCATGTTATCATATGAGCAAGCAAACTCAAAAGAGGTAGCTAATTCAGGTTGGAAAGTGATAAATCTCTAATGAGCATGGCTAGTCGGTGATGCCAGGGGAGGTCATTGCGTACTGAGAGTTTAGGCTTTTGGGGTGGGGGAGGAAGGGGAGATTTGACCCCTGATTTGGAGCCTGGAGAAGCAGGAAGAAGCCTGTGGTATAAGTTGCCCCTGTTGTCTTCCTTTAAAGGGAGACTTTTGCAGTCCTGGATGTGGGTCTTTGGGAAGAAAGTGGGGGAACAAAAGGACACCTCAGATCATTCCCACTATCTCCACTCAGAATTGGTGGCATTGAGCATTTGGGGGAAAATAGGGGTATTGTGCCTGGCCACACGCTCCCAAAGCTTTGCGTGCCCCAGGCGTGCAGCTGGTGTCAGTGAATATCAGTAGCTGCTGTTCTTTCTGGTCGTTATTTTCTGCTTGACGAGAAGTTGTTTGGTTTGGTGAAAACATGGCTAATGTGTCCATCTGACCTACGTTGAGGTAAATGAACCAAGCTGTATTGTTATATTTTCTATCAATGGCAGTCCATCACAGCTGTGCTAAATCCAGTTCAGCTTCCTTAGTTTGAAAACAGATGCCAATTTTTACTTACCCGCAGTAGTTCTATCTCAAAGAATATCATCCTTATCCATATTACTTCCTTTTTCAGACCAACGGACACCTACCTGCAAATGGAGATGTGTATCAAGAAAGGCTAGCACGTTTAGAAAATGACAAAGAATCCCTTGTTCTCCAGGCAAGTGATTTTTAAATGTTGTTCTTTCTTCATGACATACTTCCAAAGGCCATTTGAAATTGGAATGACCAATTCAGGTGCTTATAGGAGCTAGACTGCTAATAGACAGAGTGCAGAGGGCTATCTGTGCACAATAGAGAGTGGTGGGGACTGCGGCAGAACAGGAGTGTGCATACGCAGCCTAGTGTGAGCAGCCCTTGGTCAGCCGCAGCCTCCAAGGGCCAGCCTGATGACGGGCACAATGCCGTCTGCTCTGATTTTTCATATGTAGCAGAAATTCTGAGTTTATACTATATATAATTCAAATACATACTCATAAATCTGAGTAAGTACTTCTGCACCTGAATATATATTTAATATTTCAGTTGAACAGTAACACCATGGGCTAAATAAAACAACGTGAGCGGTAGAGTCCTATTTGTAGGCTAACTTTGAGTTTTCTTTTTCAGAATGTTATTTTTTCCCTTCCTATTTACATATATATATATATATATTTTTTTTTATTAAAGTAGAGTTGACATACAATATTATGTTAGTTTCAAGTGTACAATGTAATGGTTCAACATTATATGCCTTATGAAGCGATCACCACGATGTCTCCCAACCATCTCTCACCATGCAATGTTATTGCGACATTGCTGACTAAATCCTCCATGCTGTACACCACATCTCCTTGATTTTCTTGTTTTATAACTGGAAATATGTACCACCTAAATTCCTTCACTTTCTCACCCATTCCCTGACCCTCCTCCCCTCTGGCAGCCATCAGTTTGTTCCCTGTACCTATGAGTCTGTTTCTGTTTTGTTTGTTTGTTTTGTTTTCGCAGACCCCACATATAAGTGAGATCATATGGTGTTTGTCTTTCTCTGCCTGACTTATCTCACTTAGCGTGACACCCTCTAGGTCCATCCGTGTTGTTTTAAATACTTGACAAATATTTTGACTTTGGTATTTTGAGCTAAGTGAAGTATGTTCACCAGACTGGTGATCGCTGGGGGAAACGCGGAGATTTGCAGGAAGCCCTGCGGATGAGGGGCTAACCCAGGGGCTTCTCCTGGACCTTTGAGTTACACCCCGGCTTCGAACACATTTGTGGGTAATGTGCTCATGAAATATCTCAGGGAATCTGAAGTCTGTGGAGGCTTTTCTTTATTTCTTATGAAGTCTCAAACTTGAATAGCCCTCGATAACTTCTCCTCTAAACATTAACTCCATTTCCTGTCTTAATCTCCAATATTACCTCCCACCCCAACCCCTAAACACTTCTCCTCACGCACCGAAAAAGATAATTTGTGTACGCGCTTCCTCTCTCAAATGGTTGATACGGTTTTAACCTACAAAGCATTGCACACCCTCAGTCAGCCCTAACTTTCTTAAATACTGAGTCAGAGTCCTCAGATCAGGAGGCACCACACAAATAGGGGTGTGAAGGGCTGCTGTCTTCTAATTCTCAGATTTTTTTCCCTTTCTGTCCAAACGAGTGGTGACAGTATTCCAATTGTTGTGTTTAGAGAAGTAAAGTTTGCAGTGGGACCCAAGTTCTCCCTAATCCATTGTAGTGTTTTGCTCTAAATACAGGTAAGTGTGTTAACAGACCAGGTAGAGGCCCAGGGAGAGAAGATTCGAGATTTGGAGTTTTGTCTTGAAGAGCACAGAGAGAAGCTGAATGCCACAGAGGAAATGTTGCAGCAGGTATGTACGAAGCTGGCCCCCAGGTGGGATTTTCCTGCTGAATTATTTGCAATGCTCCATTTATATGCCGTGTTTGTGCTGATGGAGCTGTAAATTCCGTGGTTCACTTAGCCGGGCATATTTTAAGTACAAACCTAGAATAGCAGGGTCCCAAGTTGCATAAACACAATAGAAAGTGCTCATGCAATTAGAATCTGAAATAAAATAATAATAAGATAACATGTAATTTTCTTCTTTATGTTTTCATGGGGTTTCCTAGCTCCCAACCATGAACATATTTGATTAAGAAAAAAGATAAATACCATATGTGACCTTTATTAGGGAAAAACTTGTACACATGCACTGTGCTCACATGAGAGGACCTGTAACACAGCTGGTAGGGCACACACTGGAGCAAGACTGCTTGAGGTTTGAGTCTCTGTGTCCCTGCGCTGCCTTTCCATGCTGTGTGACTTTGGGCAAATTCTTAACCTCCCTGTTCCTTAGCTTCCTCGTCTATTGAGCAAGGGTAATTCATGAGACAGTTCTCATGAGTTACTATCTCATAAGGTTGTTTGAGGCTCGAACCACTAAATACATGTCAGAACAGTGCCTGTCATGTGGCCAACATTTCATTATCATCATCATCAGTGCTATCATAATATATCAGATTTATATATGTGTGTATCTAGATAATATGTCTCCCCAATAAGCAGATGTCTGTTTAGTTCTGCTTAATGGAGGTTAACTAAAGTGTATCTAGTTCGTAAGGAATCTTCATCACATCCTCTATTTGATAGTTAACTAGTTTGCAGTCATAGAGGCACATCCACACGTGGCTGTTTATCATAAAACAACTTCTGAATATGTCTCTTAAATTCTAATAGGAGCTTCTGAGTAGGACGTCCTTGGAAACTCAGAAGTTGGATCTGATGGCTGAGGTATCGAACTTGAAGTTAAAACTGACGGCTGTAGAGAAGGACAGATTGGATTATGAAGACAGGTTCAGAGACACGGAGGTAAGCGGCACCCTTTCTCTCTGTCCATGTTCATATGCATACATGTGCGTGTGTATGTGTGTCTCACACACACATACTCCTAGAACAAGCTCAATTTCCCTGGAGGTGTGAGGTGTGCCCTCACTCATCTGTGCTGCAAGAATAATTTTTAATTACCTTGACTTTTTTAAATCATTAAATGCTAATGGCTAAATTTTTATTTTCAGACTTCTTTAAAAAAAGATTTTACTTATTTATTTTTAGAGAGATGGGAAGGGAGGGAGAAAGAGAGGGAGAGAAACATCGACATGTGAGAGATACATCAACCGGTTGCTTCTCACACGTCCCCAACTGGGGACCTGGCCTGCAACTCTCGTGTGTGCCCTGATGGAGTTAAACAGGCAACCTTTCAGTTCACAGGTCAGCGCTCAATCGACTGAGCCACATGAGCCAGAGCAGACTTTTGATATGAAATATTAATCCTTTCATTAGCCTTTAGAAGTACTTTTGATGTGAAGGCATTTGAAGCTTCTGTCTGTATGTCTGTACATCTATCCATTCGTACTGGTTTTCTTCTTTGTGGAAATAATGGGTTTAAGTGCATGATTTTACTATTTAGTTATTACTTAGGCACACTTGACTATTTACTATGTAATAAATAGGTTTCTAATTATGTATAGAGAACATGATTTTGTTATAGAATCATAAAGATCACAGATTTTTAGAGGTCATTTAACTTGACCTTCTACTTTTGGTCTGTTCCACACAAAAAAAATCATTCCAATTAAATAATGGTCACTATTCTTTTATGAAATTTAGGGTAGAATCTACAACTTGAAGCCCATTTTCATGGCCAGACATACTCGTTTGTTTTATTTCATTAATCCAGTTCTTCTACTTTGTTCATTTGCTTATTGTTTTGTTGAGGAGGGGCGCGCATACATTTGAGATTTATTTGAAAAAAATATAAAAGGCTGCAGAAGTTCCTTCTTTGCTAGGGCCATCTCTTCTTCTCTTTTTTGTTTCCTCAATTGGTATGTGGAGAGATGTCACATTGGATTAGCAAATGGGTACCAAGAAGAGAGAAGAGTAGAAAGCATGTACTTCTCCCCCGCTCTTCTTCATTTCAGACATTTATTTCATGGTGACTGCACCCATTACAATATGAGGTACATTACATGTATTTCCCACTGTTTGAAAGCCCTTCCTAGGTTTGAATTGAATGAAGTTTATCCCTTTGCTGTTTTTCAAAATTAAAATGTCAAAGATCTAACTATAATGGAAAGTCTTGTTGCAGGTATTACTTTCTCAGTAGCAAAAGGAAATCCCTAACTTGGCGCATGTTTTAATTGTTTTTTGTCAGTCAACCTGTATGAGTACATTTCTAATTTGATTGATGCTGGGGCCTCTTAGAACTTAGGACATTACCCAGTTTCTTTACAGCTTTTGCTTCTGTGCTTTAAGAATGCTTCCCCTTACTGTCATTCATAACACAAAAATGGAATTCAGTCACCAGGTAGGTGGCATGGTGTGGAGCCAGCTCTGGTGCAGGGGAAGAGGTCCACTCTTTGGTGACTGAGAGGTGGTCTTCTACATTATATACACAAAGTTTAGGGGATGTCTTCACCTGCATGACTGTGGGTAATTTGGATATGAAATGTTAACCAAACATTGGGACTAAATTGAAGTAGATTTTTGTGATTTTTTTTTTTTAAGGGGAGAAAAGATTTTATTAAAGTATCATGCATACGTATATTGTCCATTGTTAGGTAATCTCTTCTAAAGTAGAAGAATATAGATATAAAATATTGATGGTGTCATTATTAGGATTTTTTGTAAGACCCTTGGGATTGTCTATATTTTTATAAAATTTTTTTCTAGTGCTTCCTTGCTTCAGTCATGCATTCTCAGTCAAATGCAAAGTGATCTTGTCATCAACTTGAGTAAATTCAATCCCTGATAATTTTCTAATAAATATTTAACACTGTTGTTAAAATGTAGAATGAACATACCCAGAGATTATGGGATTGTTGTTAAACTTTGTTATATATGAACATAATTAAAATAGTCTTCATAATTAAAACTGAATTGAATATACTCATTTTCCTAATATTGTTCCCTTGATAAAAATAAAATGTTTCCCTGGCTGTTTCATGAATCCAGAATTCTTTAACTTTGTCTTAGAAGTTTAGATTATTTGAGATTAAGTTATAAGAATATATTGGAGTGGGAGAGAAGTATAGATACTTCCGAAGACAGGGTAAAAGTCTTGGAACCTTGGAAGACTGAGACCTGTCTGTCTCAGAAACTGCTGGCAGGAGATGGTTAGCATCATTCAACAGTGCCCCCTTCTGGTAAGAACACAGATGTTAGAAACTGAGTCCACCCTTTCTCTAGAAACGAAAAGGGAGAGGTAATGTGGATTTTCTTTCTGAAAAGGACTGAACTTCTGGTAAAAAATTAGTTGGAAATAATTTGTACTTCACTGAAGTTTCATATTAAGGAGCTAGTTTAAGATTTTCCAGCTTGAGTTTTCATGAGAAGATACATGAAACATTATTTTAGGTTGGAGGTTTACTTTCATATATACAAGTTTGCTACAAAGGATAATTGGGTAGGTTTTCTTTTTTAAGTAGGAAAAAATGGTCTCAATTTATAATTCTGTTTTCTTCAATTGTTTCTTCTTCTTTGCAAGTTGCTACAAAATTTCTAAAGGAAGTGGTAAAGGAATCCAAAGCTGTTCTTAACAATGAGAAAATGGGAAAATATATGTTTAAAAGGCTAGATTGATGAATAATATGAGTCAAGAACTCATATTATTGCAAGGATGATTAATAAATGGGAAATAAATGGAAGAAACAGACCTTTTTCTTGAACTTGTAGATAAGAAATCACAACTAAAATGTTATTAATGATGTCAAATAGTTCTTGACTTCATTCATAAGAGGAGAAAATACACATCCTCTTATTGAAACATTGTATTAATAATATTAATAATTATTATATAATAATGCTAGGTAATAATTTTAATACCAGAAATACTTCAAAACAATAACAATTTAAAAGCCTGTGAGTTTTCTGGAAAATGTATTTCATCATAGCGTCCCTTTTTCCAGCCGTCCTGAGGTTCTACTTACAAATTTAGATTAATTCTTGTTAACAGAGTTTTATTTCTTATGGCATTGTTTAATTTTTTTACTGGTATTTTTGTATAACTCTATTCTATCATCCATGAATTTGTGGCTCATCTTTTAAAAGAGATGAACAAAAACACAGTAACCATTATCAGGGCATTCATGGCTTATAGTTAAAAAAAATCATCTTCACAGAGTATTTGAGCCCTTTTTTGGAAAAGTTGGTATTTAGTGTTCTCATTTAATTTTTTTACTCTTGTGGCTCTGAACAAAAAAAATATATCATCATTTCTTACAATATTTAGACAACTTTATAAGCAAATCAGTTTCTTTAAAGGTGGCAGTAGAAAAAGTACCTGATTATATTTGTATTATGAAAACATTAGGATTGCTATGTTTTTCATTTTCCAAATATAAAATTACATTATGACACTGAATATATTTTCAGATAACAGGGCTCTTATCTATCCTCAGGTTGAGACTCTTTGGTTTCAAGGATTTAAATTTGATTTTATTCTCCCAGATTGATGAACAATCTGTTCATCATTTGTTATAGACAAATGAAGAAATTATAAAAATATTTTATATACAACCACCATATCACTGAAAACACTCTAAAACTAACTGACTTTACTAAAGAAAATTTCTCTGCTTTATCTTAAAAGAGTTTATATAGTGAATTTTAGTCTAGAAATATATGATCAATGATAGTAAGTGATTAGCTACCTTTTTTAATCAGAATGAGTCACCTTTTATTTTCATGATCCCATCATTTTAGACAGAGGCATTAGGAATTTAAAGCAGTGTTTTAAATGGAAAGATAGTTCTAAAGGAAAAAAACTTGTATATATTGGTCTGACCTAACTTACGTAAGTTGAACCAGGATTTAAGATTCCCAAACTGCTATTTTTGATATTTCCTAATATATTTCCTTGTTTTTTTGTTTTTGTTTTTGTTTTTTTTTTTTGGACAGGGGCTCATGCAGGAGATCAATGATTTGAGGTTAAGAGTCAGTGAAATGGACAGTGAAAAACTTCAGTATGAAAAAAAGCTGAAATCAACCAAAGTGAGTTTTCTCAATGACAAAAATTTTTAAGCAAATGACTCCACTACTTACCTGTGATAAGTTATATAAATGCAATGTGTTGTCTACTTAGTATATGATAAAGAAGGCATTTTTCAAGTGAGTGAAATTCTTCTCTAAGTTGGAGACCTTGATTTAAGCACTATTCTGAATAAAAACCTGGATTTAACTAATCTCATAGAACATAATCTGTCATTTCTCTTAATTATCTCACCTCCCTTATAAACTGATACTGTTTTCTTGGTTATTTAGCTTATCTTTTTCTATCTGTAGTTTTCTTTCCCTCCTCTGTCTCTCGACCAGTCTTTAATGGCCAAACTTTCTAGCATGAAAATCAAGGTGGGTCAGATGCAGTATGAAAAGCAGCGGATGGAACAAAAATGGGAGTCGCTGAAGGTGTAGTAGACGCTGGGTAACGGGGGCCCACGGCTTGTTGCTTTCTGGCTTGCATTGCTTTGCTGTGATGGTGTTCTTAGTAGTGTGTGCATTCATTTTGTCTGTGTCACCTATTTTTGAAAAAATGTGTAAAACTGATTAAAGGGACAACATGATCCTTAATTTGTTTTTAGGAACATATGAAATAATTAGTGAAAAGTAATAAACAGGTAAATAAAAGTATGTGTTTACAAATTAAATCTCACTCTCTTAGACTATCTAAGATCCAGGCTTGGTAAAATAATTGCAAAGATCACCTGTGGAAGAATTCTGTTACCTACCAATAGCAGACATTGCTTTCTTCCTTTGGGATTTTCTCGAAGGTATTCAGCAGTTAACTATGGCTGTGGATGCAAATTACTGCTTAGAATGATGCACAGTAAGAGCAGGGTTGCGCTTCTTGCCAGTGCTGCTGAAAATTTCTTGTTCTTGGTATTCACTCCTCCTGTAAGTAAAAACTTCCTAGTTTCATTGAAGAACTACATCTTCTCATAGTACTAAATGTAATAAATATCCTTAGAGACTGAAAATAAAATTATTAAAAATAAAGGTGCCTCCATAAGCATCACATGGAATTATTTTCTCTGTTAAATACAACCAGCAAAACTTAAATTTGCTAAAGCTCTCTACCAAAAGGAAGCTGGAAGTTAAAACATTAGTAAAAAGGTAGAACATGAGATGCAGGATCTTTAATAGTTCTATAGTTTACAAACAAAAGAAGACTTAAAATCTGTTTTCTAAATCTATTTTTTTCCATTGTTGTAGGAAATTCTGTCTGTTTTCTTACTAATGAGGATAAATCATTTAGTCCAAAGGTTTGGCTAGTTGTTCAGCACCTGCCACCTTACCCACTGATTAAGCTCTACCTTGTCCAGGGAACCTTAAAATACTGAATAAATGTCAAGCAAGTCTTTCCAATTTGCATTTTCCAATTTATTTTCAATTTATTCCAATGTATTTTCCAATTTGCATTTTATTTTGTTTTTATGACACTGAACATCTAATTCGATTATCTTTTTTGATTAGCTTGGCCATATTTTTAATTTAATATAACATATAAACCTTAGGGCTAACTTTAGTCCTACTTACACTTTAAAAGATTTCTTTTTTAATTTGGTTACAAAGAAACTTGAAATAATTATACCGTAATTATTATAAATTGGATTTTAATAATTGTCTTGCTTCTTGTTTATCATTGCCACTGTCTGATTTCTGAAGTTTGTGTCTCAATATTGTGGTTTTTTGTTTTATCCCCAAAAACTAATTATTGATTTAAGAGCATACTCTATGATATTCTCTTTTATTCGTAATCAATTCTTTTTAAATGAATTTATCATTTGTAGGATGAACTGGCATCTTTAAAAGAACAACTGGAAGAGAAAGAATCTGAAGTCAAAAGGCTACAAGAAAAATTGTTTTGCAAGATGAAAGGAGAAGGGATCGAGATTTTTGATCGGGGTAGGAATATATATTTAACATTGGTTATCTTATTTTTTAAAAATCCTCCAAGATCTACAAAAGAAACTGATGTTAGTTGATGTGCAGTTTTAGCATCAAAGAAAAGAGTAGCAGAAGCCAGCCAGGCCCAGGACCACAGGGCACCCCCCCACCGCCCCAGACTCTTCCCGGTGTCCGGGGCTGTATAAACTTCTTCGGCTGCTGGAGAAGGGCAGCTCTGCACTCTATTGGGTGTTTATTTTCAATTACTGATTGTAAATTATCACCGTGAGAGAGTTCTTGTCCAAATTGCAATGTAAGGGAGTGTCAAAAAGAATTAAAAGGAACCACTACTATGTCCCAAGATTATTTTTCTCCAAGCTGAATTTGAGACAACTTAGAGATTTAGAAACCTTGCCTGCCCTGTTGACAGAAGAAAGGCTCTGTATCTGTAGAAAAAATTAATGAAAATTTCTTATCATGCAGTGAGCCTTTCATCTTCTAGAAAGCAAAAATAGGCTAATTCTGTTTTTGGAAAAGTACATGACCTATCCAAAAATTGTTTTCATAATTAAGGAGGTTTGTCCTAGGTTCGTGTGGACTTAATTTTTAATAATGTAGCTTATATTGATAGAAAATAACGAGAATGAAATGTGTTTTTCTGAATTATATTTGGAAATATAAATGCATGTAACATTTGAGAACACTAGGTCAAATTTAACCTTTCTTTGTTGTTACAAATGATGACTGTGGCAGAAGCAACTTCTAATTCATTTCAAACAGAACAAACTTCATTTAGTCTAGCTTTGGTACATTTTTATCTGTTATGTGAACATTGGTTTCATTATTGACTGTTCAATGAGGGGCCTGAATTAGATTACCTCTCAAGTTGTCTTGGCTCTGGAATACCCTGCTTTATATACCTGTAGATATTACAATTCTACATCCATCAGAAAACTTAATTCATCAAATGTGAAGGAAAAGGATTTTTCTTCTCCCTCTGTAATTTGGCATATGTAGAATTGTATGTTCTTAAAGGACATTCACAAACAGGTCATGTGTTTAGGATTTTAAGGAAAAAATGGAACCATAGACTTACGAACTAAAAGTTATGTTAGAATAGTGCTACCCAAAGTCTGATCCCAGGACGGGCACCTGTCTGTGAATGGCCTGTTGCCAGTGCACAACCAAATAAACACAGGGATTGAGTGAGAGCAAGTGTTTAGAAACGTCTCAGCAATTTCATGTTGACATAACATCTAACTGCATGATCCGTGGACTCATCACTGAACAGAAGCTGCACCATTTTGGTGTCATTGAACCTGAGTGGTGACAGAAGCAATGTATGAGTCACGTTCAGGAGGACCAAATATCGAACTGCAATGGAAATACAAAAACAACCAGTGCAACATTAACTGGCTTTTCATCATACTGTGTTTAAGGAGCACTTGTACTCCATAGGCCTAATTTTAATGGGAGACAGTCAAGGTTCAGAAAGATGAAATAACAGAGGTAGCAACTCAAATTGGGGTCTTCTGGTTTAATTACTTTGACCTCACACGGAGCATTACGAAGTGTGATGCCAGTCCTGAAGTCACAGAATAGGTTAGAGTCTCTTCATTTGGGGGAAAACGAGACAAACTAATAGTGTTTTTAAAAGAATATTTATTGTTGTAATGTATGCTAACTTCCAATTCAATGGGTTTTCCTGCACAGATGAAAATTTTAAAAAGAAGCTCAAAGACAAAAGTAAGGTTTTTGGTGTATTTCCATCAGCCTTTACTTTCACCAAAAGTAATACTTAGACTGTTCTTTGCATGTGTTTTTAAAACATTTCTCTCACCAAAAATGTAAAGTTGCTTCATCAATAAGCTCTCCATTTCTTCCGATGGTACAAAATAGCGGGTAAACAAACAATAAAAACCCAGGAGTAAAAGATCCTTTTGCAGATTGTATCCGATTCGGCCTTTTGCTCCAAGGAGACAGCAGGGCGCCCAGAATGGTGGAGGGGAGAAGACCTTTTCCCTGTGGCCTGGGAAACACAGGGTCAGAGAGGAAATTAATGTTTATACTTTTATGAAAACCTGCTGTGATTGAGGGTCACTACAGTTGAAAGATCGTTTTGAACTTTGCTTTTGCTTTTCAATGTTTTGTAGCACACTTTTTCACTGAGATCTACTTTAAGAGTTTTTTTTTTTTTTTCTTTTTAAACAAATCCTCTTGGTGTTACAAAAGAGATTGTAATTATTTAATTGCATTGAATGATCCAGGCCATTTCTCGGAGCCTGGATAATTGAAGGCAGCATAAAGATAAACCCTTAAAGGGCTCTCTCCTCCAGACATTGAATTCTTAAGTCAAGGGAATTTGCCTAAAAAAATTTTTTGTTTTTTTTACAAAGAGAAGAAAAGAAAGGCAGTTTCCATGGAATATGCCTTAATTGCAAATGGTTGTATCAGTCCTGAATGCTGGATGCATCACTGTTTTAAAAATGATCTTCAGTTTTCTTCTCACAAGGAGGAAATTTTAGCTTGATTTTTTCCTCTGTTTTCAGATTGTTTAATTTGTGATTTCATTCTAGGTTAACTTTTTACCTTTAGAATCTTTGCTTTTTATTATTAAAGTAACATGCTTTTGTATTTGAATATCTAATGTTAAGGAAAATCGCATTCATCTTAGTTTGGCCTTTATGTTTTAAAATGGAATTTGGAAATGAAGTTTATAGATGAAGCAAAGTACTTAATATCCTTCTGTATGGAACCTACAACCAGCTTCTGAGCATGACTACCCACGTAAACATCACATTCCATCAGGCTCTTACCGTTTGTGTCTCCATCTTGGTTATAACTGAATATCATTTTGTCTGCTTTTGTCATTACATGCACTTTGTTCATTGCTTTTACCCACTGCTTTATTGGTTTCTTTTTTGAAAAGTCTGTGTTTTTATCGTTATAGCCCTGAAATTTCATCTTAATTGTTCTCATGAAGGTTTTGTTGTTGCTTTGAGAGAGGGTAGTTAGCTCTCACTTAACCTTTATTTTCTTTCTGGAATGATGACTATTCAGGTGAGAGAGAAGGTGTTCATTTTTCAGATTTTCTGTAAAAGAGTAGGGATGGTAAATTTTAAAAACAAACAAAACGAATCAGTAACATCTTTGCCTTAAAACATTTCAATCTGAGGAGTCAGTAGCTTCTCGTTACTGTCACACATGTTAACTAACCTGACCTCTGATATGATGTTGTGATACTTTCAGATATCGAAGTACAAAAAATGAAAAAAGCTGTGGAGTCTTTGATGGCAGCAAATGAAGAAAAGGTATCTAGGTGAAATTTAAATATTTATTTGTGTGCATTATACGCCATTTTGATCATTCCATGCGTTTTCTTGAGATACTGAAGTTTGAAAGAACACGCTTGATATCCTGCTTAGCCTAAGGGGCAAGTGTTCTCCCCTCCCTGCCTAGGTGCACACCCTGGCAGAGGTCGCAGGTGGTGGTGTGGCTGTGCCCAGGCGCGGAGTCCAGCTGTGCTGGCTTCCCTGATAATTCTCTCTCCCCTCCCCCCATGAATTCAGAAAATGTTTGAGCTGTCAAGTCAGTTCTTTATATTCAGGAGACAAATGAGAGAAAAGGTATAGTACATAGTGCATCCTTTCGGCAGTCACTGGAAATTCTGGGCTGCTATATGAACTCTGAAGGAGGCAGCCCGCGTCAGCTTTTAGCTTCCTGGTCATGTTGATTTTCTTCTCCATAGATATTGTTGGGTTGGCCAAAAAGTCCGTTTACTCTTTTCTGTAAAATAAAAGACACATTCTTCATTTTCACCAATAACTTTATCGATTTGGGTATTGTGAGTATGTTGGCTATCTCCCACGTGGTATAGCATTGATTGTTCTCAATTAATGTCTCAATTTAATTGCTACCATCTTCAACTGGTCTACCTGAACATGGAGTATCGTCCAGGGAGAAACCTCCTGCGTGAAACTTTGCAAACCACTTCTGACATGTTCAATCAATCACAGCACCTTCTCCATAGACTATACAAATCTTTTTTTGCATTTCAGTTGCATTTTTACCTTTCTTGAAATAATAAAGCCTAATATGCCAAAAATGTTGCTTATTTTCTTCCATCTTCAATATTAAAATGGCTACACATTCACCAATCTTGATAAGTTTTTTCAAATGCAGGCTGATACAATACAGCTGTCACAACACAGTCTCACAAAATTGTTTCAGATGAAGTTAAAGACAACTAAGCACTACTAGAGCCATCTTACGGACAAAAACAAATGAACTTTTTGGCCAACCCAATATTTCCTCCATACGCCTGACCATTTCCACATTGCTTGTCCCTGCTCCCCTGAGCAGTGAGATACCAGAAAAAGAGGCACAGGTGCCACAATATCAGTATGGCCTTAGGCTTTGTTCTGGCTCTGATGGCCCAGTGCCACGCCTCTAGGAGTGCGGTTCCCCCCGGGTTGTTTCTCCTCCCTTCATCCTGCTAACAGCGGGGATGCAGTTACCCTCCTAAGGAAATGTGTTTCTCCATGGCTGTCCTGGCCAGCGGTCCAGCAGGCAGCAACCGTTGGGTCCAGCTCCTGTCACCAGAACTGCTCTCCTCTCGTGTCCCTAAACGAATAGAACAAGGAGGCATTTTCCCAAGAAAAGAGTAATTTGAAGGAAGTAAAAATCAAGCAATGCCAAAGAAGTCGGTCTTGATCTTTTTCTCCCATGATAAGTTTCTTTTTTCTAACTCTTGCCTACTTTGTTTTACTTGCTGATTTATTTTTGCCTTTCATTCTCTAATTTGTTCTTTATTGGAAACAAACTCATTGTCTTACCCACCCAAAAATAAACAAACAAACAAACAAATAAATTTCTTGCTAGTCTTTCCTACTACTGAATGAAAATATGTCATTAGCAAGCTACCCACATAGCCTTTATTTGAAAAAAAAATTCACTGTAATTGATTTTGTTTTAATTTCTCCCTCAAAAAGCAACAATAACAAACATGACTCCCAGTGTTGAATGAGGGCTCTCTAGATGCTCAAACTGCTGTAGGCGTACCCAGAGTGACATAACATTTTGGTGGTTTCAGAAGGCTCCAAGAGGGCACATTTGAGCAAATTCTGAGGAACAGCAAGAGTTGTTCATCAGGAAAATGAAGGCTTCTAGGCAAAGGATCCATGAGTGAAAACGTTTCAAAATCAAGGCTTGAAACAGCCTAGTGCATACTGGGAAAGTTCGGGAACATGACATACAGGTGGAGGGGTGTATGAGGTAACCACAGAACTGCAGTGAATGGTAGGCCACCTTGTATGCTACGCTAGCGATCTGGAGTCTTAGGTTGAAGGCCATGGACAGTGACATAATTAATTAAATAGCTGTTTTGGAAAGCTAACTCTGGTGGCAGGGTGGAGGCAAGAATAAGGGAGGGTGGAAGGAGTGGAAAGAACAGTGAAGAAGCTGTTAAAATAATGTAGGTGAGAAATGAAGAGGGATTGAAATAAGGTAGTGACAATGAAGTGTTAAGGAGGGAAGATATTTTAGAGAAATTAATAGCTTGACAAGATTTTAAAACCTTTGGATTTGAGAGTAAGTTTCTGGTTTGGTCAATGGGGTAAATGACGCATGTCCTGCCAGAGTTAAGGGTATCCAGGCAGAGGCCGAAGTACTGGGGGCAAATAATGAGCTTCATCGTAGACACATTCAATTTGATATGTTCATGGGGCATTTAAAAGGAGATTTCTCATAGAAAGTTGAAAATAACTCGCAGTTATAGATTAATACAGAATTATAGTTTGGTGGGGAATGAATCTCATCAATTGTAGGAGAACTATAGGGTTCATTGTAGATTGGTGGGGACTAAACTGCAGTTGATGTATCAGCTTCTGCTCCATGACAAATCATAGTCATTACTTCTCATGCTTCTGTGGTTTGGCTAAGTGTTTCTTCTGGGATGGGCTGGCTTAGCTGATCTCTACAGTTAGCCAGTAACTGGGATGGGGCTGGATGGTGTCGGATGGTGGGACTCACATGTCTGTTGATTGACACACTGGCCTACGTTGGCCCCAGCTGAGATGTCTCTTCTCCAAATGATCTCTCATCCTCCAGTAGACTCGCCTAGGCTTCTTCACATAGTGGCCTCAGAGCAGCAAGAGAGAGCAAGCCCCAATGTGCAAATACTTTTCAAGCTTTTGCTTAAACCACTTTAGTTGATATCCTGTTGGCCCAGGTGGGTCAGATGGTCAAGCCCAAAATCTGTGAAAGAAGCTAGGGAGCTCATCTTTATAATCCACCACTGTGAGGGCGTGGGAAACAAGAAGAGGGCAAGGGACAAACCCTCAAAGCTCTATATTTCATTGTCTGGGTCGGGTACATGGTAGGGGTTATAGAGGTAGAATATCTGGTCAAGGGATTAAGAAATAAACACAGAAGAAAAGAAAGAGTGGAAAGAAAAATAGAACAGGAAGGGAAGACTGGAGTCAATCAAATGCCAAAGAGAGGTCAAATTAGAAAAACGATAAAATGTCTTTAGTAAATAGGACTCTGATGACTAATTGGAATGTTTTGAGGAGGGAAAAGCCAGGTGGTGATTAATGACAGCTGGTAAAGACAGCAGGTGCAGGTTAGTTTTTCATGATTTGACAAAGAAATTAGAAGAGTAATTAAAGTTGATTTTCTTCTTATTTTTTTATATCTTATTACCTTGTTTTGTTTTTGTTTTTTAAAGATGGCAGCTGAAGGATAGGATCTCTAAATTTAGAGGTACTTTTTCTATATCTCTGATGTACGTAGGAAAACTATTCTAGTTATTACATGTTTTACTAAAGTTTAGAAGTATTCTTTGAATAACGTAAATAATTCACGTCTACTTATCTTTGTGTTGCAATTACTTTCAGTGTTTTAAAATCATAGTATTAAAGATGATCTTTTATTTTATTAATAGGATCGGAAAATAGAAGATCTTCGACAGTGCCTGAACAGGTACAAGAAAATGCAAGATACGGTATTACAGACCCAGGGTAAAAAAGGTAGTGTGGCTCTACCTGTTTTTCCGCCTAACTTGATTTTACATGGTGGTGATCTTTCTTATTTGGTCTCGGTTTCTTTCGTGGAGCATACCCATCACCCCAAATTAGATACCTCATTCATTCGTTTGGCAATATCGTTTGGCATATCTGTTCTCTGCCTCGAGGTACACAGCCTCAGAGCATGCTGTCGTCGATTGGTTGGTCACGGAGAGTCTCTCTGAGGAGTCCATTAGACAGCATTCCAGAGAGAGAGAGTGCAGCAGCACAAGCTAGAACTTCCTTTGTGGGTGTGAGGGGATGCAGAGAAGCTGGTGTGTTAAGAAGCAAAAGATCAGTGTGACTGGAAGGTAGCGATTGGGTGCAGAGTGAGAAGGGCTCACAGAGGTGACTGCCAACTACATGAGGAGCTTTGCTCTTTCTTGGCCTGAGGGATCCACTGAAGAGTCTCAAAAGCTAATGCCATGCCCTTTGTAACAAACAGCCCATAGTGGGAGAGAGCGATGTTGGAAGGAAGGAAAGCTATTTAAGAGACTCTTGCAGTATTGCAAGTGGAAAGATCTGATGGTACTGACTGGAATTACATTTTGGTGTTAGAGTCAAAGTGATGATGTTGAATTAGATGAAGAGAGTGAAGAAGAGGAAAGAATCAAGAAAGATCTCTGACTAAAGCAACTAGGTGGATGATGGTTCCGTTTACCAAGATAGAGAAGCCTAGGGGAGGAACACTGGAGTGCTCAAGGGGGATTGTGTTCATCTCTGAATATGTTTAGTACACACACACACACACACACACACACACAACCCCTCTGAGACATCTAAGTAAAGATAGTTATGCAGTTTGTTGTATTTAGTACCATTTTATCTGTAGGTGGGCCAACCAGTTGTCCTCAAATGTAGGAAAGCTTTGGGAATCATTCAAAATGAAAATGTTGAGGACTTTAAAAGTTCTCTTGTTTATTAGCAATGCATAGAGAGGGATTATTTGCTCTGGAAATTAGCAAGTCTTTTGGAAGGTACTCCTGAAACACTCAAATTATGAAATTTTAATGCGTTTACAAAGAAAATCCTGCTTTGGACCAGAATTTCTGAAAGGGGAAAAAAAAGGGCCTTCTTTTTGTTCACAGGGTTTGGCATATATTAAGACTTTATAAATATCTGAATGAGCAAGTATACTTCTGATTATCAGTATTGACGTGTGGCAGTTCTCATCACTCTGCATTTCTATATCCTCAAAAGAGCTCTTTTAAGGAATATTGCAAATTTTCAAGTAGTTCGTTTTTACATAGGCATAGTACATAAAATGTTTAATTTTATAGAATCTCAACACTGTAATTTTTGTGTTTAAAAAACAAGGAAGAACAGATTAATTCCTATAATTAGGCCACATTATGAAATATTTTAAAAGTAGGGAAAGGGGTAAAAATCAGTTATAATTATGCTGGCATAAGCACATAAGCACTCTGGGCGTTTTTATGTGTTTCTTTCTAATCATTTTTTCTAAGCATATAAATGTGTAACTAAATGAGGTCGTTTTAAACCATGTACAACAGAATAGATTTTCATAAACCATTCAAAATGATGTCCTATTCTGCTAAAGAGTCATATAGCAGTGATTTCTCATTAGGATTTATAATTTATATTTATTTAGTTAATTCTTATACAGTTCTAATAAAACTAAATTGTAATAAAATTAGAATGCAAGTATGAGCCCTGGCTGGTGTGACTCAGTGGATTGAGCACTGGCCTGCAAACCAAAGGGTCGCTGGTTTGATTCCCAGTCAGGGCACATGTCTAGGTTATGGGCCAGGTCCCCAGTAGGTGGCGCATGAGAGGCAACCACACATTGATATTTCTCTCCCTCTCTTCCTCCCTCCCCTCTCTTCTATCTAAAAGTAAATAAAGTCTTAAAAAATGTTTTTTAAAGTCTAATTAAACCTAATTTAAGAAGCTATGTTTAGTGTAACATCGCTAAACAAGCATATGATTTATCATTTTGTATTCAGAGATCAGTTTTAAACATCATTCTTTGTGTTTTTTTAAAAAGAAGTACCTGCCACTGTGTTGTTCAGCACAGGTAATCCTTTTCATTTCTGGAGATGTGAAAATTCTCCAAGTTGCTGCTTTGACAGATATATGGTTGCTTTTCCTCCTTAGGCTGTTCTTTCTGCTTTAAAATGAATGGAAGAAAAGGGTCCTCTTGAGGGATCAAGAGGTTGTTATCTCTTTTTCTCCTTTCTATAGTCCTCCCCACCTTCCCTGCTGCCACCCCAACCCAGGAGCACAGTAATGATAAAACTGAGTTGTTTAAATGGTGACTCTGTGCTGTTTGGAATCAGTTTGTTGTACCACTGATATTCCTTAGCCTGGTTATTTCTAAACTGAAATTTGTAAAGCCCCAGGTTTTGAAACAGAATTACAGGAGGGTTGTTGAACTGAATTAACTTTTAGTTTCAATCTTGTGAATCTGTGATTGCTCCTGTCAACACCATTATCAGTTAATGCCACTGCTGGGTACTCAGGTGGCCCAGAAGTCCCTGGGCCTCTCAGGTGCTCCAGTGTAAGGTGTTTCCCAGGTCCCGTGTTGTTGCTTTTCAAGTGATGCCAGAGGTTGACTCTGGTTTTTGAGGATCAAAAAATTTTTTTACATTTAATACATTTGGGATTCTTTTTCCAAAAGTGAAATGTAAATGCAAATTTGCTGTTGTCCTTTGTCTTTTCCTAGGCCAAGAGGGTGACTATGAAGATCCGCTCACTTCCAGCTCCTTCTCCACTTTGCTGGATGTGCAGGGTTTTAGTGAACTGGAGAAAAGCCTGTCATCTACGCCAGTAACGGGCTCTCCCAGCCGCGACCCATTTAACGCAAGTGTTCCCGAAGAGGTATTTATAGACTCGCAGTATTTTCTTCATCCTGAAGAGACTGTGCCGTTGAAAGTTAGAGGGCTGTTGACAGCACGAAAGACATGGGCTTTTTCCCTCAGTCTGATTGTTGACTTGGTTCATTCTGGCAGCTTTGTGTCCTACAGGTTGTCACTTGAAGTGTGTGGGGGGGTTTTCCCTTCTTTTTAATAAATGCCCTGGGCAGTGTCAAAACTGCTTATATAATTCAGGAAAAACATACGAATCCGTTGGAGAGATGTGTCATCTTCAGTATGGGATTATAATCTACATTTTAAATACGCAGGGAAGAAATAAAGTGGCAATAAAGTGAGATTACATAAAGAAGTTGATTTTAGTCACCTCCGAAGGATGGTGGAATAAAACTTCCCTCTGACTTTTTTAGCTTTGGAAGGAGCAACTGGAGGGGAATAAAGTTGTAAACTATCTACTTCATTTTCACACCAAATTGCCACCAACACCTGTTGCCGTTACCTGTCGCACACCACCCCGAAACTTTGTGTTTTGAATGACAACACTTATTTTGCCAACGGATCTGCCATTTGGACGGGGCTCAGCAGGAATTTGGCGGCAGCGGAGTGGCGTGAAGTTGGGTGCTGAGTCACCCGAAGGCCACTCATTCGTCTGTCCGTTGGTTGAGGCTGGCTGTTGGCTGGGACGCCAGCGGAGGCCCTGGCAGGAACCACTGCGTGGTGGTGGCTGGGTCCTGAGGATGAGCATCCCAAGCAGAGGACTGGGCAGATCTGTATCACCTTTTGTGACATGTCTCAGAACTCACGTGGCATCCCTCCTCCTTACCTGCAGGCCGCTGAGATTCACAGAGAGGGAAACATCCACGACCTCTTGATGGACAAGTGGCAGTATCACAGTGGAGAGACACATGAGATGGGCTATATTGGTGCAACTATCTTTGGAAAATAGATCTGCCCCTCCACCCTCAGGCTACAATAGTTTACATCCCTCTCCCGTGCGCCGTATACCCACCCCCTCTTTGAGAGACCCCTTAGTCTCATTCCAGTTAGGCACCAGCATTGCAGGCCCTTGTCGTCCAGATCAGGTCAAGACGTAGGTGGACCTCCTCAGGTGAATCTTCTTGGGCTCAGCTTCTTGGCTACCAGTCCACTCAATTTTAAGAACCAGGAACTTAACGGACAAGCTCTCTGTCCCCCACACACCGGACATACAGTAGTGGGATAGGTAGAGCATAACTGTCCCAGGCACTCTCATTTAAAAAAAGGGGACACAGGAGGCACACAGGTGCCACTAGGTCATAGTACTTCCAAAATCCAGCCAGGTGCCTGGTTCCAGTTCCTTTATCAGGACTCAGTCCTCTGGGCTTTTGGCTCCTTCCTCTGAGTCACCTTCCCTTTTCCACAAGAAGGAAGGTGTATTTGCAGACTGTAGTTTTCTGTAAAAGTGTCCATCTACATCCAAAGCCTTCCGTAATTTTCTCCTGTCTCCTCCCTTTTAATCTAATTTGGTACAATGTTTTAAACATTTAGAATTTCTTATGAATCAATTTGTTACTCCATTAGATATAAGCATATCCACAAATACCTTCCCAATAAGCCTGTCTCTACCTTAGGTTCCCTGTAAGGATAGTGGGGACATCCCTTTATTTTTAGAGTTTTAGATCTTTTTTAAGGGTTCAGTGAAACAGAACCACCGCATATCTTCCTGAGATCATAGTAAAGCCACACGCATGTCTTCATTTTAAGAGTGTTTTCCTGACAGCACCCTGAATCCATTGCTTAATTTTAATGATGTGTGCTGTCTGGAAAGACAAGGAATGGGAAAGAGTTTTGTTTTTGAGCAAAACAACGCTGGCTGCCTTATGTTTACCTGTCCCTTCTTTGGTCATCTCTCTTCTCTACCATTTTACTATCAGTAATGAGAGGAAACCAAATGGCATCTTTATTTTTTACGTCTATTACTGATAATTACATAATGAGAAAGTGAAATTTGAATTGAATGAAAATGAATTCCAGGAGAAAACAATGAACATTTCTCTCTTAAATATAAGAGAGGGCTAAATTACGTCATTCACATGGAATTAGCCGGCGAGGGGATTGGTGGTGAAAGGGTACACGTTTCCGGTTAGAGGATAAATAAGTCCTGGGGATGCAGTGAACAGCCAGATGACTGTAATGCACACTGCTGTGTGGTGCATTTGAAAGTTGCAAGGCGAGTACATCCTACAAGTTTTCATCAGAAGGAATATAAGTCAATGCATTATGCTATAAACTTGAAACTTAACCAATGCTGCATGTCAGTTCTCTGTCAATTAAATTGAAAATAAAAGGGGGGGATTAGTTAAGGAGTAAGATATATTTTAGAGGGGGAAAAAAATCCCAATTGTTAAGTATACATTTATAGTGAAGGGAAAAGTTTCATTCGACAGCCATTGAATGCGTTACATTCATAGAGAGAGGCTGCTGTTACATGTAGGATATGCCCCGATAATTTCATATCCTTAAAAAAGGTCTTTGCTAGGTGCACTGTAGTTTTAATGACAGATTTTTTAGTCTGGGACAAGAATGATTCAATGAGGATTAAGGGTGTTCAGCCACATTTTTAAAGAAAAGCTGGGAGGGAGATTCAAAGTTGGATTTAAAGCCCTAAAGTTTGAAAAGAAATCAAGAAAATCAGTCTGCTAGTGGAGATTTTTTTTCCCCCCTGATTAGGCACCCAAGGAGATAAGAACTTTTGGAAACAGGAAGGATGGCTAAATTAGTCATCCTTCCTGTTTAAATTAAAGTTTCAAACTGAAAAAGAAATGGTAGTGAAATAACAGCAATATGACTTGCTAAAGAACAAAATTCGACGGAGTAAGTTTTAAAGTACTTGTTGGCTTTACTCAGCAATTCATGAATCCAGCAGCATCCAGTCTAGGAGACAGAAAGGAGACCCAATTAGCTCTACAACATGAAAGGCTTCTGTAGAAGGGAGCAGGAACAGGGAAGTCATATGGGCATTTGCTGATTGGCTAAAGCAGGGTTACTTTCCTCACATGGAGCAAAGGGAGGTCTTGGAGTCCAGTTAGGTAACTTGTGGGAGCACACAAATAGTGATTGGTTGACCTAGGCCTTCCTCTTCTGGGATGGCTGAGCACAGAAAGGTTGTTGAGTTCAGGTTTGCTGATGTGGGGCTTAGCATGAGCCACACCATCTTCAGCCCAGTCTGGTTACTTTAACAGACTTCACATTTGATGAACTTTTATGGTGTCAAAGGATGAGACCACCACTCAGTCACTGAAACAAAAATCACGAAGCTGAATTTATTGCTTATTTAAATGAAATCTGTTGGTCAAGGACATTCTCTCCAAGCTGATCATTTGTAGGGTTTTTAGGTGCTTGGAGCTCAGGGCTGAGTGGGCTTTCAGAGGTGGGAATGAGTCGACAGCAGCAGTCTGGCGATGAGAAGGTGAGATGGTTGTTGACTGGGTGGCATTTAGAAGTGTGTTTGCTGGTTTGATTCCCTGCCTGACTGACTGGCTGACTTCTAGAAGTGAATCATGGATTGATTGACTTGTAGCAGTGAGTCAACTCACTGAGATGAGTTTTGTTTATTTTTTTACTGGAATTTTTTTTTTTTTAGTGTTTCATTTATTTGTTCATGATGTGGCCTACAATCTAACTGCTCTATGGTTGTCAGAAATTATTGAATACCAAGAGTATACAAAGTCTTTCACTGGGTCCATCCTTAGGCTACACAAGGCATTTGTTTGGGAAAATGTTATGTGTTTTGTTGTTGTTGTTGCTGTAATATTGTTACTATTAAGGAAAGTGTTTTAAGTGGTGTAGCCACACAGTACATTATAAGTTGTTTTAATTAAACTTTCCATCAGTTCTATTAATTGAAGTTAGCTTGTTCATACATAGAGTAATAATTAACTGATTTGACCAACAATCTATTTTAGACTCATGGAAACTAAAGTGAAAATAGTGCTGTGTTTACATAGCATTTTTACCCAAATCTCATCATAAATCATTGCAAGCCTATAATGTAACATTGTCATTCTATTTTTATTTATTTATTTTGTCCTCACCTGAGGACATGTTTATTGATTTTAGAAAGAGGGGAAGGGAGAGAAACAACAATGTGAGGGAGAAACATTGATCAGTTGCCTCTCCTACATCTTCTGACCAGGGACTGAACCCTCAACTTACTCATCTGCCCTGACGGGGAATTGACCCCAAGAAGACCCTTTAGCGTATGGGGTGATGCTCCAGCCAACTGAACCACACCAGCCAGGGCATCATTCTCATTTCACAGAGGAGAAAACTGATGCTCATTTAAGTGACTTGCCTTAGGCTGTGTCAGAGCCAAGACCTCAACCAGGGCTTGAAGCTGTTAGGATTTACTGTAGTATTAACTAACTTAATGGTATTTATTATGTCTTACAATATTCAATGTCTTATTTAGAACCAAGTTCAAAAATTACCTTCCTCCAGAAAGTTTTTTCTGATTAACCTTTCTAGATGTTTATATCCTGAATTTTTGTTACTCTGTGGCTTATGTTTTGTTTGATAGATTAATTTTTGACTTTTTATTGTTATATTACAGTTCCATACCAGCATCTTGCAAGTTTCAACCCCTTCATTATTACCAACATCTAAAGGCTTGGAAACTTCTGAAAAAGCAAAATTGCCTCCTAAGCCAGAGACTTCATTTGAGGAGAAGTATGTCATTTCTGTCCTGATGTTGCAAACAACTGTATAAATGTTTAGGAAAGTAGACCATACAAAAACAAGGGTGCTTTACAGTTACTTATAGACATAGTTTTTCACCCAAAGAAGCAAGAAACAGCAAGACTTGTACCAGTGAGCCAAAATCAGTTCTGCATCATTCTAATAAAATGTGTGAAGCCAGAAGGAACTGGAGACGAGGCTGAGTAGTTGTGGCAGTAGGTTAGAGAGAGAGGGATTCTCCAGAACTTAGGTTTCATATCCTAGGTGTTGGGTGGCCACCAGAGGGTTGCAGATAGAACAGTAACAGTCATGTGACTGAAGCTACTGGGACAATGGCTACAGAGGAGACAGGACAGGGATACCAGAGTTTCTGCTCAGGCAACTGAGGTTTTGGAGGAACGTATTCCCAAATTAAATGCCTAATCTTATAGTTAGACAAAACAAAATAAAATGGAATATCCAGAAAAGAAAGAGAGAGAAAGAAACATCTTCTTTGCACAATTGTTTGTTTTCACAATTCTGCTCACTTAGAATATGTATGGTCTTTTCTTCATGAAGTTCATAAGTACTTTTTTTTTTTTTTTTTTTTAAATTTTAGTGATGGCAAAAGAATCCTTGGTGCCGCTGTTGAAACTCAACTGTCTGATAGTAGTCTTTCGTAAGTTTTAAGTTATTGAAGTTAAAACATGTGATTGGTACGTGGGAGAGAGGAAGCTTCTTTTAAACTAACAGTGACCAACGTTGAAAGTGAACCACCCTGAGGCTCGAATGAGCGAAGGCAGCGGTAACGCCTGAGTGGGAGGTGAGGGCGGGGGTTGTAAGATAATGAAGAAATGCTTGCTCATTACGCGTTGTCTCGTGTCAGGTTTCCGTGGGTCACGGCCGCCTTCACCAGTTTTCATCTGAAATTCAGTGCTTGTAATTTCATCTTTGTGTTGATATTGATAAAGTTTAAATCTCACGGAAAAAAATCCCAGAAAATGATGTGATGGCTGGAGAGGCTGCAGTGGTTTTTTGCACTTTCAAATTGATAAACTGACCTTATATCTATGTTTATCCAAGTTAAAGTCTGGATTAAAGTAGGAAAATCTATTTTTCAAGCAGTATTCAAAGATGAGATCTTTTTTCACCTTTATCTTTTACTTCATTTGGTAGTCGACACTTCTAGCAACTTATTTACACATGAGTACCTGAGAAATGCCTTTTAAAAGTTCATTTGTATATTTATACTTTTTCTTAGAGCAAAAGGTATTACTTTTTTCTCTTTTTTAAACTGGTCACATAATTCCTACCGTCAATTTTGAGTAAGACCAGCTCTGTAAGACTGATGCTAATTATGTGAGAGAGAATGTCTCTGGTGTTTACAGCCACTTGGCCTGCTCTAGGGTAGCAAGTGAATTGTGTGGACAGCAATAGGGCTTCTTCTATTGTGCTTCGATCAGAATTATAAAATGAAGTGCTCTGTTAGACTCAGAAAATTGATTCTTTTATGAATTGGCAAGTAAACTTAATTGTCATCCCTTATTTTAACTGGAAGGGTTCTATGTAAATAGTACAGGAGTACTTAAAAAGTTCCCGACTTAAATGTATACATGCAAAGGACTCAGCACTAGGCTATGGAAAACACTGGTTTTAATTTTCAAATATTGACATCACAAGGATGGTCCTAAGTGTTTTTCCAGCTACTCAAACATGTGCAGGACATTTAGAGTTATTGGCAGGACAGTTAACCACCCCTGCTTTTAAAAGAACTAAATGTTATAATTTACTTAAGCACATAAGTGACTGCCTGAATCCAGAGTTTCTTTTATTACCAGGATTCAACCCACACACAATTTTAGATTCTTTCCAAGATATTCTCCTTAAAAACAGTGGCACCAGAGCCACTTGTTATTAATTCTAATTATTATTATTGTTATTTTTAGAGCTTCAAGTCTGCAAAAGTCTAGCAGCCTGGGCAACCTGAAGAAAGAGTCATCAGATGGGGTTGGTTCTGTGTTTTTTTCCTGTCTGTTATCCCAAGAAGAAACTATTTAGGGATCTTCATCTTTTTTCATTTTGCGAATAAAACTCTTAAGAAGAGCTTGTGGTTTCTCTAACGGAAAATTGTTAGATACCATGGTTAAGGATAAATATCAAGAAGTATGATAGGAAGGATTGAAAGTAGTACATAAAATCAAAAATAGGGACTTTAATAATTAAATATTGTCAGAACTAAATGAAACTCAGATTTTTTTAGTTGGGATATGTATATGTATTTATATGTGTGTATATGTATGTGTAAATTTATTTTAATTTATGGAATCGTATGTGACAAATTTTGAACATATAAAGGATTCCTATAATAACCTTAACTGCTGTTGTTTTGAACAGGAAAAGGAGTCCATTCAGAAGCCTTCAGAGGTAACTTTTATATCTAGATTACAATGTAAAAATGTTTTAGATTTCTAATGCATCCAGTAAACCAAAACTCCCAGAAACATGCTAAGTGAAAGAAGCCAGGCACAAAAGAGCGCATCTTACATGATTCCATGTGTGTGACATATCCAGAATCAGTAAATTCGTGGAGACAGCACATTGATTGGAGGTTGCCAGGGGTGGAGGAGAGTGGAATGGGGAGAAACTGCTTCATGGGTAGGGGATTTTACTTTAGCGTAACGGAGGTATTTTGGAACCAGATAGAGGTGGTGGTTTGCACAACATCGTGAGTGTACTGAATGCCACTGAAGTGTTTACTTTAGGAGAGTTACTTTCATGTTATGTGAATTTCACTCCCATAAAGTTATTGGGAAAACAAAAACAAAATGCCAAACTTAGACCTCACAGAAAGCCTATCTTAGATAGCCAATGGTTTATTTTATAAACAACCTTGTCCACCTACACAGGAAACGCTTGCTATTTTAAAGGCATCGTTGACATGGGCTCTGGTTCTTCATTCCTCTGATTTTCACTCATTTACCTCATAAAGGTTACTGTCTGGTAGACAGGCTACTTCCAGCTGCAGTCTCTTGACTGTTGGCTTCCAGTGCTGTGAGTCATAATGTAGGTATAGCTGACGAAGCACAGACAGTGGACACAGCTATAATGAAAGTCATCTTCTGTTCTCTTTGCCTTGCCAATTCAGTAGTTGAGTGATTTTGACATTGCTGTTAAGCCACTAAATCTTAGCATCTGTAAAGTGGTAGTTACTATGAGCCGTAAAGTTGTAGAGTAAAAGATCCAACTACCTTAAGCCTATGTCTCCTTGCTCTTCTCTCTACCTGTACTAAAAAAATGAGAGGACAAGAGATGTTAGAGACGTGAGAACATCCAAAGAAAAGCATTGTTGTATAATACTGAAACCATATAAAAGACTGCGTTACTGTAATTGCCAGTTCAAATAACCAGAAAGCTCAAAAAATAAGCAATATTGAAAAGCATGATTTAATCACAATTGAAGTTCTTGATAAAGACCTTGAAATATTGTAGAAATCTGAAGGAGCTTCTGAATCAACCAAGCAAAATTTAATTATAGCGAGTTTAGTTTTAGTTAAATATATCTGAATGTATCACAGTTTTTGAAAATTGTTGATCAAATATGGTAACTCCCAAGCAAGATATGAGTATATCCTAGAATCTCATTTCAAAAATATATTTTAAACAGTTGCTGATTATACCTTTTACTATTATTCTTTGAGAAGAATATATAAAATAATTGGAGTACAGTCTTCTTATACTGCCTGTATAGAAGCTTGGGATTAATGCTTGCTTTGTAGAATAATTATATTATACTGAGCTTATATTGATGTGGTTATATTATAATGAATATAAACTGTATTATAGCCTAATCTACATCATAACTATTGGAAAAGTAAGAAGTCTGTTGCTATTTTAGGTTTTTATCTCCATTTTTTTGGAGGAATGAGTCAAATAATATTTGAGAATTTATCTATCTATCCTAATATTTAAAGTCCCTAATATTTAAATATATGGATTATAGATAGGTTAGTGACGAACCTGTTTTTGCTGTTGTTTCTTAAGTAGCTTTCAGAATTGACTTTTTAAACTTCTAATGTGGCACCTGATATTCATAATCAACTTATTTATTTATTCTTTTGAATAAAATCACATGTGTAACATAGTATTGTGTCTGGCACATACTGATAATTACGTGCATTAGTGCTATGTTTCATTTATGTTTACTTCTCTCTCAGGATAAAACTCTGGTAGGAAGCAGCCCATTTGGGAGCCTCCCTCCCAAACCTCCAGGACACGATGCCTCTGCGGATGACAACCCCTTTGGCACTCGAAAAGCCAGATCTTCCTTTGGTCGTGGCTTTTTTAAAATAAAAAGTAACAAGAGGACAGCAAGTGCACCAAACTTGGGTACGTATGGCCAACATGCCTTTGCCATAATTCTGTCAGAACAAGGAAGAGATCAATTTCTTTCCTTTCCTTATTCATGTATTTATACATTTCTCTTTCTCATAAATGAAGGTGAATGACTTAGGGGGAAAATGAGCAAAAAATGCTTCCGTGGATTTGAGAACGTGGTATGAAGGTAGCCCTGTGCAGACTCTCACCCCGCATTCTCTCCTGGGGTGTAAACAGAAGACCTACAATCATGATTCTCTCTGACTTCATTATAAACTGCTTTCCCGTCTGTTTTTCAAGTGGATCAATTAACCCCATGTTGACACTGTTAATGGAGTCTGCGGGAATTCCAGAAGCCTGTCCTCCCGCTGTGTGTATTTTGGGAGTAGGAGTCTGATCTGTGTTTCATTTTGTCATTCCCCTGTGTTCTCTCCATGGGGCTGCGTGTGATTGTGTGCGTTGTTGGGATACCTGAAGATCGTAAACGAAGTGCCAGTGCACCCACCTTAGGTACCGTACCCCTGCATGCCAGCCTTGGCCAGCACCGCTCTCCCAGCCGAGCTAATCCCTGCTCTTGGCATCTGTGATCTCTAGAAAGCGAGCTGGCAGCAGTCAAGAAATGAAGTTCTCTACTCCAGAGTGTTCTTTCCACCTTCTGCTAAAGAGGACTCTCAGTAGAACCTTTGCTTCCAAGCAGAAATGCTGTTGTGAGCAATGCTAATGCCACCTTGCGAGCAGCTCTGGGGGATCCGGAAGTGCACAGTGTCCCTCGGAGCGCAGGGCGGGCATGTCCTGGCATTGTGAAGGCCGGCTTTCACCCCTGCGGCACAGTTCCTCTCACGCTCACTCCCAGGCACTGGCAGTTCCTTCATGTTTCCGTTTTCCCCAGCCTCAAAGAAAGAACGGTTTTTCACCAAATAGGCCTCTGGAAGACATTGAAAATGGTTTTTTAGACTTCTCTTAGGGGTATGTTCTTCTGACATTTTATTGCTTTGAAGATAGAGGTAACATTCAGCCACGTCACAGGTAACTTTACCTGTTATTTGAGGAGTTGCCCCCAAAGTGATTTTAGGAGGGGAAGCTCAGTTTTCTTCTTTAAAAGAGAAGGTACAGAAGGAAAAATAAAATCCTACAAATAAAAATGAGATGCTTTTAAAACGAGGGCAACATTTCAGAGATGGCAATACCCACCAAGGCTGTAGCTTTTGGATGGGAAGGCCCCTTTGGGTTTTCCTGGTAGGGCTGTTACCTTGTGCAGGTATCCACACATTTATTCACATGGATCATCAAAGGTGACTCCTCTCTCTTTGTAGCCTTAAATGTCTAGAATGAACACTGGAGGAATCAGCTAAACTGATTCAGACAACTATTTTCAAATGTTACCTTTCTCGGAAGAAAGGTATCGTCGATGCTAAGAGGCAAATGCTGCTTACTATAACCTATAACCACAGCTCCGCTTCATAGAAAAGTCAACCCCTGCAACCTTTATATCTTTCTAAGACACTGCTCCTGTGATTTTTGTACAGCTTTTACTTTCCTCTATAAAAGTGTAAAGTCTCTCATTAAAGAGTAGTAGTTGTATTTGCTAGTGCAAGATCACCCCATTAAGGAACAGCTAAATGAACTAAAGTAGTTAATGCTTGGAGATCTGGGAGTAGCAAAGTTGGATGTTATTTTTAAGGCAGCATCAACAGGCGCTAATTTTATAACAAAAGGAAAATTTATTCATATTCAGTTCATTCTTCTCTCAGTGCCTAGTATATAATAGGTTATAAACAGAAATAAATTTATTTAGTAAAGAATTGCCAGAACTTGGTGACTGATTTGAAATATATGTCAAAGGTAAGGAAGGACTGAAAAGAAAATGACAAAGTTTGAACTGGAGTGCAAGAAGCATATTAATTAATATTAATGAAATATTAAGGAAATTAAAGAGAAGACTCAGAAAAATTGGATGGAAACTTTGCTGAGTCTAAGATGTTCCTGGCACACCAATTTGGAAATATATACAGAATCCAGATACTGAGGCTGGGGAGAAAGACGAAGTCCAGAGATTTTGATGCCAACTGCTCATCAGTGAATGAGGCCATCATTTAGTGCTCAGCATAGAGTGGATGAGCTTGTCAGGAGATCCTGCTGAGGGAACTTAGGAAAGAACCTTGGAGTGGCATAGAGTGGAGTGGAGGATGAAGAGAGAACAGGGTGCTATAGCAAGGAAGGAACTATCAGATAAGAGATCTAGGAGAGGGTCACAATAAGAAGCTAAAGGAGACGATGAGTTTGAAGGATGTAGGAGAGAGTCAACAGTGCCAAATGGTATAGCAAGATGGAGGATAATTTCGTTATGAGTTAAATCACTCAAGAAAAGAACATGGCAATCGTATCACACCTTTGAATTTCAAACGAGTTGTAATTTTTAAGTTAATTAACTTTATACACAATTGACTGTAGAGTAGACAATACATTGGTGTCCATTTTTAATATTTGTAGGGTGTTCTTTGTAAAGCATTGGTACATAGACCAAGAATTCTTACCTGTTGTTAAAGCCAAGAAGGTTAACATGTAGTCATGTTCATTTCATATATTAATATTCATTGAGTTTGTATTCTCTTCTTGGGATAGCTGAAACAGAAAAGGAAACAGCCGAGCACCTAGACCTGGCTGGTGTAGCTTCTCGGCCAAAGCATTCACAGGGCAGCAGTCCCTTCCCGATATCTCCATCATCTCCAGATTCCAAAAAGAAATCCAGAGGCATCATGAAACTCTTTGGAAAGTAAGTAGCAGAGTGAACAAGTGGGATGGGCTTTGTGTTCTATGTTGCTCAAATATAGGAATAAATGGAAAATTGGCTGAAAATGAATATGAAATTGTAAAGCTATTGTGTTCCTCTACTGGAAGGAAGATTGTAATTTGGGATTCATTAACTCATTGGGTCTCAAAGTTTAAATCCAAATGTCTATTTTAATGACATACAAAGAGGAGTAGCTCAGATGTATGCACCAGTTGAAAATATTCTGATTAACTGTAAAGTCTAAGGCCTCTTCAGGTCTAATACAAGGCGATGTATGATGTATCTTCTCTTTAGACTTAGGAGAAGTCAGTCGACTACCTTCAACCCAGATGACATGTCTGAAACTGAATTCAAAAGAGGAGGGACGAGGGCAACTGCTGGGCCCCGATTGGGCTGGTCTCGAGATTTGGGACAATCTAATAGGTAAGAATGGCCAAACTAACGACCTTTTGCGAGTCTACCCAAACATTAGGGTCTTGTGAGCAACTGCGATGTTAGGATTGTTCCTGGGTTACACAATCAAACTCATTGTTTACTGTCACACCTAGTGGAAGCGTCTGCCAACTTTAGAGCAGTGTAATTTGACAGAGGTTCGTGAACAACTGTACAGAAGATGTGGGCTTCGTGAGCTAGGTGAAGAGTCATAGCTAAAGTGTCTACAACATTTGTACTAGAATAACTATTGGACTTAAATTTTCAAAGAAAATAATTATACATACTCTAAAGCATACCCTTGCAAAGATGGGATCAGTGTAGTGTTTGGAGTAGGTTCTAGAGGCAGAATGCTTGAAGGCAGAATCTGATTTCTGGCCTTACCACTTCCTATTAACTGGGATACCTTGAACAACTACTTTCATCCTCTGTGCCTCTGCTTCTCATGGTATTAATTAGTACCTACCCCCCCTGCACCTGCCAAAAGTAGTTGTTATGTGTGCTAAGTATCTCGCAAATAATAACTGTTCAATAAATATTAGTGACTGATGGAGTCCGAAAGCACTTAAAGACATCAGTTCTGTCAGCAATCTTAAGTTTATTAGATTAATTAATGTTTAATTAATAAAGCATTAATAACTATATAATGTTTTATTTCTTACTACTCTTAAGAACTTTTCCTACACCCTTCTCACAGTTCAGAGCTGGTTTGGAACCACTATACTGACCTGCTGAGCATGAAAAGCTTGGGGTTGGCAAACACATAGCAGAAATCATTGATACTGAATCTTTTTAGAGTGATCATGGGCCAGAAAGCTTTTAAAGCATGGTCCCTCCCACTCTGGTGGAAGACTGAGCTTCATCACCGAGGAAACTCTGTTTAACTTACTTCAAATACTTAGCAGTCTCATTTGCCATATGTTCTCTTTGTACACAATGGAGGACCTCCTTGTGCTAATAAAAAAAAAAAAGCCTTGTTTATCACCTCATTTTTTTTTTTTTAAACAGGAATACTATTTGTGCGTCAAAGAACACAGAAATTCGCTTTGATTATACGTTCTTATCCTCAGTGATGGCATATTGCCCTCTTCCCATTGATTACTCTTTGGAGAGAAACCATAATTCTGCTAAAGTTAATTTAAGTTTGACTTGAGTTTCTTTTAATCTGACCTAGTGTTTTCTGTTTGGGAGTTCAATCTTCAAACAATATTGGTTGAAACTTATACAATGACTAGATTTGTTGGTTCAGCTCTGTCTTCTGTAAAACATGTTTTTGCTAAACCACATTGAATTTTTTGTGGTTTCATTTGAAATGAAGACCGTGGTCTTACAAGGTCACCTTCAACTCCAGTGCCATTTCCTCTTCCAAATATGTGCTGATAATTAAGCTTTTCATGGTCAAATGTGTATCACCAGGAAATTCCCATGTCTGTTGAATATACAGTTCAACCTTGATGATAAGCCACAACATTGTCTTTGAGTTGTTTTTCATGCAATTGTTCATTTTCTTCCTATAGTGACTTGGATATGCCGTTTGCCAAATGGACCAAGGAGCAGGTTTGCAACTGGCTTGTGGAACAGGGCCTTGGGTCCTACCTGAATCCTGGCAAGCACTGGATTGCATCTGGCCAGACACTTTTGCAGGCTTCTCAACAAGATCTAGAGAAGGTGACTGCTTCTCTGTTTTGTTTACACAATGAATTCTGAGAGAGAGAGAATATAAATGCGGGATTGTTTTCTACGCCATAAAGTGGAATGGGGGGAGCCAGGAAGCACTCTTGAAAAAATCTGGGTTTCCCGCTTCACGCTTATTTTATTTCATGGACTAAAAACAAAGGACCTGGTGGTAATGATCCCTTATGAAACACTTAAGCCACTGGACATTTTAATGAAAAATAATTATATAGCCATAATAATAAATCTTAAGCTCATATTTCTCAAAATCATTTTGCGGCTTTATCATTAGCCCATCTCCCCAGTGTAATATATGCAATTCAACTTCACTGTGCAAAAGGAAAAAAAGAGAAGAGCCCTATATTTTATGTTCTATTATTTAACATTTCTTCCCCATTACTTCCTAATGATTTAACATCTTATACAAAATAAGAGTAGAATTCCTGTTATGCTTCCTATAGTTCCAGTCTTGCAAAGGAAAGAGCCTGCTAGTAAATATCTCACACGCCACTAAACTAGCTGCAGTGATTTTTGGCTTTCTAGGGGCCTTTTGTTCAGCAACTTTTTATTAGCCTGAGTTAGTATTCTGATTTAATGTAATTGTTGGCTCATTGATGCTGGCTTCATTTTGGAGGAATTTGCATCCTTTGCCAGTGGCATGCAGCCCATACTGACAGAATGGTAAAGCCAGTGTTTCTGTTTATTATTTCAGGAACTTGGAATCAAGCATTCACTTCATCGAAAGAAACTCCAGCTGGCATTGCAAGCTCTGGGATCTGAAGAAGAAACCAATCACGGAAAGCTAGATTTCAACTGGGTCACTAGTAAGAGGTTTTAAATTCTTAAATTTGTAAATAAGTAAGTAAATGATGCTGCTTTTTCTCTTTCATCACAGGCACAGGTTTTCTCTGGCATGTCAATGACACAGATTTCTCTCCTTTAGGATGGTTGGATGACATCGGTCTCCCCCAGTACAAGACCCAGTTTGATGAAGGACGGGTGGATGGGCGAATGCTCCATTACATGACCATTGTAAGTGATTGTCACAAGTGTATGTCCGTGATACAGTCTTTTCTATAAGTCAACCAGGCAACTGCTCAGCTAGCTGCCTGCTGAGCAGCCCGGCACCGAGTAGACAAGAGTCACACACAGTAACTATGCGGTTCACTCAGCTTTTATTGAATGCAGGGTTCACCCAAAGTAGAACATCAACATACATTAATATCCTACTCACACTGTAAGAATCCAAGAGAAATATAACACAGACACAGCAGTCAGTGGGGGATAACGAACTCGAGTCCCAGAGTCTCAGTCTGCAAGTCAGGAGGACAGCAAGGTGGGCATGCGAGTTGTCAGCGTCTTGCAAGGAAGGGTCTCCGGAGCCAGGTGGGCAGCAGGGCAGGCGAAGTCCTCAGGACAGCAGGGCAGAGTCTCCGGTGGCCAGCTCCCAAGGAGGTCAGTGTGGCGTGGAACAGCGCTCTGGTGTGTGGAGCTCAGCTGTCTCAGCAGTGGTCTGGGACCTGCCTCGGTTATACCTTGAAAGTGGCGTGCTCCACCATTCTGGGTCATTCGATAAATGTCTTGGCACCCCTGGCGGCAAGTGGGGAATTCCCCCAGGAGCCTATGTAGGGGTGGGCCCGCACTGCAGACATGGCTGTTCTGATCACATGTGCAAATATCTTAAGTGTGTCTAGTCACCAGATGTGTCTGCTCTGACTTAGGTAGTTTCTCTCTTGAACCAAAGTATCGTGGCTGACTGGCAGCCATCTTGGTTGACATGAGTGACTCCACTTTGTATATTTTACACTATCTTGACCAGACCAATGTCATTTTATTGGTCCAGCTCTCCACAGTGATTCACTCCTGGGGTTTTTCTCAGAAAACTACAGGAACAGAGTAAGCAAAATAGTGTTTTCACCGTGATTCCACGAGAGATTGAATGTGTTGCTTTACCTTGAGGAGAGAGGCAGGAATATTTCCTGTTACATTGAAGCTGTGGGATTTGGCGGTTGCAACAGCCTGGGGTAATTGGAAACCTAATTTAAATGAAACTGTCCAGAAAGTTGATTTTCTGTATATTCACCATTGTAGACATAGAACTGTATATTTTCAATGGGTGAATTTTTATGGTATGTGAATTATATCTTATAAAGATGTTTAAAAAATAGAGTGTGGAGTTCTGAACCCCTGGCAGCTTTCTAAATTACATATTCCTAGATGCAGTGACCACTCAGAAAAGGCTCCTCTTCTAACCTGAAATCCACAGGGACTTGTCTTCTCCCTTCTCTCCCACTTTGAGAGCTGTCACCTGGCACTCTCTCACCCTTCCCACTTCTGTCCAGGTCTGCTAGGCCAAGGGTCATGGGACAGACAAGCAAGGAGAGGTGGGCTTTTACCCTGACTCCATTATATGTAGTTTCATATGTCCAGCCGTCTGTCCCACGGGTAGAAGGGCTTTCCCCTACTTCATAACAGGGGAGAGATGGATTCCAGGAGAACGTATTCTGGATTCCATAGTACTGTTATTTAAATGGTTTTAAACATTTAAATTTAATTTATTTAAATTAATTCAATTATTTTAAATGGTACTTTTATTCAGAAGGTTTTTTTTTGTGAGTGAGGCTGTGGGCTCAGCTACCATCAGCATCTCCTTTAAATAAGCTGGATGTTTCAAACAGCTAACTTAAATAGGAATTTTTCAATGTTAAAGAAACTTTGGAGGTTAGCTGATGGGATTTGTTTTCTTCCCTATCATTGAACCAAAGTGCACATGTTGGTGGGCACATCCTCCCAGGTAGTGTAATACCTAGGGTGTAACACTAACAGGCGGTATGTTGCGCATTGACTGTGTGCCGGGCACTTTACTCGTATCAACACTGAAGTCTCAGCAGTCCTCTGGTTAGCACTCTTATTATCATCAGTTTTTAGACGAGGAAGTGAAGGAATCCAGAGATCGAGTAACTTGACCAAGTTTCCATAGCTACAGAGTAGTAGAAAATCACACAGCATTTGAACCCAGGCTGTTTCCAGATACCTGCTCTTCACAGTCACAGCTCTGCCTGGAGCAAGTTCAGTAAATATTTGCCTGCATATCTCGGTTTAAGTATGTTCTCCTGGGAATGGGAGCAAATTCAGGCTTAACATCGTAACAGGTATATGCATGACTTTTATGGCTAAAAAAGAATAAATTACCTAAGAAAATTAAGAAAGTTTGACTCCAGAAGTTCTTAGTCATAAAAAAAATCTCTTTTAACATGATATTCTGGATTGGATCCTTAAACAGAAAAAGGACTTCATGGAAAAACTGTTGAAATCTGAATAAAGTCTGTAGTTTAGTTAATTTTATTATCTATGTTAGTCTCATGGTTTTAATGAATATATCACAGTTACATGTTAACATTAGGAGAAGCTGGGTGAAGGGTATATAGAACTCGGTACTATTATTGGCAACTCTTCTGTAAATCTAAAATTACTTAAAAATAAAAGATTTTTTTAAATCAAAAAAGTGTTTTGATTAAAAAAGGAAATGGCCCCTAATTTTAAAATCTCTTATGCTAAAATAATGAACATTTTATTTATATTATAAACATTTTGCATTTTTTAGAAAATCTGATAGACTCTAAGTTGAAAATAGCCCACATGGAAATGTTTTAAATGGATGCCTCAGTTTTAGGTTAAAATATGTTAAATGTCCTTTCTAATTTATAAGGCACTACATTAAGAAACTAACCCAGAAAAAATTTAGAAAAGAATTTTTCCTCAGTTAGTAGCCTTTAAGATTTAAATTGATAGCCTAATATTTTAAAAATATTTTTATAATAATTTTTTTTCTTCACAAGAAATGTGTTATCAGTAAGGTGTGCCTAAAATGGATATTTGCCTTGCTTATTTTCTGGGTGTGTTGGAAAAGAGACTGGTGCTTATCTTGATACTACCTCCCAAATCACCTTTTAAAATAATTTGTTTGGGTGTGTTTGGTATGTTTGAAATGTGCCCAAAAATCACACACTGGTGAAAGTTATTCCTTGAAGGAATTGATTGGTGATATGTGTTGATACTTAAACTTCATTTCTTTACACTCGGCTCTCAACAGGCCTTTGTTTTGGTTGACATAGAGTTTCAAAAAATTTCTACAATGTCTGCTAGCTAAAGCGTAAAAACCTAGAACTAGAGATTTTCCTGAGGTTGGGGAGATAGTAAAATGTGCTCACGCCTTTTCACAGGTTTTTTAAAAAAAAAACTGTGATGTGTTACTTAGCTCAGGAAAGCAAGCCTCCCTCACCAGGGAACATCGCTTGCAGTTAGCTCTCAGCTTTATCAAAGCAGGCCACCTTTGGTAGGGACCTCGCCCGTGCTTTCAAATCGGCTTTTTCCCCAGAACCAGGGGGTCCCACAATTGTATCTCAGAATGTCTGGAAGAGAGAAAAATAGGTGGGAGACAGTTCAGTGAGAACATAAATTTTGCTTTTCTTATATATTGGGGTCCTGGAGAAGATTTTTATTGGAACAAGAAAAGGTGCTCTGCTATTAAATAAAGGCTTCAAACACAATGACAAGTCCTCGGGGACTGTTGGTAGAGGGGCTCTGCTACTCTTCTGGGGGTTTTTTCCTGAAATTTCCCTGAGGAGGTCTAGCTGCTCAGAGAGCTCGCTTTCTGTTCTTTTCTGCAGGATGATTTACTGTCTTTGAAGGTTGTGAGTGTGCTGCATCATCTCAGTATCAAAAGGGCCATCCAGGTCCTAAGGATAAATAACTTTGAACCAAACTGTCTACGGAGGCGGCCATCTGACGAGGTAGCACCTTAGGTTGAAGGTTACATAGGATGCGCTTTCCATGCATGGGACTGTGGGTGCAAAACCAAGACCCATTTCATCTTGGAGCCTGCAGGGAGGGCTTCTGGTTTCCTCTGAGCCCCAACTCCAGCCTCACCTGGGCTTTGTTTTCCTATATTCCTTCCATTCCTCCCATGATGATTCGACCTGTGTAATGGTAGCCAAGGAATGTGTTTTAGCTTCTCTTCCTCTTTTTTCCTGAGGACATGCTCATTGACCTTAAAGGGAAAGAGAGGGAGAGAGAAAAGGAGAGAAATCAATGCTAGATAGGAACATTGATTGGTCGCATGCACCCCAGCAGAGGCCAAACCCACAACTCAGGCATATGCCCTGAGCAGGAATCGAACCTGCGATCTTTTAGTTTACGGGATGACCCTCCAACCAACTGAGCCCCACTGGCATGGGCTCCCTTCCTCCTCCTCTTTAGTGTATTTTATTTTCCTGCCTCCTTAAGCCAGGGAGTTAAATATCACTCTAAAGACTTGCTTTCCTAAAGTGCTGCTCTAATGATGTATAAAAAAAGAGCTTGCAACTTTGTGACATAAATTTTTTCAAAGGGAATGCTAACTTTTTCAAAGTTTGCGAACACTTTTTTACCCTTTCTCTAAACATTTACTGGGATGTCGAGTATCTCTGTTCTCGGGGGCAGACTTCTAGACAGAACATGCAGGCGTAGTATTTGGAATACCATAGTCGATGACTGAAGCTCTCGGCGGTTCTTTGTTCCCGTAGAATAGCACCACCCCATCAGAGGTGCAGCAGTGGACCAATCACCGAGTGATGGAGTGGCTGCGCTCCGTGGACTTGGCAGAATACGCCCCCAATCTCAGAGGCAGTGGTGTCCATGGTGGGCTCATGGTAAAGCACTGTTTTAATTTAAGCTTGACTTCTTACCATTTTGTCTCCTTTAGTCAAATGAGTAGGAGATTACCAGGTTACTTGTTATAATCCTGAAGTTGTCTAACCCAACCCTCCTGCCCTATTTCTAGTGAATTTTTACTTTCGGAGTATTTTTTCCCTTACTTTTTACTATCGTGTAACTCTAGATCAGATTTAAACCCATGTCTTTCATTGCCCCCTTTTATGTTGGATAATATGTGGCTTCTGGCTCTCATTTGATCATGTTTTAAAGCCTCTGCAAAGATACAGATCGTATTACTGCAAACAGATGTTGCAAAAAAGTTGAATTCCAGAGACACCCCAAATGGAATGCCTCAGAGAGGCATAGGCCCTGACTTAGTAATGTCTGGATGTCGGGACTGGCTCCACCTCTCATTAGCATGGGCAGGAAAAGAAAAGATTAAAGTCCATACTCTGAGTACCTCACTGAGAGGGTAATTGAAAATAACTTAGTGAAAGAGTTTTGCAAATTATAAAGCACACCGCAGACATGTGTGATGCAGGGTACCTTATACAATCTTTGTTTTTCTTACAGGTTCTAGAGCCTCGTTTTAATGTAGAAACAATGGCTCAGTTACTGAACATCCCACAGAGTAAGACCCTGTTGCGAAGACATTTGGCCACTCATTTCAACCTTCTGATTGGCGCTGAGGCCCAGCGCCAGAAGCGTGATGCCATGGAGTTACCAGACTATGTGCTTCTAACAGCCACTGCCAAAGTGAAGGTTGGTTCAAGCCCATATCACTTAATGATGGATTAAACCACAAACTCTACAGCAAAGGCTCAGTTCTGACTTACCTGGCTATCCTATTTCCTGGGATTTACTAAGTTTTGTGGATGGGTTGAAGGTATATGCACCTTAAGTGTAATCAATAAAATGCAATTTTGAAGGTTTTCCTTCTGGGGGAATTTTTGCTAAAGCCATTTATTTTATTAGAGTTTACAATAATAAAGAACATGGTGTTGGCTTTTGTAATTGAAACATTGCCAAGGCAGAGAGCCTATGACTTGGGCCCAAATATTGATTGTAGTTGTCCTATTTTTGCTGTGGATCAATCAAGTACAATAGTTGCATTTCTCCTCAGACAGATTCAGCTTGTCTGGCATATGATTGACCAACCTTGCGTGTTAGGAAAAAGTAAACCAGCAAAGAATTGTTATTCCTAGTTTGCCTGGAGTCATATGCAGTTCACATTAATTTTTCTACTTTTAAATCATTCCTCTGTTCTGAGTGTTGTTATCTCAACCAGTTTAATGTGGATATAGGCTTTATAGGCTCCTTCACAATATCAAGTGTTGTTTTTTTTTTTTTAACCCCCTCTACTTTCTTGACACTTTCTCTTCAGCCTCCTTTCTCCCTTAAAAGACGTGCTGGATTTGAAACCTCTGAGAGATTCTGTTCTCTATGAATTCTCAGCATTGGCCTGATCACCATGTTAACAGTCTCAGTGACTAAGGTGGAGTTTCTCTTCTAAGTAACACTGGAAGTTTTCTCTCCACAAGAGCAGAGGCTCTTTGGGTGGTTAGCATCCTGCCATGGAAGCATAACAGGCATGCACGATAATCACAGCCTCACCCGAAAAGAAAATACAGTAAATAAGGGCCGTTTTCTTTTGCTGATCTTAGAATGGAAAGTCTTGCAAAATTGAATGTAGCCCTGAGAAATCTCATTGCATTAAGTCACATTTAGGCAAAACTATATTTGCTTATTTGCTTTTATCACTGTGACTTCCCAGCTACTTGGTGTGAATAAAGAGAACAAGCATAATTTTCTGAGATTCTTAACAGGGATCATTAATCACATTTGGATGCATCAATCATATGCCTTGGTTGCCTTTGTTTTTGTTATACAAATTTAATTATTCAATTGCTTTTTTTCTCTATGATGAAATGAAAAGTTAAATTATGTATGTTCTTAGTCCTTTGTTATTTGAATTTTATCAAATTCCTGGATGTTTTTGTTTTTGTTTTTAAGCCAAAGAAACTTACCTTCAGCAATTTTGGGAATCTGAGAAAGAAGAAACAGGAAGATGGGGAAGAATATGTTTGCCCAATGGAACTGGGACAGACATCAGGAAACATGTCTAAGAAAGGACTTAAACCTGGCTTGGACATGCGCCTGTATGATGAAGATGATTTGGACCGGTTAGAGCAGGTAAATACGACATTATTTACCTATTTTAAAGTTCTTCCAACATTGAGACACTAAATGGAAACTTTTTGTACTGTATTTACTAAGCAAGGAAGTTTTCTTCAAATTCTTAAAAATAAAAATGCTTAAAAATAATAAAATAATGGTGAAAACACTTACCGATTGCTTACTTTCCCAGGCACTATCCTAAGCACTTAGCATATACTAATGTTCATGGTCACCCTAACACATAGGGAGTATTTTGATCTTACTTTCAGAGATAAGGACACCGAGGCACAGAGAGGGAGGAAAGCTGGGACTCCAGCCTCCAGGCTGGCCCCACACCCTGTGCTACTTACCTGTGTTATCCTGTCTCTGGAGTAAGGAAATCTGAGTATACAGCAAGCTCATACTACTCAGCCTTTTCAGTATGAAGGCATGGGACCAAATATTGCCCTTTAATCAATAACCCTTCAGTGCCATTGTTAATATCAGAGCATTTAGTCTAGATGTGCCAGTAAAGTGTTTCTTTTACATTTTAATATCTAATTACAGTAGTGCTAGGAGATTATCATCAGAAGTGTTCTATTGCTCCTATCCCATTCAGTGCAGCTTGTATCATTTCTTCTTGGACTTTAGTTCATTTTGCCGTACTTTCCTTGAAATTGTGCTAACAAGTGTGTCACGTTACGATATGCTCTTTGCAGATGGAAGACTCAGAAGGGACAGTGAGGCAGATAGGTGCATTTTCTGAAGGCATCAACAACCTAACAGTAAGTTTGTGGAATGAATTTAAAATCTTATTCTAAAAATTTGGTTGAAAATAATCCCCAAGGGTCTGCATGGGTAGCGGAGGATGTGTCGTTCTGAGCTCGTGGCTTGCAGCGCGTGACTCCCGTCTCCTTGTTTTCTAGCACATGTTGAAGGAAGACGACATGTTTAAAGATTTCGCTGCCCGGTCCCCCAGTGCCAGCATTACGGATGAAGACTCAAACGTCTGACCGTAGCACCTGGATGAGCAGTAGGAGCCCTTGGTCTCCTTCCACTTTATCTCTCAAACGCATTATATCCAACAAACAGCAGATTGTATATTGTTTAGTGATCCAACTTCTACTCATGTGGAAGTGGGGATGGAAAGCAGGGGATATGTGCCTACGTTAAAGCTGCCGCGGAAAGTGAGACACTGGTGAATGAGAGTATAATTGTTTTTCCTCTATTTAATGTAAAAACCTGTGATATATTCTATTTAAAGTATTGCATTTAATATGAGTACTTTACCATAGTGTTTCCCAGTCACAGTCACAGTGTGGAGGATTTGGGAAAGCAGTAACCCAGAGGTGGCTGATTCTGTCACGTCGGTGTGGCAGCCGGTAGCCAGTGAAGCAGAACTTGGCAGGCTTTCCAAGTCCATATGGGGAATTTCTCTAAGCAGCCAGCGTGCCCACCGAACGCCAGCCACACCTCCACTTGCCTCTTAGTGTCCTATTTTTATATATTTTTCTAAGTGTATGTATATATTTAGTACATAGAACATAGAACTTTTATTTTGTGACATACATAAGGAAGATGGTAAAAAAAAAAAAGATCACACTGAAAAAAATACAATGTTCAAAATTTTGATATGCCAGCTGGTTCTTGGGCAGGTCGGGATGATCTTTCTCCGCAACCGAATTTTAATGATGTTGATCATTCAGACTAGATTAGTATATATGAAATAACCCTTTGATGACATATCACAAAATGGTTGGTTAGTTTTTTAAGAATTTCAGCCTTAACCTTGGATTCTTTTAACTCATAAGGAAGAACTCGAGGGACATTTAAAATCTAGTAACTTGAATGCATTCAGAAGCTCCCCCAAAATTTGTAGAAATCATTTCTGAAGAAACCAAACCAAAGCAAAAACCTTCACAGTATTAAGATTCTTATTTTTCTCTTTGCTAGATATAGCATTACATCAAAATAGCAACAGCCTGACTAATATTATTACTTCTCAGGCTATTAATGAATGGAATCTTTTTTAAAAGCTGAGTAATTTGAGCATTTTTTTTTTCTCAATCAGAGTTCAATAATTCTGAGGCTGGAAAATTAGCTTTACAATGGCTCTATTGTGGTGATAAAATGTAGTTCATGTTTTTCTGTAGCACAGGGCTCAAGTAAATATTCTTTATAAAGAAAATAGAAAGCTGCAGCAAAAACTGTTACTGTGTTTATTATTCTTTTGAGGAGTTTTAGAAATATTCTCTTTTTCATCCAGTACTACATCAATGCTCATGAGAGTCAAAAGTGGTAAAGACAGGCTTCCACAAATTGGCATGGGGCAGGCAAATCATCGTATGCTAGTGGCCTTGTCAGCTGCTGTATTTGAATGCTAGTGATACGATCATTCAAGTTATCAGCAAGTTACCAAGCTTTTCTTCAAGGAACCTATAATGCTACATTACTATTTATTCATAACTGAAATGATTTGATGCTAACAGTAATCTTTTGCTCCCTACCATTCATTATTAGGTAACTGTATTGGACTCTCAGTGTACTTGTGTTGTATTTTAATGTGGATTTATGTCACCATTTGAGAAACAATTTCTTATTCAAACCTGGTTTAAAATACCAGGAGACTGTTACAGATGCCAAATAGTCTTTATTCAGGACATTGTAACATAATTGACGATATGTGATGAGGTTAAAACTTTTTGATGATATATATTTTACTTACAAAATACTATACACTGCTGGTGTCACCATATGAAAAGAAATAAAGTCAGCTGAGAACTGCTTCATATTTTTATTGTCTGTTACTTTCCTTTGTTCAGAATAACCACTAAGCTTTAATTCTGATACAGATAACAATAAGCTCTTTATAATCTCACTCCGCATAACGCTTGCGAGTGGGGTGTATAGCGCGTGTCAACAGGAGGCATTCGCAGTGGGGCTGGGGGGCGAGGAATCGTGGCAGGGGGTCTTGGAAAAGCAGAGAGAAATGACTTGCAAATTTGAAGAAATTAGTTGTAGGAAGTGTATGGTTCTTTAAAGAATTAAATGCTATTTGTAATTTAACTAAAATTTGAAAAGATGAAACCTCTCTTGGAAAAGATAACCAAATATTAAAAGTAGAGTGAATATAACTAGAGAAGAACGGATGTTTTCTTGTGAAAGTTAATAGGTGTAACTTAACGAAGTGGCAGGAATCTGTATGAGCACAACACACCCAGTTGGCAAACAGGGAGACCTATTTGTTTAGCTGTATGTATATATGCTTAGTTACACCAAACTAAGTAAGCTGCAGAGTTAGAAAACTGAGACAACATTAACAGATGTGACTTCACTGCAAGACTTTTACTCCGAATAGGAAGTCGTCCTGAACGAGGTTCCCATGCTTGACGTTTGGAAGCAGTATTGATTGGGTGCAGAGGAAATGGGACAAAAACCATCGCAACCGTTGGCTCTGAACGATAGCAAAGAGGCTCTCAGAGTCTGTGAGGTGGTCAGTGGAGCTATAGCACACGCAGCTGAGAAGCTGAAGGAGTATCTTGGATTTGAAGACGCTCTGAGCAATCTGTGCCCAGCTCCAAGCACTCTGAATGAGATCTTCTTAATCCACTTTGTCACTTTCTGCCAAGAAAAGGGAGTTGATGGATGGCTCACCACCACCAAGATGACCAAGCACCAGGCCTTACTGTTTGGGGTGGACTGGATTTGGACCTTTTGGGGATCCGATAAGCAAATAAGGCTTCAGCTGGCGGTACAGACTCTGCGGATGTCTTCTCTTCCTCCTGTGGAATCGAAGCCTTGTGAACTCTCCAATCCAGAATCCAGGGCAGAGGAGTCTTCTGGGAAGAGCAGGTTTGATAAGCTGGAAGAATTCTGTAACTTGATAGGAGAGGATTGTCTGGGCCTGTTTATCATCTTCGGTGTGCCAGGAAAGCCGAAAGACATCAGAGGAGTTGTCCTGGACAGTGTCAAAAGTGAAATGGCGAGGGGCCATCTGCCAGGAAGGAAGGCTGTGGCACAATTTGTCCAGGAAACTGAAGACTGTGTCTCTATCAGGGAGCTGCTTGGAAACTGTCTGAGTAAGAAAGATGGGCCGAGAGAGGTGGGCAAGGTTTACATTAGCATCCTCTGAACTGGATTTGTGTGATGAGACTGGACCGTAAGATGAAAAGAAAATGACATTTTTACTCTAATACACAAGCTTATCCACTTGCATCATCCCAGCATGGGATTCCACCCTCCCGTCCCTCCCCGCAGTGAATGAAAATTGGGTCAAAATGTATTAGTGTCATAATTATGGAGTGAGGAAAACTTTTCCCATATTGTAGGGAAAACTGACAATTCTGTTTAATCTTTCATTTATTTACTCAATAACAAAAATGGGACAAGAAGATAATAAAGTCACCCTTAAAGTTTGATTTACAAAATAAATAAATACGTATCTTTGAAATAATGAGTCCAGCTCTTGAAAGTGTAAAATGTATGTTTACAGCTGTGGGTGGGAGAGGGGTAGGGTGAGGTGGTGTGTAAGACTATGGCACAGGTTTAATTACATGTACAATACTAGTTTCAATTCAGGACTACTAAGCAAAACCTCGCACTGCCTTGTGACCGCTGCCCTTGCTCTCACGTCACCCCGAACTGCTTTCTTTGCGTAGACAGGCCCCTGGTGGGGTTCACATTGGGATCGGCTTGAGTGTTGGCTTTGCCTGTGATTTAAACAGTAACCCGTAGAACAATCCCTTTTAGTAATACTTAACATTTGTTTAGCCTTTGCAGTAAGGATAGTGTATTCATATATAAAAACCATCTTTGTTCAAAATCCTGGGGTTAGAACAGTTGTATAGGGGACGAAAAATAATTCCCCCCCCTATTGTTCTAGAAGGTAGAAGCAAGCAGTGCTTAGTGGAAGTATAAATAGAAGACAGGTTCACTCACATGATTGCTAAATGTCTATTACATGTTAGGCCCTATCAATCCAGCAGGAAAAAAAGAACTACGTCCCTGTTTTGGGGGGAGTTTCTTTCTTAATGGTAGAATACAGAAAAGTATATGTAAATATATTTTAAATGCGTATTTAAGAAATATAATGTGTGCTGTAAAGAAAAATAAAGCATGCGTAAGGGGATGGAGAGTGAAGGAGGTGCTCTTTTTATATGGGTAGTTAGAGAAGGCCTCAATGAGAAGGGGATGATTAACCAGAAATCTGGATTGAATCAAGAGAGAGAGAGGGTACGTGCAGATATCTGGAAAAGTGTTCTAGGCAGAGGGAGCTGCAGATGCAAAGGGCCAGAAAAGCAGTGTATTTGTTCGAGGCGTAGCAGAGGAGGCTGGTACAGAAGGAGCAGGGTGAGCCGGGAGGAGAGTGGTGGCAGACAAGATTGGAGAAGTAGCAGCAAATAGATGCAGCAGGTCGTGCCTGCAAGGACCCTGGGTTTTATTCTGGGTATTACTGGGGAGACAAATGTCTTGATCTGGTTGACCCTTTAAAAACCTCATTTGACTGCTGGGTGGAGACTAGACTTTAGGGTGGAAAAAACAGAAGCAGAGCCCAGGGTGACAGGTAGGAAGCTATTAAGGGAAACCAGTTGAGAAAAGGGTGGCGTGGACGGACCACAGTGGCAGAGGAGGAGGGGTTAAAGATGTCGGATTTAGAAACAGTTGAAAGGAAAACATACGGCGTTTGCTGATGATTGGATGAGAGATATGAAATATATCACAATTAGAAGGTGGTATTTCCGAATTTCCTAAATATTAAGAATAGATGCAAAGGGAGAACAAAATTTGCCTTTCACATTCCTTTGTTCCAGGAAACCCAAAGTTCAAGGAAAGCATTTAAGCCCTCTGCCTTCCGTAAGTGAACACGAGTAGGCCCAGGAGACACCTCTTGAAGTTGTTAAACAATTACTCCTACTTTGTTCCTAGGGTATAATATCCAGTTAATGTTTCTGTGGTTTATAGTGACCCCTGTCTGCAGCAATGCTGTGTAGAGTGAGCTATCAAGAAGTTGTACTATAGTCGAGTATTCAAACTGGACTCAAATGTGGTTTGAGTCTCGATTTTCTTAAATCTAGTGGCTTAACTCTGATTTTTTTACCTGTAAATGGGACTGACTGCAACTAATTCAAAGAAGACAATGCTTGTGATATTTTCTATACTAAACTGTAAGCTTACAGAGATTTTGAAGTCTGGTACAAATTGTAAATATTCATGTTATATTTACATGACATGTAAACAGCTGGATAATAAAAACCAAAGACTCAATGTATTTTTTTTAATTAAAATAAAAATGTGAAGCTTTTGTTGATGTAAAAAATACTGTACTCTCATTTGAAAATCTGCATTCTGGTGTAAAAATTAAAGTATAGAAGCGTGGAAAGTGAAGTCTTCAGGAGTCTCACCGCCACCTCCACACCCACGCCCTCCAGGTAGCCGTTTTCCCTTCCAGAACCTGCACTGTATATTACAGATGTTTTAATACAAATGGAATCATCAGATCCATAAATGTCTTTTAACATTAAAAGCTTAACTATATATTGTGGACATTTTTCACACTAATAGATTTCTATCCACTTGGTTCTTTTTAAGGCTTACATTACTAGTTCTCAGTCCTGTGTGCATATTAGATTTACCTGGGGAACTTAAAAACAAAAACAATAAAACACTAATATTCTAAATACACCTATACCAACTGATCAGCATCTCAGAAGGAGGGGCCCTAAGTGAATATTTTAGTATCGCTTGAGATAATTCTATCAAACAGGTCTAAGATCCAAGTATCTAAGTAGTACTCTGTATTGTCTATATCGCAATATATTTAACCAGTACTCTTTCAATGGGTATTTAGGTTGCAAAGTCCATCCACATACTTGGATATTTGCATATTGTCTATTTACCATGTTTGTGAATTGACATACTTTGTTCACTTGCTATAATTAGTTTTGATTAAATAGCTCTGATGGAAAGTCATTGGATTAATGTAGGTTTTAAGTATAATAAAAACCCATTATAAAAAACGTTAATATTTAAAATTGTTCTACACAAGGACTAGCTACATAATTTGTGGTGCCCAGTGCAAAATGAAAATGTGGGGTCCTTGTTCAAAAATTATTAAAAATTTCAAGACAGGAGAGCATTCAGCCAAACAGGGCTCTTCTAAGTACAAGTTGCATGCCCATGAAACCAGTGTTGTTTCTACAATATATTGGGTTATTTTGTCATGAAGGCTGATGAAAAGATTTACATAATGAGTAAGTGAATGCACATTAAGATCTTTTCCAATTGAAGAACTATGTAATTCTTAGTAACTCCTTTGTACACAATGGCACATGATTTACACCCTTTACATTGCATAAACCAGGTATTATTTTTGCCTGTTAATAGCATTACAAATGGTTTTTTAACTTTTAATGTAGACTTAACTTTATTGTCCCTGAGGCCTAGGAAAACAAAAAGTAGTTCTCTAGCTCCACTAATTCTAATCATATCCATTGACTTTAATCTTAAGGAAAGAGTAAAACAAAAGACAGAAAGCATAGGTAGGTAGACTGAGGACCTAAGTCTCTTAACATCTCGCTCAAAAATTGAGAATTCTCTGAAAATAAGCTAATTCTATAATGATTCATACTTGTTTTTCTCCTATATATATACTCCAGAGAGAAAAGGTGGCTGCTGTATTGACTCTGAGCTTGATTCCAATGCCGCAATTTATATTATGCTTTCTGAAATATAACTCAATCACAACGGTCCTGAGGAAGATACTATTGTCCTATTTTCCTTGAAATTGAAGTTCCAGGATGTTAGGTGGACTTAGCCAAAATCATACAAAAGCAGAGCCTGGATTCAAACTACATAGTCATCTGACTGAAAGGCCATGCTTTTAATCTTAAAAATAGAGCAGAAGGGGAAACGTAAAGATAGAGGCAGAGGTTGGAGTGGTGTGTCTACAATCCAAGGATTGCCATGTATTGCCAATAACATCAGAAGCTAAGAGAGAGGCATAAACAGATTCTCCCTCTCAACTTCCATAAGGAACCACCACCAACCTATCCAATACCTGGATTTTGCAGTTCTAGCCTCCGGAATTATGAGAGAATACGTTTCTGTTAAGTTGCCCAGTTTGTGGTACTTTGTTACAGCAGCTCTAGAAAACTAACACACCGTATGTCTGCTTTGGAACAATAATGGGATAGTAAGAGGCCAGAAAAGATGAGAATGGTGCTTGTTACAAACATTTGTCTCTATCATGCCACTTTTTCCCCCTCACATAATTATTGATGCCCATGGCGCACTGAGTGCTCACGGGAAGGATACTCTTGAGACAAGCCGCACACTTCTGCTCTGCTGGTTGTATACTTGCCAAAGGTCACTTGCGTTTGTTCCCAGTCCTTGTTATTATAGTTTTGTACTTTGATTAAATGTTATACTTACTGGTTGGAAAAACGTAGATGATAATTTTATTAAGGGTTGGATGCTAATTCAAACCCATGGTAAAAAAAAAAAATTAGAGAACTTACTAAAGAATGACCGTTATTTTCTAAGTCCTGATGAGAACTTTTAGTCATTCTAACCTATCTACAAACGAGCTAACCAAATCATTGAAAACAAGTTACATCCTATGAGCACAGGATGCTCACTGTATGCCAATATCATACCCAAATGTTTGTTTATATTAACTTGATTAGATTCACACAGCCTAGAAATGGCGAAACCAAGTTTTACATTCAGGTATCCTTTGAACTACTATCGGATATTGCCTCTCCCCTTAGAGTGTGTCAGTTGCACTAGCTGAATACTTTTCTTAAGCCAAGAAGGTGTAGAAAAACCGCAATCGCAGCGGAGCAGGGCGCTAGGGTAGACCCGGCGCCGGGTGAGGTACCGATCAGACCACACCTTTCTTCTGTGAGTCACATTTCTCCCACCCCTTAAGACCATTATTTGCAATTGTCTTTGGACTGACTACTTTTTTTAATCGTCTTGTGTCCTTTTCTTTACTTTTTTTCCACTTTTCGGGGCGCACTTCTGAGTGCGGACCTGATTTCCCAGACCCACGAGTATCCTCTTTCTACGTCGCAGCGGGTCCGGCAAAGCGGGCGCGCATGCGCGGTAGCGGCTTCAGGCCCACCCCCTCCACCTTCTTTGACGCGGAATCGCGCTTGTCCCCAGCGGCTTGCCGTCTTCGCCGCCATGGCGGCCGCCTCGCTCCCCGCATGGCTGTCCCTGCAGCCGGGGGCCAGGACCCTGCGTGCCTTCTCCACCGCCCTGTCCCCGACCACTCTCGCCGGGAAACCAAGCTCACGTGAGTATCTGTCGCGTACCCTCCGGGCTTTGGGAAATGTGAGAGGGCGGAATGTCGGATCCACGATGGCCACCGAGGTGGCGGAGCCAGGGCTGCCCGAAGGGAGAGGCCGGTACGTCCTCTGCCAGCCTGTCGTTCCTGGCCCGCCTAGTAGAAAAGCCGTGTATGTGGGTCTATTCTCTACGCGCGTGTCGCCCCATTCCTAGCCGCGGATTCCTGCTTCTGGGTCCCCTGGGCGCTACGAACTTGCCCGCCCCCTCTCCGGGGACCTGCGCTCTTGGGTGCTGCGTCCCACAGTCGCTGGCACAGGGTCTCTGTCTAGTTCCCGGTACTCGGTACTGTCTTGGGTAGTGTTGGACTACGGATTTTTCTGAACGCTAAGGAAAACACACAGCTGTCCCAGAGCAAACTACAGCTCTGAATTCCAGGCCCAGTTATGCCACCCAATGGGATGACCTTCATTCAAACAGACACTGAATGACCTTCATTCAGATAATACGGACGCATGGTTATCGTTCTTACGCTGGAGGAACTTAGTGAAAAAGACATTTGTTAAACAGACTGTATGCAGTGTGAAGTGTTGTGACAGACGCCGGAATAGGGTAACATGGGAGCATGGGGGAAGAGCCTGCAAGAGTCAAGAAAGTCTCGGTCCAGGAGGAGGCATGTCCAGTTACACCCGTTGCTATCTGTGCTTCCTTCTATGGGATTTTTAATCTTAATCCTACTAACAGCCCAATCGAGGCCACCATCTCTCATTTCTTTACTGGTCCTCATTTCTGCTTTTGCTCCCCTACATTGAATTCTCACAATGGCCAGAGTGAAGGGATCAAAAAGCAAATCTTACCTTGCCATGCCCTTGTTCAAAATCTACAAGTAGTTTCTGATTGCTTTTAGATAAACGATAAATTCCTTAATGCTTTGTAGTGTCTCTTCATAGTCTTAACACATGTCTTTTCAATTTTTCATTCACTCTTTCATTCTACAAATGTTTTAACTCCTACTACATGCTACACAGTGTGCTAGATACCAGGACAGAGCAAAGGCCCCTCACCTCATGAAGTTTACATACTTTGGGGGAAGTCAGACTATAAACAGATAAACTAGCAGTACAATGTAAGGTGGTGATTAGTGCTGTGAAGAAGAATAAAGCAGGATGTTGAGAATGATGGATTGGAGGAGTAGTGGCAATAGGATAGCATAGGACAGGATAAACAGTCTGTCTGGAAAGACCTCCTTGGGGACGTGACTTTTGAACAGAGCCCAAAACTATACTGAGATGAGGGGAAGAGGAGGCAGGAAGAGCACTGTTGGCATAGGGAATTACAAGTGCAAAGGCCCAGAAGTGAGAATAAGCTTATGGATGTGATCTAGGAACAGAAAGAAGGCCAGCATGGCTGGAGCTAAAGTAATCAAAGAGAACAGTACTATAAGGAATAGTAGTATAAGTACTCTAAATAGTGGCCTGATCTTGTTAGGGCTTATGGGCACTTGGCTTGGATTTTATTTTAAGTTTGGGATCACACTGGAAGATTTGAACAGGGAGGTGATGTAATGTGATTTAGGACACTTAAAGGATCACTAGGTGCTCTGTGAAGAACTAACTTTAGGAGATAAGAGTGGAAGTCAGGAGATGAGTTTGGAAGCTGTTGTAGTACAAAGGAGATGATGGTGATTTGGACTGAAGTAATATTGGAGAAGGTGGTATGGTTGAATTTGGGACATACACAATCTGGCACAAGTAATGCCCTCTTTTTTTTAATTACAAAATCATAAGCATGTAATTCTGTAACATAACAATATCACACTCAAGCATACCATATGACATTTTAAGTAAAATGGTCAAATTAAAACTATAAATTATTACACCCATATTACCCTACTGACCATACTCAAACAGGTGTTACTTCTGCTGGACCCTGTATTTTGAAGGTAGGGCTAATGGGACTTACTGATGGATTTGATATGGGACTTGAGGAAAAGTCTCAAGGAAGCATGTTAGAATTTTGTCCTGAGTAATTGGATGAATGGCAGTATCATTCACAGGGATTGGGAAGACTGGAAGAAGATCAGGAACTCTGCCAATGATGTGTTGTAGTTAGGATGCCTATTAAATATCTCCAGTCTCTTTGCTCAGTGCGCTTTGTATTCTACCCTGAAGTTTCAGCCATTTTGAATTTGTTTGTTTTGATTTTCCACTTTCTCTTTTTCTAGAATACTTTTTCTCCCTTGCTGGTTCTCAGGGCTACGTCCTGTTCATCCTTAATGTTTTAGCTTCAACTTCAGAGAGATTTTCTCCAACTACTTGACTAGGTTTGGTCCCCTGCTATATATTTCCATTAATATTTATCATTGTTTATTGAAATTACTTGTTAAATAGTTAGTTGCCTTACCTGACAGAGTCTCCTTCCTGTGGGAGTAAGGATTGTGTTTCTCTTGTTCTTTGCAGCCTTCCTAATTTCTGGTATACAATATCACTCCAAAACTTTTGAAGGGATAAATGAAATACTACTGAGGGGTGACTAAGAATTTATCAGAAGAAGAAATGAGGTGGGGAGTGAGACGAGGACCGAAGTCAGGCCGGTGGCTGGGGGAAGCGTATTTTAGGCAAAGAGAACCTAAAGTTCAGAAAGACGGAAGGGTCTGGTACTGGCAGTTCAGTGTAATTGTGGGCCTTGTGAAGGGAGATGATGCTAGAGATGTGAAGAATATGATGTCTTTAGACAGCTGAAGAGTCTGAAGTCTTGTATGCTATGTTACTGTCACAATTCTTGGTCCTTAGTTTTCTTGGCTATAAATGACCTATGAATAAGGATAATGATCGTACTTACAGTTCTTGTGAAGAATAAGATTAAATGAGATAATGAGAAGCATTTAGCACAGTGTCTAGCATGTGAAAGTGCTCATTAAGTAGAATTATTATTATTTTAAAATAGTGACAGCTATTTAGAGAGGCATAAGATAAAATTTTAAAAGGTAGATACTGTATGTAGGTAATCTGCCCTCTTTTACAGTTAAATGATTTATTAGGAATGGCTATGATGTTTGTCATTGTTGTTATTGTAGCATTGGCAGTTCTAATATACAAAAGAGAAGGAAAAACTTTAGAGTTTTCTCTTTTTTGGTGGAAAGAAAAGAATATTTCCAAATATGAGCAAGTATACTTAAAATTAGAACATTTCAAACTATCAAGACACAAAAATTTTTATTTCTAACTAAATATTTTAACTTGGGGAAGTGAGTTTGACTATGAACCTTAAAATTTATTGAAAATATTTAATATTTCTTTAGATGATGATTTCACTTTATATTTTAGCAACTGGAATTTTCTTAACTACCTCTGATTTTTCATTTTCATTAAGATGACTTTAGTTCCTGAGCTTACAGAAAATGGATTATTGTTCCATTGTTTTGTTACCGAATGCCTTAAATTGCGTTTGAATTATGGCAGCATGATCTGTGTTGAACGACTTTCCTATGAAATTCTCTATAACCATTGTGTTGTCTTTTAGGTACAACAGAAAGAACATCCAAATCTGAAAGGCCACTGAGAAGAAAGGTAAACAATTAACATATTTAACGTATACTGTCTTAATGGTTTCTGAAGTTCTAAAGTGAGGCAGGTATTCACAGTGAGGCAAGGGGTACAGCCCAGAAAGGTTTCATGAGGGGACGTTTACCTGGTTAACTACCAGCCTTAACTCTAGTCTTGAATAGCTTTGGGCTGACCTTTGTCAGCACCCTGAGAATGGATCTTCTTTGCAAGATGGACTCACCTACATATTCCCAGGGAATAAGCCCTTAAACCGGAATATAGAATTATTTTTGATGATGCTTGTAACAGTCATACAAGCTGGGATGTGTGTGTTAGTGTAACTAGTTTGTTCTCACCCTGTGGACATCTCTCTGGAAAAATCCAAATTATACTGTCACTTGGCAGGAAGTCAGAACAAAGGCATATTAGTTGGAAGTTAAATGGCATCAAATTATACTTGTCTAGAGTAGTTATTTTCTTAGGACTACCACCAGCCTCCAGGACATACTACCCTAGTTTCTATATTGTTTAGATGAGTGTTGCCGAATTTTGCCACTTTAAACCACATTTTTGTATGCTGGCCATCACCTTTTATTGAATATATTTAGCATTTATATGCATGAATTTTGATTGACTAAGCAATCATGTAGCTATTCCCTGGGCCTAGGAAATACATAATTTTTTATTATCTATTCATTCAATTAGTTTAACCTTAATTTATTTCCAAGTTCATATTTTTTATTTTCCTTATTTCATATTTTCTTTATTTCCAAGTTCTTAGTGCCACCTCATGTACTGACTTCCATCAAAGAAATTTTAAAAATTATTTCAAAATATATCGTTACTCACCCCCTTCATAAACAGAATGTAAAAAGTTTGCTAAACTCTAAGTAAATAAATAAGATAGAGACGTTATTAGTAAAGGAAATGTGCTTTTAAAGGGGATCCTTGCCCCAGAGGGTTTGAGGAGCTGGTGCAGAAATAGGTAGATTTGGTGTTTTGTTTTGTTTTGTTTTGTTTTGTTTTGTTTTCATTTGAATAGCAGAAGCTTTGTAGGAGGTCAGATTTTACAAAGATTGCAGTTCTGCTAAGGTTCTCTTAACTGCATGTTTTTTCTTTAAACTTAAAAAAATGTGTTCATGTTTAAAGTATTAAACTGTTTCATGTTTCTTAGGCACTACCTCCCAGGACGGAGAAAATGGCTGTTGACCAGGACTGGCCTAGTGTTTACCCCGTTGCAGCACCATTTAAACCCTCCGTAGTGCCTCTTCCTGTTCGAATGGGTTATCCAGTAAAACGGGGAGTGCCCATGGTAAAGGAGGGGAATCTAGAACTTCTAAAGGTGAGATAAGTTGCTGGTTCATTGGCTGAGACAGATCTAAATAAAAGGAGATCTTCTTCCCACTCCCATTACCCCGTTATGCTTCAGGGTTCAGTGTATAACAGCTTATTGTGTTGTAGTTTAATTTTTTTTCCAGGGAATAATGGATGTTTTATTTTGATTATTCATGGTAAAGAACACTCAAAGAATCCTAGTTATTTAAGAATGTAATTAATTGGTCCTGTGGCTTCCCATTTGGCTTTTTCCTTTCTGTTATATCTTTCCTGTATTGTGTCTTGCAAATGGAACTGAGAAAAGTGAATAATCTGATTTGATATTGAGAACTGTGGAGATGAAGGTTCCACTTGTAAAAAAGAGATTTTTAAACTTTCTGTCCAGAAAGGTAGACTGTTATTTAATATTAATGTTATTGTCCTTAAACTTTATTGCTTAAGGCAAAATAGGTCATATTAAATGTCTCCGTTGGTAGTGTCTACAGTTACTTATGAGCTCTAGGTTTTTAAAGAAAATATAAATATGATTAGCCTAGGAATGCATATCTTAGATGGTTTTCTTTCACATACAGTGGAATTATCACCAACCAACTGTTTTCCATTAAACGAGAATGCTCTCAAAATACCAGGAAAAATTTGATAAAACGTGATGGTAAGAAAATGAGACGGAGATGGTAGCCCGGAGAAGGGGCTGTCGGCTGGAGGCACGGGCAGTGGAAGTTGGGAAATGGGAATGTTTCAGGAGAGTCACAAAACATTGAGGAAACATTCAAATGAAAGAGGGGCAGTGAACTTAGTTTTTTTAAAAAAAGTCTTTGGAAAATATCACTGGGTGAGAGTAGCGGTATTTTTGTTATAATTCTAATGGTTGTGAATGGTATTTTAATAAATATAGAAATGTAAATATTTAATGCATGCCATCCCTTTTAAGAATCATCTGTATGCTTAATCCAATGGTGTGGCTTATTCCCAGTGAGTGCCATTGGATAAGTTTACTCACTGAGCTAATATATGCAAAGTATATAGAACAGTGCCTATATAAATGTTACACAAGCATCAGCTATTATTTTTTTCTGTTCAATTATTTTAAATGTCCAGTTTAATTAATTTACTTTTTTCTTTTATGATGTTAAGATTGTATTTTATGTTTCAAAAATAAAACTATAGAAAAAATGAAGCCTCCTAGTCCATAGTCCCGGTTTTCATTGCCTGTTTTCGCTTGATTAAACATTTTCTGATCAACACTTAAGATTCTAGGCATTATGTTTAGAGTAACTTTTTTGCTTGTTCAAATTTTTCTTTCCAAATGAGTCTATTTAACTAAATTTTCTCTTAAGTTGTTTAACATTATTTAAGAAATTTCTAGTAAATTTACTTATTTATTTGAAGGAATTAAATCTCTGACCTTTCCTAAACTTCCCATTGGCTCTGCGAATGATGAGGTAGCCTTTTAATATATCAGCATATAAATATTCCCAACTTCATTCAATTGTTCAGTTAACCTTTGCTAGCAATCTATTCATTCAGTTCTAAAATGTCTATTAAGTACAGAGTGGAAACTGTATCACAGTGCTAACTATCTAGGGCAGTTAGGATGATTAAACAATGATCTATGTCCTTAAGTGCTTTCAGTTCTGTAAGGGAAATATATACACCTATAGATTTATGGCAGGAAGAATACTATAAAAATGATGTGTATTTTTTTCCAGTGTTGTCATTTTAAGATACTTGGTACTGAATCTGTATTTCAAGGAATTTATTTCTTGAATTCATAACACTGTTGACATGGAATTAATACTGTAAAAAATGATCACATTTTATATAAGGCTTGTTGGGCCTATGATTTAGTTGTATGAACAAACTGTCTTTTTTATGTTTTTAAAACAGTTGGTTAATTTATCCTTCAAATTTATCTACTTTAGATCCCCAATTTTCTGCATTTGACTCCTGTAGCAATTAAAAAGCACTGTGAAGCTCTTAAAGGTAAGTGGTTGTTTTGTTACATAATTGACTTTGTGCATAAAATTAGGAATCTCTTTTCTAAGGATAAAAGGGTTGATTTAGCAAGAGGACATAACGTTTGTAAATATTTAGGAATATTTATGCACTCAACATAGGAGCACCTAAATATATAAAGCAATAGTAACAGAGCTGAAGGGCAAAATAGACAGTGATAAACTAATAGTAGGGGACTTTACTGCTCCACATTCAGCAATGGATAGGAAAAGAATAAGGGAAATAATAAGGGAACATTGGGGTTTAGCTACACATTAGACCACATGGACTTGACATTTATGGAAAACTTCATTCACCAGCAACAGCAAAATACACATTCCCCTCAAATACATGTGAAAAATTCTTGAGGACAGATCATGTTAGGCCACAAAACAAATCTTAATAATTTAAGCAGACTGAAATCATACCATGCAACTTCTCTGACCATCGTGGCATGAAACTAGAAATCAATTATAAGAAGAAAACTGGGAAATTCACAACTATGTGGAGATCAAACAGCCTGCCCTGAACAGTGGGTCAAAGAAGAAGTCAAAAGAGAAATAACAAACAATCTTGAGACAAATGAAAATGGAAACATATCATACCAGGACAGCAGATTTAAAAAAGTCGTTCTAAGAGGGACGTTTATAGCAATAAATTCCTACATTAAGAAATATGAAAGATCTCCAATAATCTAACTTTATATCTTAAGGAACTAGGGAAAAAAAATCAACCAAGCCCAAAGTTAGTAGAAGAAAGGAAATAACAAAGATAGAGTGGAAGTAAATGAAGTAGAGATTAAAAAAGACAATAGAAAAGATAAATAAAACTATGAGCTGTTTTTTTTTTTAAGATAAAATATGCAAACCTTTAGTTAGACTCTCCAAGGACAAAAGAGAGCAGATTCAAATTAATAAAATTATAAATGAAAGTGGAGACCTTTTAACTGATAACAGATACAAAGGACCATAAAAGGCTACGCAGTATAATTGGAAAATGTAGAAGGAATGGATACATTCCTAGAAACATGCGATCTACTCTGCATGAATCATGATTAAATAGAAAATCTGAACAGACTAATTACTAGGAAGGAGATTGAATCAGAAATCAAAACCCTTCCTCCAAAGTCCAGTACCAGATGGCTTCACTGGTGAATTCTAAACATTTAAAGAACTAATACAAATTCTTTTCAAACTCTTCAAAAAATAAAAGAGGTGGGAACACTTGCAGATTTATTTTCCAAGGCCAGCATTATGCTGACACCAGAGTAAGACAAGGGCCCTGCAGTGAAAGCGAATTACAAGCCAGGATCTCTGATGAACATAGATGCAGAAGTCCTCGACAGGATATTGGCACACTGAATTCAGTAGTACATTAACAGCATCATATACCGTGATGAAGTGGGATTTATTTCAGGGTTGGAAGAATGGGTCAGCATCTACAAATCGGTGTGGTACACCACATTACTAAAATAAAGGATATAAATTATATAATCATTTCAGTAGATTCAGAAAAAGCATTTGACTAAATTCAGCATTCTTTGATGAGAAAAACTCTCAGCAAACTATATACAGGGAATGTACCTCAACATAATAAAGGCCACACACGACAAAGTCATAGCTAATGTTGTACTCAGTGGTAAAAAGCTGAGAGCTTTTCCTGTAAAGAGTACAAGATGAGGACAAGCCACTTTTATTTAGCATAGTAGTAGAAGTCCTAGCCAGAGCATTTAGGCAAGAAACAGAAATAAAAGACATCCTAATTGTAAAAGAAGAAGTAAAATTGCCTCTAATTGTAGATGACACGATATTGTATATAGAAAACCCTAAAGATTTCGCCAAAAAATTGTTAGAACAAATACATTCAGTAAAGTTGCAGGATTCAAAATCAATATATAAAAATCAGTTGTTCCTATATACTGACAATGAACTGTCAGAAAGGTAAAAGAATAATCTCATTTATAATTGCATCAAAATAGTAAAATACTTAGGAATAAATTTAATTAAGGATATGAAAGATTCATACAGCAAAAACTGTAAGACATAGATTGATCAAAGAAATTGAAGAACATAGAAATAAATAGAAAGATATTCTGTGCTTGTGTATTGGAAGGATTAATATTATTTAAATGTCCATACTGTATAGCTGTCCAAAGCCATCTATAAGTCTGTGTGATCCCTATAAAAATCCCAATGGCATTTTTCACAGAAGTAGAAAAAACAATTCTAGCATTTCTGTGGAACCACAGAAGACCCTGAATAGCCAAAGCAATCTTAAGAAGAATAAAGGTTGCAGGCATCATACTTTCTGATTTCAAATTATATTAGAAAGCTATTTTAATTAAAAGTTATGTTGTTGATATAAAAACAGATCAGTGGAACAGAATAAATAGCCCAGAATAAACCCACTCGTGTATGGCCAGTTAATTTACGCCAGAGAGGCTAAGAATATATGGTGGGGAAAGGATAGTCTCTTCAGTAGATGATGTTGGGAAAATTGGATAGCTACATGCAAAGGAATAAAACTTTAGGACCCCTGTCTTACACGTAACAGAAAATTCAACTCATAATGGATTAAAGACTTGACTGTAACACCTGAAACCATAAACTCTTAGAAGAAAACAGGGGATAAGCTCCTTGATACTGGTTTTGACAATAATTTTTTTGGATTTGACACCAAAAGCAAAAATAAATGAGAGATTACATCAAATTAAAAAGCTTCTGCAGAACAACAGAATCCATCAACAAAATGAAGATAGCCTACAAAATGGGAGGAAAGATTTGCAAATCATTTATCTGATCATGGATTAATACCTAAAATATATGAGGAACTCATACAGCTCAAGGCAAAAAACATGTAGCAAAAAACCAAATAACCCAATTTAAATGGGCAGAGGAACTGAGGGAGACATTTTTCAAAGAGGACATACAAAGGTTCGTCAGTTACATGGAAAAGGGTTTAATATCACTGTCACCAGGGAAGTGCAAATAAAAATACAATGAGTTATCACCTCACACATGGTAGAATGGAGATCAGCAAGAAGATGAGAGAAATGTTGGTGAGGATGTGGAGGGAAGGGAACCTTTTTGCACTGTTAGACTGTAACTTGGTACAGCATCTATGCAAAACAGTATGGCATTTGCCCAAGGAATTAAAAACAGAACTGCCATATAATTCAGCAGTCATACTCCTGGGTATTTATTAGGAAGAAATGAAATCACTATCTCAAAGAGTAACCTGCACTCCTGTGTCCATTGCAGCATTATTCTTAATAGCCAAGATATGAAAACAACCCAAGTGTCTGTTACTAGATGGTTAAAGAAGAAGTGATGTATATATGTGTGTATATACATTTGTATGTGTATATGAGGTCTGTCCAGAAAAAGTATTAGCCATTGTTAATATAATGAGAATGGTTTGTGCCACATCAATGTAACCTGGCAGCCAAGGCGAGTGGACCGGAATGTGATGTGTGAACAATGATGACTTCACTGTACTAGTCCGTGGGGGTGGTAGACGATGTAGTGACGACGTTGTGAGTGAGCATGTGTGCTGTGTGGCCATTGCATTCAAAATGGCTGAGTAAAGCAGTGAATTGGCATCAAATTTTGCATTAAGCTTGAACATTCTTCTGAGGAAACTATTCAGATGATTCAGAAAGCAACAGCTATGGGCAACTGCTGATAGGCAGCTTTATTATGACAATGTGCCCACTCATGCATCATGTCTCATTCAGAGGTTTTTGGCAAAAACATCACAACACCCTGGTGGCTCAGTACCCCTTATAACCTGGATTTGGTGCCCTGCAACTTCTTGGCTTTTCCCAAAACTAAAATCACCTTTGAAAGGGAAGAGATTTTGGACCATCGATGAGATGCAGGAAAATATGAAGGGGCAGCTGATAGTGACTGGGAGAGCTCTGTGAGGTCCCAAGGTGCCTACTTTGAGAGGCACTGAGATATCATTGTTCTGTATACAGTGTTTCTTATATCTTGTTTCTTCAGTAAATATCTCCCTTTTTCATAGTACATGGCTGGATACTTTCTGGACGGTGTGTGTGTGTGTGTGTGTGTGTGTGTGTGTGTGTGTGTGTGTGTGTGTGTAAATATATATCAATAAATGGAATGTTACTCAATTTTGAAAAAGAAGGGAGTCTTGTCAGTTGTGATAGCATAGATGGCCCTTGAAGACATTACGCTGTATGAAATAAGTCAGACAGAGAAAGACAAATACGGTGTAATGTCACTCTTGTGTGTACTCTAGAAAGCCAGACTCAGAAACAGACTAGGAATGGTGGTTTCAGGGCCTGGAGGGCCTGGGGGGGTAGAGGGAAAGGGAGAGAATGGTACAGGGTACAAACTTCCAGTTTTAAGTTTGGGGAATCTAATATACAGCATGGAGATTATAGTTAATAATACTGTGTTTTATACCTGACTTATTCAAAGACTTTCATACAGCACATTCAGAAGCGTAGCAATATATTTTATTGCTAAGTGAGTAGATGAAATTTGCTAAGTGAGTAGATCTTAAATGTCCTTACCACAAAAAAAAAAGTAATTATATAATGTGCTACAGGTTTTTCCTAAGCTCTGATGGTAATCATATTGCAATATGTAAGTGTATCAAATCAACATGTACACCTTAAACTTCTACAGTGTTACATGTCAATTAGATCTCAAGGAAGCTGGGGGAAAATATCATTTCTAATATACTGTATAGCATTATATTCTGAATCATTGCTGGTTTCTTCATTTTTAAGGATTTTTAAATTGTTTCCAGTGAATTGTTAGATGTCAAACATGCAAAAAAAATTTCTTTTGCAGATCACTCTACAAGGCGCTATGAATGATAAATACAGTCATAAATCAATCCTTGTTGAAGTAGATAAGGGACTTATTGTTGAATTATAGAGAGCACATACATAAAAGGACTGAAGAACATATTTCAGGGTGTTGCCAATAGACACAAATCAGTGTGATTTAAATTGACAATAGTGAGGAGGATGCCGAGTAGCTGAAGAGTTAGTAGGGTCAGTAATGGGATACTTTGCAGGGAATAGTTATTTTGAAGATGTTTAAAATTCTAAAGAAATCCAAAGTGATATATACATGTGGTAACATCAAATAGAAGAGGTGGTAATGAAAAGCAATAGTCTCATGCTGCTTCTCCTTTACCACCCTGAGATAACTCACTGTAGAATGAGAGAATACACTCATTCTAGAAGTGTTCTCTTACTCATTGTTTAGATGTGATAATAACTTCCAGAGTGAGTGAGTGAGTGTGTGTGTGTGTGTGTGTGTGTGTGTGTAATATTTAACATGTACATACATACAAGGAGTATATATATTATATATAATATACACTTTATATGTAGTGTGTGTATATATATAATGAAGTAATCACTTGAATATTATACTTCTAGTTCTGGATTTATTGATCTTGAACAATAGCTGTTGATTCCTAGATATAAACATAGATTTCACTCACTTATCCTGCTGTTTTTCCTTCCAACATCCATGGAGCTGAGGGCAAAGAACATTTGTTCATTTTTTGCTCATGGTTTTATGTATGTTTTCAAAATCTGTACATACTCCGATTTAATTTCTGATCTGATTTGCATTGAACTGTATTTAGAATAAGCCAATTTGAATTGTTTTAGGTTCACAGCTATTAGTGATTGATTGTATAGTTTAATTTAGAAGTTAGCACCTTTGGGTCAAGTCTGAATTTCAAACTGATTTAAACATGTATAAATGCTCAGTATACTTGTTAAGGCTTTTCAGGAAGGAAAAGGAAATCTAGAGACACTTTATAGGTAGCCTGAGTATGCAGGAAAAAGAAATAGGATCGTGAACATGATTATAATGAAAGTTTAACTTTTGGGAGAGCATTCCATTCAAAAGTATTGGGAAGAAGAGAGAAAGAGGTCTTGAAAAGTAGGAATAATTATCTTAACTCTTGAAATGAGAGAAGAAAGGAAGTCTCTTCTGTCTCTTCATTTATATGGTCTTCTGCTTGGGGACATTAGGATGCCTTTCTCTCCCTTGATTATAGATTTCTACAGTATATTCATTAGTGCCTGGAATTAGACTGACACCGATCACTGTTACAGATTTGTGCTCCATTTGGCACAGATAATCTATCCTTTTTTAATCCTTTGTAAATCCAATTGACAAATGTACTGATAAATTCCATTCTTTTCCTTTTTAAACATTATTTTGAAATGTGCATTTATAACCTAGAAACTGGTTGTTGTAATGATATGTTTTTGAAATGCTTCATAGTTTTTAAGTGTAAGACTTTCATACAGCACATTCGGAAGAGTAGCAATATATTTTACAGTGTTTGAGTGTTTTAATCTTTCCTTAATTTTGCCTTTACATTTCTGCCAGCTTCTGGATTTAGATTGTATCTTCCAAATAACTCAGAGGCTTTTCAAATATTTCTTCTCAGTTTTCTTTCAAAGTAGGTCAGTTTAGATTTTATATCTGACTTGCAGATGGAAAATCTGAAGCCCAGGAAAGTTAGGTAATTTACCAAAATTTTAATAATTAGTGGCAGAAGTTAAGTAAAAACCAAGGTCTTCTGAAGTCTCCTCATTTCTCTATCAGATGAATAAAAGCTAATAGAGGTCTATTAGGTACTTTCCAGTTGGCTGTATTCTTTTAAACATGTAATCAGGTCATTTAATATAAAGGCTGTAATTATAAACTAGTGATTGAAATGACTTATTCAAAGTTAAGAAAAAAAGAAAAAGATTCAGTACAAACCCAGGAACTCCTAAAATTCCCCAAACTAGTTTCTTTTATAAAGTGTTTGGCAGTGTTGCATCTTAGTGTAGGATGTTGGAATTAGTCCATGATAGGAATGAAATTACCTCAGTAATCTTGCTCTGTTCATTATATTTAAATGTCGAGTTGTTCTTAATTGCAAAGATATTTCTCCCCACCCCCCAGGTATTTGAATATTGATCTCTTAAGCAGGGTGTTTAGGGAATGGTGTGAGCTGTATGCATTTAACTTGCTAACATAGAGTTAGCTCCACATCCTGGAAAGTCTCTCTAACCCAAAGTGACGTTTTGCTGACTGATACTAAAGTCTAAATGAAAGCTAAATATAGTACCAACTGTAAGAAAATTGTGAGCTCAGGAGAAATGTATTGGCAAAGCATCTTTCACTGTTCCTTAGATCATCGTCGTCACCTAGAAGAGCTCCCATGTCTGCCCGTGATTATGACGGGCCTCTCCTGCAGTCCTGCTTTTCTGGAGAAAACAGGGATCTGTGCGGTCTGACGTGTTTGACCTACAGAACCAATTACTTGTAGCTGTTCTTAGAATGAGGCTATTTAAGGAATGAGATTTCCACTGGGGACCCCAATAGTGCCCGAAGTTTTTATCCCAAGCTGAGAGCCCTCCATCCCACTGACTTGGTAGGAGTAGAGCAAAATGAAATCAGCTTCCTGCTTGTGGAGTCCCCTCAATACTGATAGCTCTGAGAAGCTGGGAGCTATTTCTTTTCCTTCTAAAGTTTGTTTGCGGGTCTTTTTTTCCCCCCTTCATTTGAGGCCTGAGTTTACACCTCTGTGCTATGGAAATAGATGGTGAGCCATCTTCCCGCTGCTTAGAATTTCTCCTTATTTTGGCCCAGGTCTCAGACCCAACCCCACTCCTCTCTAGGCTAGCCGAATTGCCAGAACATGAGGACAAGTCTGCCCCAGTCCCTCAGAAGTCACATAAAGAAACATGAGCTACTATCAGGACCCTTTTAAGGATTACCTAGGCCTTTGTACCTGTTTCATCTTGAGGTCCGGAACTTCTGAAAGACTGTTGACCACATCCCGGTGTTCTCTTAGGGCTTTTTTAGAGCTTCTTTCAATTCTCTTAAGCTAATCTTTAGTAACTTTCATTTGAGAGTGAATAATATTTGCTGCCTTTTCAAAAACAATGGTGCTCTGGGCACTATGTACTGTGTGGTTTGGGTTGGTGAGGAGGAATTAAACTGTCCCATAGCAGGTATGTGCAAAGCTATTAAAAGCTTCCATCAAGCCCTTTTAAATTAACATACTGCTGCTTCCCACCAAACCTGAACTCGTCAAATCATTCTCTTAGTTAAATTCCGTAATGGAATTCACCTAAGAAGAAAAGGGATGAGGGTTGATATGTCTATAAAGTGCAGAGTAGAATCTGTTCTTCCATTTCATGTAAACTGAGAGTAATCTCTTTCAAGAATTTCTTTTTTTTTTTTTGGTATGGTAGCACACATTACAATGAGAACTTACTTGCAAAATTATAATTGAGATAATTTTTTAATTCTCAGATTTCTGCACTGAGTGGCCCGCTGCATTAGACAGTGATGAAAAATGTGAGAAGCATTTTCCAATTGAAATTGACACAGCTGATTATGTTTCATCAGGACCATCTATTCGGAACCCCAAAGCACGAGTAGTAACCTTAAGGGTAAGAGATAGTTAAAATAAAAAATTATTATAGTACTTCAAAATAGCATTTTTTATATATTATTATAAAACTGATACATGTTTATTATAGAAGATTAGACAACATAAAGGTCTTTTAAAGTGTAAAATAAAATTACTTATAATTCTACTACTTATAAATAACCACTGTTGACTTATGAGCTCAATTTAGTACAGGTGCTATCAGCCTTTTGTATATTAATGGAATGATGCTATATTTGATAAGTTATCTGCTATTTTTCACTTAATATGAATTAAAAATTTCTCAAATATATTAAATATTTTTTAATATTATATTTAATAGCTGCATAAGATAGCATGTAATTGAAGGTCTGTCAGGGGCCAACACAGTGTTCGAGGCTGGGTGTGCTGTGTCATCAATCAGGTATGGCCCTTTACCTGAGACTGAAGAGGGAGATATGAACAAATAATTCTGTAACATAGATCTACCACAATTTGTTTAAATTATCCATATTATGAGATCTTCAGGCTTTTTTTTTTAATTATTAATTTTGGAGAGAGAAAGAGAAACATCGATTTGTTGTTTCACTTATCTCTGCATTCGTTTGTTGCTTTTTGTATGTGTCCTGCCTTACCAGGAATTGAACCCACAATGTTGGTGTATTGGGATGATGCCCTAAACAACTGAGCTACCCAGGCAGAGTGACCTTCAGGCTTTCTAACTATTTTTTGATTATATATATAAAATTTTTTTAATTTTATGTTGTAAATTCCTGCAGTAAATGTAACAAATACAATGCCAGCAGGTTGTGAGAGAGAGAGCCTGTTTTTCTGTACCTTCACCAACTGACATATTATTGTTAACCTGTCAATTTTATAGGTAAAAAAAATATATCGTATGTACATGAAAATTTGTCTTTTAATTTTAGTGAGGGTGAGAATTTATTCTTTTGCAAAATGCTTTTTTTTTTTTTTTTGTTATTTGCCCATTTTGATGGTGTATTGGTATTTTATACTCATTTTTTCTTTCTAATATTAGCTCTATTGAGATATAGTTCACGTATTGTGGAATTTACCCTTTTAAAGTATACAACTCAGTGGTTTTTAATATATTCATAGAGTTGTGCAACCATCCCCACTGCCTAACTAAGGCCAGAGATTTTCATCACTGTAAATGAAACCTGTGCCCATGATCAGCCTCTCCCCACGGCCCCCTTTCCCCCACCCCCAAGCCCTTGTCAGCCGCTGATCTACTTTGTCTCTTTCCATTTGCCAATTCTTGACATTTCATCTAAATAAGTCATACAGTAAGAATACTCTTATTTAGTAAAGTGCTTTCAATATCTTATCTGTTGTAGCATGTAACAGTTCTTTGTTCTTTTTTTATTGCCGAATTTTACTAATATGCCGTATTTTTATTTATCCATACACCAGTTGCTAGACATTTGGGTTGTTTCCACTTTGTGCCTATTACGAGTAATGCTGCTGTGAACATTCATGTACATATTTGTATCGACACATGTTTTCAGTTTGTTGGGTAGTGTAGTTGCTGGGTCATATGGTAATTCCATGTTTATCTTTTTGAGGAACTGCCAAACTGTTTTCACAAAATGGCTGCATTATTTTAAAGTTTCACCTAAAATGTTTGAGGGTTCCAATTTCCCCACATCCTCACCAGTGATTGTTGTCAGAAGTTTTAGCTTTTGCCATTCAAATGGGTGTGAAGTGGTATCTCATTGTGATTTTAGTTTACATTCCCTTAATAACTAATGCTGTTGAGCATTTTTTCATGTGCTTATTGACTGTATATCTTCTTGGGAGAAATTTCTGTTTAAATCCTTTACCCATTTTTTAATTGAGTAATTTGTATATTCATAGTTCAGTTGTGCTTTTTATACATTCTGGATACCAGTTCCTTATCAGGTATATATCTTGCAGATATTTTCTCCCGTTCCATGGATTGTCATCTCACATTCCTGGTGGTATCTTTTAAAGCACAAAAATTTCAATTTTGATGAAATCTAGTATGTGTAGTTTTTCCTTTTGTCTTGTTTTTTTGGTACCCTATGCAAGAAACCACTGTTTAAGTCAAAGTGATGAAGATTTAGTCAAATGCTTTTCTTCTAAGAGTTTTATAGTTTTATCTCTTATGTTTAGGTCTATGATTCACTTTCAGTTAATTTTTGTATATGGTGTAAGGTAGGGGTTCAGCATCTTTTGCATGTGGATATTCATTTGTCTCAGCACTCTTTGTTGGAAAAACTGTTCTTTCCTCATTGACTTGTCTTACCACCCTTGTCAAAAGTGGTATACTTATTTTTTAACTTTTCACTTGGCTACTTTACCAAATTCTGTGTTTTAACCTTTTATTATGAAAAATTTCAAACGTATGGAGACATGGAGAGTGTAGTACAATAAACATACATGGCACCTTAATTTAGTAATTAATATGTTGGCATTTAAAATATTGAGTGCTGCATGTACTAACACACATGCATCTAAATGTATTTTTGTGGTTTCAGTTTAAGTGTTTAAAATTACTAATATCTGACATTTTACACTAAGACCTCTATAAATTGAAGAGATTTTCTTACATAATTCCAATGTAATTAATGCAGCTAACAAAAGTTTGAATAATTCCTTAATTTCATCATCTACAGTATCTGCCCCATACTCCAATTTCCAAGGAAACATAAAGGAAGATCAAGTGAATTAGGAACAGGTAGCCAACAAATAGCAAATCTAGAAATCAAATCCAATTCTTAAGTATAGTTCCAGAGTTCCTTAACTAACTGCACTATACTTGTAAATAGAGAAAATATTTCACATATTTAAACATTGTTGAATTTATTTAGCTCTTTTAAATATGCACTTTTGAAAATATACATCTATAGTAACCACAGCCTCTTATGATTTGAAATGTCAACATTGTTTTGGGGTTAATAGTACCATATTGATTCCTTAAAATACAGCAACTTGACAAAAGAAAAGCCTCAGGATTCTTTTGAATTTTGGAAAAAGAATGATGATGAATGCCATTCAACTTCAAAATCAGATTATTGTCCAGGTTAAAGACTATAGTTTTGCAGTGCCATTGAGTGCTAGCAGGTGGCGTGAGTGCACCACACAGCTGTGTCTGAAATAGTTCTGAGTTTTTGGCATAAACTCTGTATAATTTTTGACCATTAAAATGTTACTGTGAGCATGAGTTTTAAAGTAGTTGTTACAATAATGGTCAGCCTTACTGCCATTTTCTTGGACTACTTCCCATATAAAAAGCTAGAACACTTCAATTTTTCAAGTGGTAAATTTTAAAATGTATTGTTAAACAACATGATTTCACTGAAGGGAGTTTCAAAAGGAAAAACAATCTCTGTATTTTCATTATCCTAGGGTAAAAACTATTTCTTCCTCTCCACTGTACCTATGAATATGTGCATATGTTCTCATAGTTACCATAATGTATGTCCATTTTATGATTTTCTTATAAATCTCCATATTGTTAATAATCAGAGTTACAAAATTACTTATTTTATCCATCAAGCTGTTAACCTGGTTATTAACACATCCACCCCCCTACCCCCGGCCAGGGACTATGATAATTTACATTGTCTTTAACATATAACCTTTCTATTGGATTGATACTTAATAGTTAATGTTCTTACTACTTGTGGTTTTCAAGAATGTGTTTATATTTATTTGTTTTCTGTTTTCTCCAGTTCAAATAAAAATTCACAGTGTATATCCTTGATCTTTGTTTTCACTTACGTATTCATTCAGCAAATATGTGTTACATGCTTTTTAAGGGCTAGTCCATTGCGCCTAGAACAAGATAGACATCTTTCTTACCCTCAAGAGTTTGCAGTTTAGTGGGGAAAATGGAAAAATAAGTTAAGATCTTTTGCTGTAGTGTCTTGAGGGGAGTGCAGGGTTATTTAGAAGCTAGAGAGAAGAAATGGGTGGGATTTCAAAATCCTATTTAGCCTTTTTTTTCTTCTTCAGACTGTTCTGACTATTTCTTATTCTTAAAGTTCTTCATGGAAAAATAATCTGTGGTTTTACCTTACTTAACTGTATTCTAGTGGCTGACTTGTTTTCTGGTGTCAGGCCTATTTATCTCTAGATAATGCCTTCAGCCATACCATCACTCTCTGCAGATTAACATGTGTGTTTATTTAGTGTATCATTTCCCAAAATATGTTTTAAGGAAGAGTAATTTCATGAATTGTCCCTTGAAAAGTGGAATCTGAGGTCAAATGAATTTGGCAATCATTACATAACAGCTCTGAATCTTGACATTTCAGAATGTTTATTAGCATATTACCTCCTCTAAGAAACCCTGCTGTAAAGAACCTAATTTGACTTAGCACTTCCTGAATGTATTCAACAGACATAGCCTTTTTAAAGAAATAATTCTTCTTGGCAGGCTGTGGGACTAGTGTTGTCATTTTGAGAAATACTGAACTGTATTATTTCAAATGTTTTGATTTTTTGATGCTATATTCCAGCCTCCATGAGAGGTCACTAGCTTTTACAATAAATGCCCCTAAACTAGTTGGAATGGCATGGGTCTCATAATTACATGGTAGAAATTTCTTAAAGTCCTTATGTTTTATCAATTACTGTATTCCTATATTCCAGCTTTACTTATACTAACTGAGTTTAATTCTATTAGGTAATGCTACTCATAAGCACCCTAATTTCATTTATTAAGAGCCATGCCACTGATTCTTTAAAGAAAGGTACCAATGTCCAGAACTTTCAAAGAACACAAAACAGTTCACTCCCCTCTTTTTTCCCATGAGTAAGATCCTGGTGCACTCCAGATGCTCACTCAGTATAGAAAGGAGTTTGAAAAGGTTTCTTTTTGCTCATTTTAATGGTAATTTAAATAGCATTACTACCGTTTTTTATTAAACAAAGTATATGAAGTAATCTTTTTCAAATAATTTTTTCTTATAATTTTAAGGTTAAACTTTCCAGTTTGAATTTAGATGATCATGCAAAGAAGAAACTTATTAAACTTGTGGGAGAGCGATACTGCAAGACCACAGATGTGCTCACCATCAAAACAGACAGGTAAGGAAAGAAGAGTTGAGTCCCTCAGCCCCATGTGTTGTTTCGTTGTCCTCCGGTCCCCTGGCCGTCCTTTTTAAAGAAATGACATGGAAAAGAAGGAGAGCCTTTTATATCAACTTACATTAGCTTTATTAGGTCAAGAGAAGTTGCCTAATTTATATTTTTAGTCTCCTCACCCCAGTCTACTGTTGCTGAGATCTTTATATACATGCAGAGGCTTGCCTTGATGGGTTAACTTATCGGTGTGGTTTTTAACCTTATTTTAATAGATCCGTGTATTAAAGGGAAGATGTTAGAAGAAAAATATGATTTGCTAGTGATTAATGCTTAAACAAGCTTTATAAAGTCAAAGTGGATGAAAACCTTGTAGTTCACAATTAAAATTATTAAATTAATTGGAAATTTAATTTACCATTGTGTAAATAAGCAGAATAAGCATAGAAGTTCATAAAAGCAGTATTAAATTTATCTTATATGAACTTATGAATTAGGTAATTTGAGGTAAAGGTTATTGGTATATTTTTACTATATGGTTATTTTATTTCTAGAATTATGCTTCGGCTGTTTTTAAATTACATCAAAATATAAAAGACCTGCCTTTACAGAAAAGCAAGTGGTTAGATATCCTCTCTCCCTCCCTGTCTGTTTCAGAGCATTTGGAGGTATCATCCTTAGGTTCATATCCTGCTTAGTGGTGGACGTAGCATGATATACGCATGAGAGGGCTTCAGTGGGGAGGTGCGGAAAGCTTGGGAATCGTGACTTCAGATTATTACTGTCGGAGTGAAAAAATAGATTTGAAATGTATTAATAATATATTTTTTGCTATCTTTAAAAAATGTGAAATAATGTTTTTAGTTAGTGCAACTTAAAAGATACATTTTAAATGTTATTTGAAATTTTATAAATATCTGACAATGTTGCTTTAAGTTTATAAGTGTCAGTCTGCATATATATTTTATGGTACCAACTATTTAGAATACAGAATTATTAAACATAACCAAACATAAGCATAGAATAAATAGACTACAGTTAAAGTTATTTGTCATATGATGGTTTTATTTTATATTTAAAGAAATTGGAATTGTTTTCTTCTCTGTATTATTTTATCAATCTAAAAATTAAACATGCCATCTCATATTTACGTACAAGTTTTATCTAATATTGGGCCGTTAGTTCTATTTTAAATACAATGGCAGCAATACCTCATTGCATAGTGTAGCTCATTTTTAAAAGAACTGGCTTTGAGAAAATCAAGACGAATGTTTAGATCAGCATCAGTCATCTGTCTGTCTCAGTTCTTTAAGTGAATTCCATGTATATGCTCACGCCGTCCAGCCGATTCTTAGCTCTGAGATGATAGACACTTGGATTGGACACATCATATTAAAAATATTGTAAAGCTATCATCAGATACAAATAACTTCATTAGTTATGAAAACAAAGAGATACTCTAAATAAAAAAATTTTTTTAAGTTTTCCTTAATATCTACAAACAGTGAATTACATAGACTGTTCTTCTAAGGACCGAGTTTTCCTAGAAAAGGTACAGAATACCTGAACATAAGTTATCTTCTGTATTTAGCATTTATAAACTTGGCAAGTAATTCTGTGTACTGAATTTTTAGAATTTTGACTTCCTCCCTCTCTCTCTTTTGAAGGTGCCCTTTAAAGAGACAGAATTATGATTATGCAATGTATCTGCTAACAGTTTTATACCATGAGTCTTGGGTAAGTGATTGTGAATGTTTAGTCGTTTTGTCAGTGTGAATCCAGATGATGTCTTAACCATTCAAAAACAGTAAGTGTGGCAAGCAGTCAGTCTAATGAACCACTGGTTACACCGAGCATGTAGGAAATGTTATAGATATAGCCTCTCCCGGCATTGGAAGTGAGGGTCTTGAAATAGGTTATGCAGTTTGCCTCAGGACCTTGCAGAAATCAAGTGACTAAAATGCCTTTAAAGCTCAGAGTTTTTGACTTCTGTTTGAAGATTTAGAGTATTTAATTTTGTTGTTTATCTGCTTGACATTGGCTAAAAGTTGTCAAAGTTATGGAAGGATAGTCGTCATCTGTATAACTTGAGAATTTATAATTCATACTGTTATTCAAATAAACTACAGAACAAAGCTGCAGAACTTTATAGAAAGGTATTTTAAATTTTTACTAAAATGTGTAGTTAACATGTAGCCTTTCATGTAAACATTTCACTGGTATACAGTAGAGACAATTACAGGCAATTAATTATTTAAATAGTATTAAAAATATTTTTTTGTGTGACAGTTTTAGATATGCATACACATTTATAAGGAAGATTTTGCTATATTTGATCATCAACACATCTGATTTAAAGTTGGTAACACGTTTAGGTAACGCAGAATTTAAAATTTTATTCTTAAAAATTAAAATAACTTTATGCATACAAATTAAATTTTTTGTAGCTTGCCCAAGATAAGCGTGGGACTCAATAGCATCTCATATTAGGAGCATATGAAGGAGTGGAGACAGTTGGAAAGAGTCACTTTTTAGACATTCAAAGAGTTTCATGGAAAAGAGAGGGTGAGATTTGCTTTTCATGACTTTAAGCCGTAAAGTTTAAGGGATATAACAAGGTAGAAGAAATAGTGAGACAGACTTTAATTCGCTGAGTAAAAACTTTCTGAGTCATCTAAAAATGGAGTGCCTTACTCTACTAGGTAGAAAATGTTCCTACTTAGTTGGGGATATGGATAAATAGTCACATTAAATGGTCTTTGGAACTCCTTCCATCCATGAGATACTATAATTCTGTGAACACATGCAGCCTCTGAACTGCTCACATCATTTCATTGATAATAATAGAACAGTTGTAGCATGAAAGGATGAGTGAGAATAAGAGAAAATAAAACATTGTCACAAGGTTAGTAAAGAGCAAAAAGTAGCTGGCGGCTCTTCTTTTCTTTTGAGGTCTTTTGATTATCATAATGCATCTGGGTTTTCTAGTTCCTGGCTTCGGGAGCAATGTGATTGTAGCAGTTAATCTCTCCTGTCAATGGATTTTATAAATGCCTTCAGTGTAAAATAATTAAGTTCCCTTTTAAACCAGCAGCATGGCTTGCCTTAGCTACAGCCCCATGACTGATGCTTACAGAGTTACTACCAAACAATAAAAGCCACCCAACTTTGAGTCTCTTATTTTGCCAGCAGCCTATAAAATGAATTTTCCCTAAGGGAAATGATAAGCATAAATAAATTCAGTGAAAGTTGACTTATTGGATTCTTTCTGTGGTTCCATGACATAGAATCCAAACAAGCTTTTATTCTGCATTTACACAAAAAGCCTTTGATTTTTAATTCTAATTACTTTGATGCCAGATTAAGTAGCCACATACAACTATTCAAAACAGATATTATGAAAGAATTCGTATATTAAACTTGGCTCCTGATCCTTACTAAACAAGTACCATTGGTGAAGAAGCTATAATGGCAGATGAGCTGTGAAATTTGCAGAGCCGGTGGAACGGAATTTTTGTTGAAAAGAAATTTTTTTTTTCCTTCACCAGCATGAAATTCATACTAGAAATCGATGTTACCACCTCGTATTTAGTCAAATATTTGAAGAGTCCCCTTTTAAACCATTCCTGTATTAAAAAAATTTTTTTTTACTTATTGATTTGAGAGAGAGAGAGAGAAACATCGATGTGAGAGAAACATCGATGGGATGCCCCCTGTACACACCAGACCAGGGATCAAACCTGCAACTAGATATGTGCCTGGCTGGGCGTCAGACACACAGCCTTTTGGTGTATGGGACGATGCTCCAGCCAACTGAGCCACCTGGCCAGGGCCATTCCTGTATTTTTTAGGTTAGTTTCAGAGCATTTAATACAAAAAAGGTAAGCTTGCCTTGATTTCTTAGCTTTTTAAACTTTCCATGGAGGTTACGTCTAAGTAATGTTGAGAGGAAAGTAGTAGTTTTATGTATCACACAGTTACTGACCTGTCTCTGGCTGAAGACCCCAGGAGTTTACTAGCTGAAGACCCCAGGCCTGAACTGCAGCTTCAAAGTTTCAAGGTGTTCAGTATAAGGAAGGTACTGTTGTGTACTCTTCAAAACACTTTAACTCTAGAAGCCTCAAAGTACGCTTCAAAAGACATAGACTTCACAAAGCATAGACTTCAGGCATAGAGGCTTGCTTTGTCATATTTCAAAGAATGATTATGGTCGTGCTAGGAGGGTGGTAGGAGACAGATACACATCAGACATTTATTCTTTAGCAATTCTAAGAAGCGAAGAGACTTGTAGAAATCTGTTTTAATATTACACGTTGTTAGCATAGGAATGAATTAAGCTTTACCTTTGGAACCATATAGCCCTGGATTGGAATCCCATTCCTTGTCACTGCTGTTGCTTTGTCAGCCATTTCACCTCTGAAGCCCATTTTTGGATAGATACAGGAGAACGTACATGAAATGTCTGGAAAATAGTGGGCTCTCAGTAAATGGTGGCCTAGTAATATTGTTGTTAATACTCAAATGAAGAAATCTTAGAATTGTAAATTCATGTATTTCCAATTTCTGTATACAGCTTACGTTTAATTTGACAGAGACTTTATACGGGGAGTGAGATCTGTACCTTGTTGTATTTAAAGTTTTAGAACATGTATTCTACTCACATTCTGACGTAACTGATAATAACAAAACTTCCTAAATTTTAATTTTGCTGTATGATATTATTTAAACCTTCTATAAGTGACCTGGTTAAGAAATGATCAGATGAAATATTTTACAAAGTGATTTGTGCAAAATGTGTAGACTAAAACACAGGCACTGGGGAAGAGAGAAAAGCACTTGCTTTAGAAAACAGAGAGATCGAAAAATCCTAAGTCAAGGGTCCTAGGATGATTTTGATATTTAATTTCTAGTGGTTGCTTTTTTAAATTTGAAATTTTTGGTTATGTTATTTGGATTTCATGGTAGTCTTGTTGCTAGTCAAAAATATATCTTTATTCATTCACTCACTGAAGCACACTTAGGTTGTTTCCCTATATTAATTATTATAAATAATGCTGCAATAAACATGGGGTGCTGATAGCTTGAGTTAGTGTTTTTATTTCCTTTGGATAAACACCTAGGAGTGGCGTTGCTCGATCAGATGGTCTTTCCATTTTTTATTTTTGGAGGAACCTCCATACTGCTCGCCTAGGGGCTGCACCGTCTGCAGTCCCGCTGAGTGCACAAGAGCCCGCTTTTCTCCACATCCTTGCTGCTGACACTTGTTTCTTGTCTTTTTGATAGTAGTCATTCTGACAGGTGTGAGGTGATATCTCATTGTGGGTTTGATTTGCATTTCTCTGATGGTTAGTGATGTTGAGCACCTTTTTATGTACCTGTTGTCCCTCTGTATATGTGTCTTGGAATAATGTTTGTTCAGGCTTTCTGCTCATTTTTTTAGCCTGATTGGTTGGGGTTTTTTTGCCATTGAGTTGTATGAGTTCCTTATATATTTTGGATACTAACCCCTTAGACGTAGCGAGCCCCTTCTTTGCCTAACTGCTACTTTGCCTAGACAGCGACTTAGACTGTTTTATTTTCTATATTGGCCACAAGGGCACTTGACGACAAAGTTTGTCTTAGTCTGTCAGTGTTCCATGAAATGTTTCCTGTGTATGTTTTTGTTCCATGTATGTTTTATCTTTCTAACTAATCATAAAGCCCTCGTTAGTGTGCCTCTGACACTAGATTTTGTTCTTCAGAGTATCTAGCTCAGTAGTAGGTCAAAACACTTGAGTTTAATAACAGCTATTGAAACTTACATTCTTTTGGATAGCCATAGACTTTTGAAGTGATTATGAACTCTATAATAGAGTATATAGCTTTTGTACCTTTTTTGCAGGAAGGTGACTTTTTGTAACCAAGCGATGTATGTTATTAAACTTTTTATAAAAGTTAACATTTTGCATAATAAACGGTTTTTAAACAAAAAAAAAAGGGGGGGGGCGGGATGTGGCTGGCGTGAGAGCCCAGAGGGAGTGCTCCGAGGACGGGCCCAGGGGGGACTCGCACCCGCGGAGCAGCAACGCGCCCCGCCTGCTCCCCACGCGCCATGAACCACAGCCGCACCACCAGCATCGCCGACAGGGCAGCGACAGCCACGCTCTGGGGCTGTGAGCTAAACCAGGAGAGGCGCACCTGGACCTTCAAATCGCAGAAGGAGGGGAAGCAGGACTGTAAGGTGTTCCTCAATACGGTTTGCTTGGGGGAGAAAGCCAAAGAGGAGGTGAACCTCGTGGAGGTCCTGTCCCCAGCAAGCCAGGAGGACAAGCGGGCAAAGCCCGTCACCATCGCCTCTCTGCAAGCCTCGGTCCTGCCCACGGTGAGCCTTTCCCTGCAGGCCCGCCGTGGGTGGGCTGGGGGGGGCGGTGCGCCGCCCTGTGGGGCAGCAATGCAGAGAGGAGACGAAAGGCCCGAGCTCAGCCCTGCTTCCATCCAGCCCGCCCTTTAGTAGCTGGGAGACCTTGGCGGATCCCCTCCCAGTAAACAGGTGTGCTTCCAAGCAGGACGAGCCCTTCCGTGCTCCCCCCATCACACCTCCGGCTGAGCCACAGCGCCTCCCGCTCTGACCACAGCTCCGTGCCTCTCGGCCCCACCCTGGGCCAGACCACCTTCGCTTCTTGCCCCGGTTTAGTGCGGGGCCTCCTAACTGGTCTACCTGCCCTAATCCTTGGTCCCCTACAGTCTAGTCCAGGGCTTGACAAACAACAGGGTTAAATCCAGCCCACTGCCTGTTTTTGTCAATAAAGTTTTATTGAAGCACAAAAATGCTTATCAATTTTTCAAATTTTTTCAAATTGATAAGTAAATTGACAGTAACAAATAAACTCCCTTTTGAGTAATGTAAAATAGAGCATACTTGTTAGATGTTAGCAATAATTAGATTACTGGTATATATTGATCTATTAATAAAATTATTAATGATTAATATTTATGCCCAATTTTTTTAGAAATATCTTTGCTAGTGTTACTAACTGATGTCACCTCAGTAAATTTAACAAAAAAAGAAAAAGAAATACCATTGCAACAATTTGAGCTGCTTAATTTTCATGGATGTGTGATTTGAGTTATGTGTAGATCAGGTTTGTTTTTCATTTGATTATACCTTTTTTCAAATATTTAAATGAAAAGTATTCAAATTTCATATTATTCTGGAAGGTCTCTACACATGTTTACTTCTGTGAGTATATTTCATGATGTTTACTTTTGACAATGTTAATAGAATTTGAATTCTAGAAAATATTGGCTATTCTTAGTAGGATGCCAATATTTCAACGTGAAATATTTTTATGCCTAAAATTGTTTATGAACTAGTTATGCATAAACTGATATTACAGTGTTTATTAAAGAAAAACAACTAGTTAAACACATTAATTGAACTCCCAAGATGAGTCTGGGTATCATGTACACCAGTAACATGTTGTGAAGAATGCTTCCATGCTACCTTTTACTTGATTCCAGACAAATAGCACATCTGGCCGTTGTTTTCAAGGTGGATCTGTTGTTGCTCTGAGAATCGGTTGTGTCTCTGTTTCTGACTTTTTTTACCTCTATGCTATTTCAAATGATCATCTTGGATGAATACAAAAGGAAACCCAAAATGAAGTGTGAGTCGGTGAGGAGTTGTTACATTTTTAAAAAGTGCCTTAAAATAGTATGTTTTTGAAAAAAACATAAAAGCATTTGGTATGACCACCCATTTTAAATGCATGCTAACCTTCAAAATCAGGCATCAAATAAATTGTCTATTATGATCTCTTCATTATATACATTGAGAAATTAAGAAATTAAGGATTTAAGTACTTTGCCCAAGTTTGGAGTTTACTAGCTGAAGACCCCGGGCCTGAACTGCAGCTTCAAAGTTTCATATTCTTTCCATGGCATCATATTATTTAGTTTTGTTCAACTTTGGCTACTATTACAAAATATTATGAAATAAAGAATTGAAATTAAACCTGAATGTTAGTTGCTACTTTGCTCTCTTTTCAAACTTAACAACTGACTAACTGAAAATTTTTTTCCCTCCCTCCCTTCCCTTCCCCTCCCTTCTTTCCTTCCTTCCTTTGCTGTCTTATTTTGGCTGAAATACTGAAGGCAATAAAAGGAAGGGAGTCTTAACTCAATCACCTGGGAGAAATTTAAAAAATTATAGGCAGGATGTGTAATGGCAAGTTCATTTTTGTCCAACTTGCCATGATTCATTTATTTCACCTTTTGGAGCACCATTTTGTACCTAAGAAGGAATAGACAATGGTTATGCAGAGAGGCCACAAGAAATTCTTTTAGAACTGCCAGAAAATGAGCAAATAAAAGCCAAAAGGAGAAATACATGACTGAAAGGGGAAGAGATTAATCCAAAAGAAATTTTATCTACATAATCTGTTTTCTCTGGGCTTGCATCATACTCATCTGTGAAGCTTTTTAACACTAAAGATGCTTAGACCCTATAGAATCAAAATCTCTAGCGATGAGACTCAGGCTTGTTCATTTTAAAGGCTCCATGGGTGATTCTGGTGCTGAGCTCTGATTGTGAATAATTTTTGAGTGTTTTGAGTTGTTAACAAACTGATTAGAGGTTGGTATATCTCTTTTAAGATGATTTTTTTTTTACATGTATCTAGTATCAGCTGAAGGCGTGGGATGGAAATTTCACTGAGAGGTCAAGAAAATGGACGTGTTTGTCTACCTTACATACATAATTTTTTTTTTTAGTTGTTGTGGTAGATGTTCTAGATTCTTGAGTGGGATGATAATACAATGAAGGTGGCACTTTTCATGTTTCTTTGCCTTCAGGCAAGACTTTGTTTTACCTCTGATGTTCAAGAGCCTACCATGCACTTAAAGGCCTTTAGAAAAGTTTGTATTCTTTGCCACCCAGTGGCTGAAGTCATGAACCTGAGTATTATACTGTTTTCTTTCCTCACACTCTCTCCTGATATCTAATTAGTCACTATGTCTTCTCAGTTTTAGCCTTTCAATATTTGTTAAAACTGTTTTCTCCTGTGTATCCCTACTGCTACCACCCTAGTATGGTTCTTCATCCTCTACCTGAAAAACTCTGATAACCTTATTTTGTTTTAAAGATTTTATTTATTTATGTTTCAAGAGAGGGAAAAAGAAGGAGAGAAACATCGATGTGTAAGAGAAACATTGGTCACCTCTCACAAACCCAAACCGGGAACCTGGCCTGCAACCCAGGCCTGTGCCCTGACTGGGAATCAAACTGGTGACCTTTTGGTTTGTGGGATGACACCCAACCCACTGAGCCACACCAGTCAGAGCTGTAATAGCTTTATTGATTTTCCTGTCTCATCCATCTTCCATGTTGCTGTTAAAGTAATTGTTCTAAAAAACAAGTCTGTTGTGTCATATTTTTTTCATAAAGACCTTCAGAGGTCCCCATTACTTAGGATTCAATCTAAACTCCTTGGCCTGTCTGTTCACAGTCATTTGCCACCTCATTATCAGCTACTCAGGAAACATAGGTTGTATATCCTATACCTCAGCCATGATGAACATAATATGTGCGTTCATAATTTTGCATATGCTGTTCTCTTTGTTTATAACCTTTTTTTCAAAATATCAGCCTCAGAAATCCATATGAATCCTTTAATAAACCTCACATGTTACCTCTCTTAAATGTTTCCTGTCTGTCTCTCCCCTTCCCCTGGGCCGCCCCCGCCGCCCGCCCCCAGCTTCTTCAGTTAGCATTCCTTTGATTACTTTTATGGTGATTGTCCATGTGCATGCCTGCCTAACTCCACTAGACTCTGACTTCACTGAGGACAAGGACTGTACATTTTATTTATCTTCATGTTTCTAGCATCTAGTACAATGTCTGGCATATCAGCAACCAGTAAATTTTTCAGAAAAAAACTGATCTAAATTGAATTGAATTCTTGGCATATTAAGTTAAAAATTTAGCCGTGTTAACTAAAAGAATGGGCAATAACTTTTTGTTCGTTATGCGTATTTATCTTTTTCTATTTTTTCTAATTTTCAAATAACTAAGGGTTGTTTTCATGGTTAAACTGTTTTCCCTTTTATAGCACAATGCCTTACTTGTAATCATGAGAAGTGGAATATTACTATGATTCATGTCCTAGGCAAAGGGGGTTGTAAATAAGATGGTAGAAAGTGACAAATATGTGTTTAGTAGAACAGATATTTCTTTGCTTTCTGTTACATGACCATTGTATGAATTAGCTGTTATTATGTTTTTCTTTGTTATAAATTTAGGCTTGCAAGGGCAAGAAAGAAGAAAGCTTCAAATTAAATTATTCCTTTGTTATATAAATTTTACAATGTTTCTGTGTTCCTTGGGACATGTTGTTTTGCCACTAACAAGCAGTAAGATTTGGGGCACATTTTTAGTTGCCCTGGGCTTTAGTTTCCTGGCCTGTAAAACATATGGTATACCAGTGTTACCTCGAAGGATTGCTGTGAAAGTGAAAGGAGTTAACATAGGTAAGGTGCTCAGAATAGTAAGTATTCTAGTAGCTATTCAGATTCATCCCTTGCCCCTTTCTGAACCAGATCTTTATTCAGTTCCCTGGCCTTTCTGGGCTCTTTCCTTCATTGGGATCACAGTTTTCATCTGACTGGCTTCTACTCAACTCCAAGTCTCCTACTAGACTGGCAGTTCCAGGACAGCGTGGTGTCTGGTGCAGTAGTTCTGCAGTCAGTATTTACTGAGCGAATGAATGAGTGAATGAATCGAGCCAGCTCTGGAAAAGAGAACAGAATCATGTGGAATGGAAGGTTGCTTTCACTTGGGTTACTGCAGTCAGAGCAGATTCTCTCATTGTGGGCAAGGGGGAAAGGAGAGACTATATACTGTATATATATATATGTATAATATCCACCCTTGTAAACTAAATGGTGAAATTATAAATATTCAGTGGTTGAAGTGTTAAAAAAAAGACATCAGAATCTTTGCCTGAATGATGAGCTTACAGTGATTTTTTTTCTCCCGCCCCCCCCCCAGTATTTGCTATTGTTTACACTTTAAAATTAATTACATTTCAACTACACTTCAGAAAAAGAAACTCAAACAATTGCCCACTTTCAATCCTGGGTGGTATTTTAGAAGGAAAAATTTTGAATGTGAATTATGTTATAAATTGTAAGAAAAACCTAATGATAGCAGTGTTGTAAAAATGGAGTTAGAAGGACACGCATGATGTATTGCCAGTATTGACGGGTTATGCTGGGGTGGTAGACTTACAGCTGATTTTCTTTCCCTTTGCTTTTCAGCAATTTCCACCTTCTCTGTGGGAGATGTATATGTGACTGCAGGCTGCTGATACTGTATCTGAATTCAGCTCTAGATGATTATCCCTTCAGCATTCATCCTTGTTTTTAGGGGCCCTTCATGAACTTTTGCTTAAATACATTGAAGTTAAGAGAAAAATACTTGTTTTTTTTAAAAAAGAAAACTTCCAAAAAGACTATTTAAAATCACATAAATGTAAAAATCTAATTTCAAGATTGTTATTTTTAAGTATGACATTTTGGAGATACTGCTTATTTAAAAATAATACTGATCCAGTTTTTAACTGTAATATTTCTAACAATGTGTCATTTCTAGAAATGTCTGCTATATATTTTAATCTAAATCAATTACATTTAATTGTTTCCCAAGTTTTGTTCTTTCCCTCTTTTTTTTTCATTCTGTACCTTCTCCCAGGTACAGAATGTTAATTGTCTTGTATTGGGTTGGCCAAAAAGTTTGGTTTTTTTCTGTACGATGGCTGTAGTAGCTAGTGCTTAGTTGTCTGTAACTGAATTCGAAACAATTTTGTTAGATTGTATTGTGACAGCTGTCATATCGGTGTGCATTGTAAAAAAAAAAAACTTACCAAAATTGGTGAATTTTTATGTAGCCATCTTAGTATGAAAGATGGAAGAAAATACACAACATTTTCAGCATATTATGCTTTATTATTTCAAAGGTAAACGCACAACTGAAACAAAAAGATTTGTGCATTGTATGGAGAAGGTACAGTGACTGATCAAACGTGTCAAAAGTGGTTTGTAAAGTTTCGTGCTGGAGATCTCTCACTGGACGATGCTCCACGGTCAGGTAGACCAGTTGAATGTGATAGCCATCAAATGGAGACATTAATTGAGAACAATCAGTGTTATACCACTCAAGATATAACCAACATACTCAAAATATCCAACTCGGTAAAGTTATTGGAGAAAATGAAAAATCCATCTTTTATACAAAAACCCATATGGACTTTTGGGCCAATCCAATATATGCTGATGAACTCTAAACTTTCTTATCATCAAGCCTGTCTCCTGAGCACCATGTATTAGTTGAGACCCCCTTGTCGTGAGTCATAGAAACTCACTCAAGCTGGCTTAAGCTGAAAAGATACAAGGGCAAGGATCCTACAAAAGCTCAGGAATGGGCAGGAACAATGTGAATGAGGGCTGTTTTTATTCCCTGGGCCCTGTTAGTCTATAGGCAACTGCCTAGTTTTTTTTAAGACTGATTTTCTCTCCGACCCCAGTCTATATGTTGGAAAACTGTGACTTTCACTGTTTCAGAATGTATAGGACTGGTCACCCCGGGGAAGGGGGAAGGCAGAGGTGAGGGGAGGGGGAACAAAGCAACAAAACTAAAAACTAAACTAAGCTAAATTTAGTTCTCTCTTTGGATTCAAACCCTAAGGGAGGGGCTCTGCTTCAGCTGAGCATTGTCCAGTAACTGTGGCCAGAATTCTGGGCAAGATGATACCAGGGAAACAGCTGTGGGGCAAATAATCAGCACACAGGAATTACTAATTGATAGAATGAATAAATGGAATGAATGAATGGGCTGACCTAGGTTAGGCTCTCATGAATCAAAATACCACAAACTACCACAATACTGTGGTTATGATTTTAGAACAATACTTATTTTTTTAAGAAAAAAATTAATATGGATAAAATGACAAAGTCTGAGGTTTCCTTCAAAATAATTCAGTGAGCGCACGGTAAGGGAGCAGTGCTTTTGCATATATAGACGTATGTATAAAACAAGATTGGCTGTGAGTTGACTGTTGAAACTGGATGATGGAGAGTTCATAGTGCTATTGCCAAACATATACAAAAAGTATATGTTTGAAATTTTCTACAGATTAATTGCAAAAACAAAATTGTATTTAGTAGAGTTCACAGACTTATATAAATGATTAGCTTTTAAACTGAATTTTGTTCCAGTGTCAGTATTACCATGTTTGAATAATGATGTTTTTGTTTTAGCCAACTCTGGTTTTTATTTCTCCTGAAGACGAATTTCAGCACATATCTAATGTGAACCAGCAAATGTACTTTTTGCCTAAAATGTTGGATACAAAAACAGTTTTTAGCTAGGGTACCTAGAGATGTCTAGCCTCTCTAGTACTGCCAGCGTGTAGTACTCGAGAAAATGTTTATGGAAGGTGCCCCATAGCAGTCACACGCCAAAAGGGAGCTTTGTCTGTTGAGCTGTTTTCTTGCAATGTGTTTGTTTGTTGCTGGAGGCTCCCCTATCATTTGAATTTTGCTGATTGTATCACTGCAGTGTAATTTTAAAATTGAAATAAGTGAAGGAGGAGGGTGATTGCTCCAGGCTCACCTGGCCACCTGAGGTCTGAGGGAATCAATATTATGGCACACTTATGACACACCTTGGCAAACCAGTGTAGAATTGTATATTCAACATGTTGGGGAATACAAAAAAATGTTGGAAATTATTAGTGTATTTACGTTGGTTACTTCTTGTTTAAGCATCTATTTCAAAACAGTTAAGAAAATCTTGATAAATCTAGGTGAAGCCCTGGCCAGGGTAGCTCAGTTGGTTAGAGTACTGTCCTGATACCCCAAGGTTGCAGGTTTGATCCCTGGTCAGGGCACGTACAAGAATCAGCCAATGAATGCATAAATCAGTGGAACAACAAATTGATATCTCCATCCCCTTTCTCTCTCTCTCTCTCTCTCCCCCCTTCCTCGCTCTCGCTCTCACGCTCTCTCTCTCTCTCTCCCCTCTCTAAAATCAGTAAATAATATAAAATATCTGGGTGAAACATTTTAAGCCACTTAGTCTTTATTAATCATATTACTCTATTAATACCAACTTATTTCATTAAAAATAACAATTTCTTAATTACTTAGTCTCTGGTAGTCAAGAATGAGATAGATTGACTATTTTACTTAATGCTTTATAAAATGTATTTCTTTGCCTCTTAAATATAGTTCATTTGTAAATTAGACTTATGAAAAAACTATGACATTGTCTTGAAACATTTAAGGCACTTTTAAGAGTAGGTAGGACCATTTATTTAAGGGGCTGACATTTATTTCTTCCCCAGATATTACAGAAAGAATTAGATGAGGTAGGGTAATTTTGTCAGTAATTTTTTTTACATGTACAAATTCAGAATTTGGCTGTTAGAAATTATTTGCCACAGTGTCACGTGGGCAGGAGGGCAGGAGTTCCACATACAGCCGTTCCCCTCAGCCAGGCCTGAAGTCCCACCAGATAAAATGGGGTCAGAGAGTTGATTCTCAACCAGATAAGATATGTCTAGAAGATACGTTGAGACGCTGTCCTCAGCCATAAATTAAGTATAGGGAGCTGTGAGTACAGATACCCTACATTGGCTAAAGAATTTAGGGGTCAGGGGAAACCTCCATCCTGTTGGTTTCTCTGGAAGGAACGTGGGTACTTGGCCTGAGGATGACAGGAGGGTTTCTTTTTGGTGCGGGTTTCTGTGGTAGGCGAGCCCCTCCCCCAGGCTTCCGCGGCCTGCCTGGGGTTTGCTGAGTCAGTGGCAGCCCCAGTGGCCTGTTTGTGCTTGGCGGGGCTCCTCTCTGAGGGACAAACCTCCAGTGGTGTTCTCTCCCTTCACGGGAGTGAGGGTGGAGGCGAGGCACGGTGGAAACTGCTGACCTCGGTCTTAGTGCTCACTGAGTTCTGAGGAGCCTTGGAGCCCCGGCCTCTCAGGCTGGGGTCTCTGTCAGGAGGACTTTTCAGAAAGAAATTATTCCTGACAGTCAAAAAATCCACCTCTCTCTTAATGCTTTAAAATGTTATAACTTTGGAAGTTAACACCTTAAAGGTCTTAAGAATAGTAGAAGATTCTATAATAGCCTACAGCTCAGAATCTAGTTCTGTGTTAATTTGGAAAGAAAGTGGTTGGTGTTCAGTACTTCTTTGAACCAGAGCATACTACCTACTAGCTGCATTGCTCGATTTTTCACAAAATGTTACATCTTCATTTAAATCATAAGGTTGAATTATATTGCTGTGAAACTTACCAGTGTTCCCTAGAATAGCTTGGTAATAATTTCTGTAAGAAAAAACAAGTGGTAATAAAAATTATTTCCATTACAGGAACAGAAAAGAAAGATAAAACCAAAACAAAATTCCAGAATATATGATGTCATTATGACCGAAAATCATGTATTACACACATACTTCATATTTTTAATTTCATTATAATAAGTGGTCTTTCCTGTTATCCCCATCGGCATGTTACAAAGATAAATACAGCCTCCGCTCTCATTATTTTTAACCACAGAAATGTGAACTGTTGATGTGTTAGAGTTTAGGGACTAGGAAGCTGAAAAGAAAAGTTGAGTTTTATATATCTTTTGGAAAACAGTATTGCTTTATAAGTGGACTTAGAATGAGTGGGTGGTAACAGAGTGTTCACCTCAAAGAGTGTGCAGCCCTGAGCGGCCGACGCTGGAGGAGAGCAGTGCTGGGTAAAGCGCGCGTGCAGAGGACTGACCCGGGCGGCTTGCGTTTGTGCAACCCTTTCTTCCCCTAAAAACCCCAGCTTCACCTTTGGGTAATATTTCTCAGAATTCAGAACTTGTTCTTGCCTTTCAGAAAACTGAGGAATGGGAGAAACATAAGACTGAAGCAGACATGGAAGAGTATGTATGGACAAATAGCTCCTCAGAAAAAAATATCCTGGAAACACTTCTCCAAATTAAAGCTGCGGAGAAAAACGTGGAAGTAAATAAAGAAGAGCTCCTTGGTACTAAAGAAGTTGAAGATTACAAAAAGTCGGTTGTTAGTCTTAAGAACGAGGGGGACAATGAAAACACCCTTTCTCAGTACAAAGAAGCAGTGAAGAGACTGTTAAATCTGACATGAAGTATGTACAAAAATATGCTTGATTTAGTAATTTTGTGATCGATATGTAATTATCTAGTTTGATATAAAATTAAAAATGTTAATAAAAACAGTTCTATTTCAGAATTAAAATTATTCCTTTTATACTGATGCACAGTGGCAATGATTATTCATAAACTTTCTTCTTTATACTCTGTGGCAGTTAGACTAATTAGATCTCTGATTTCTTCTGGTTCTACAGTGTATGATTTTACTTCTACCATAACAACTTCAGAATTTATATATATATATGTATATATATAATATAGTTGTTTTGTTTCTCTACAAAGGAGCATTTATTGGATGCTTCTGAGCTGTAGTTTTGGTGGTTTGGGAAGCCAGGTTTGCCTCACTGCAGTCTACCCAGTGCATTTTGCAGATGCCAGTTCTGATTAGAAACAGGTCGTTGGAAGTAAAAAGTTGGTTCCATTCATCTATTTTGGGGTCACTCTATGTTGATTCTATTCTGTTTAGCATCTTATTTTCTATTTTCTGGGCCTCATTTCTCCAAGCCCAAGTCTGCAGAGAGGTGGAAATGGAGATTAAATGGTTTTCATCTATTGATCCTCCCTCCTGTCCCGTTCACCCCCCCCCCACCTTAGATATGCAGCTGAAGAAAGATGAGGTGTAAATAATGACTTTGAATTTAAATGGAGTAAATGAGAAAATGACTGCTTCCCTAAGAAACCACCCATTCCATTTAGCTGGCAATTCAGTATATTTAGGTATATCTGTAAGTCATTTCTTACTACTTCTGAAGTTGTCCGCATGTGATTAAAATCAAAATAAATGAATTATTGAGTTTATTTGCCTGAGACTTCCTTTGCCTGACAGTTAGACATAAATGAAAGCCGAAAGGAATATCAAAAAAATTGCACAGAAGATTTCTATAAATTGAAGGTATGATTTGTTATTAGCAAGTCGGTAGGTTAGAAAAGGACAACAGGGCTGTGAATACAAAAAAGGAGAGAGGTATGTTTCATTGGATGCAAATAGTGAATGAAAAGCAAAGTAAATAAAACTGAATTTTTAGATCAAGGTTAAGGCATACATAAGTGTATTGAAATGTATTTTTTGAAACACATATAATTAAGGAAAACTCGGCTGCAGAAACAGGACTGAAAGAAGGAAGCATTTTGAAGGAACATGTGAAGAGGCTGTGAATTTGGATAGTCTGTCCTGTAGCAATAATGCAGTGCAGAGACAGGCGGGGCATAAGGATGTGTAATAAAGAATTTGACCTTTCCCAAAGGCCTGCCTCTTCAGCTTCTGGGAGGTAATCTGTGTCAGACCTCACAGAGGTGTCTTTGTTTAGGGCTGAGCAGCTCACAATGGATTTTAGGGTGGGGCTGGCCACACCCGATAATTTTAGGCGTGCCAGAAAAACCAACTGTGTCATCCTTGAGTCATCTGGTAAATCAGTCCACCTGGCAGCTGAGATCAACTACCAGGTCATCAGTCAATCATACCTATGTAATGGAGCCTCAATAAACACTTTAAAACACTGAGGCCCAGGCAAACTTTCCCGGTTGGCAATACTCTGGGCGTGTTCTCAGACCCTGGAACTGGGAGAGTAATTCGTCCTGCCTCCAGGGGTGAGGGGAGTTCACCAGAAGCTCCAGTGTTGAACCTTCCTGGTCTTCATCTTACACGCTTCTTCCCTTGGTTGATTTTAACCTGTATACTTCCTTGGACTGTAATAAACTACAACAGTGAGTGTAACAGCTCTCACTGAGTTCTGTGAATTCTGGTCAACTGTCCCACCTGGGAGTAGATCAGGGAACCCTGCCCCACCGCCGACTTAGAGTTGGTGCCAGAAGTGAGAGTGGACTGTGCCTGCAACCTTTGCAGTTTGGCTCACTGACCTGACGCCTCTCAGACACTCGGTGGCAGAACCTTGGGGCTGTAAGAGTAATACAAACAGCCTTAAAAGGTACCAGTTGCTGTCATTGTGATTTTAACCTTAGTTAAACGACACTGTTTGCCAAGTAGATTTTTGAACTATTCATTGGCCCTTAGAACTATTCATTGGTCCAATATATACAATGAACATTATCATATTCATCCTTAAACAATGAAAATTCTAGGGGACACTTTGCTGTATTGATAGGCAGTCACTTCTGACTTCAAACTTAAGGTACGTAGCTCAGAAGTTGCTTAAACATGTTGGCAAATAAGTCAACCTGTTTTCTTAATTGTAGGGTGCTTTAGCTTGCTCTTTGCACATTTTCTTTACAATATTGATGAGTATTTCGTAATACTGGACCATTACAGACTTAAAGATCTATGTAGAGCGTTGGGAGAGATTTTGGTGTCATGGTTATTTCCCAAATGGGGGTAACAACCTTAGCCTTAGTTGTTGACTGGGCCCTGATATCTTTGTGTCTTAAGGTTTTGAGTTTAAATTCTATTCAGGAGCTCTCTTTGGTCCCCTTTACTTTCATTGAGGATGTAGATTCTAGTCCCAGTTGTGTTTGCCTTTTGGCTGATGCTGGTCTGACTGTCTCTCCAGTCTTAAGTTTACTTAGTTTATCTGATGGCCAAAGGTAGGGGCTGAAAAAGAGAAGGAGTCTGAGTTTGTTTTCTTACAAAGTTAAATACATTTTTCCCAAACTACAGTGATTTCTATGAAACAGTATGAACTTTAAGGAGTGAGTAAAATTCTGAAAAACTCCAAGGAAGAAAAAATTTTCTTTCCCCTAGCCGCTCTAGTTTGTTGGGACACTTAAATAATTTGCATACATTTGAAAGAAGAGCAACCTTTTGAAAGAATGTACGTAGAAATAATTTTTAAGGACAGCTTCCTGAATTACTTATTTAAATACAACTTAAGGATAATTTAAAAGCTCCTAAATAGCAGGGGCTTTTTTTTCCCTAATGTACTAGGAAGGAAATTGAACAAATTTATGACATTATTATAAATAACGAGTTAAGGCAAATTGATTAATATTTTTAACTCTTATTTACGGTTAATATTCTGAGTGAACAGTCCTATTTTATAAACCTTATAATAAGATTTTCCCTTCATTCTTTATGATTATGCCTGTCTTAATGTCTGTTCTCACACTGAAGAGTTTCAGGGCGCTGGCCTGCGAACGGAATGGTTGCTGCATGGTTCCTGGTCAGGGCACGTGCCTGGGTTGTGGGCTGGGCTCCCTGTTGCAGGCATGAGAGAGAGGCCTGATTTGCTGTTTCCCTCTCTTTCTCCCTTCCTCTCTCTCTAAAACTAAATAAAATCTAAAAAAAAAAAAAAAAAAAAAGTTTCAGGGGTGAGATTAAGGGCCTACTGTTTAAGATCACTGGAGACTTAAGTTACAATTTTTTTATGAGTCTTAAGATTTAGGTACATCTGGTATAAGAGGTGGACAGAATTGAAATACCACGTGCCAATATTTGCACCTGGGTAAACAGTGTATACAAATAAGAGACAGAAACTGAAACTCCCAAGCTTTATTCAACAGAAGTCATCGTAGAACTCAAAGATCTCCGTGCCACAATTACTGAAGGGAGTGTCATCTTAAGGAAGTGAAGATGGTTTGAGATTGAGAAGGATTAATCAAAGATAGAAAACTATATAAAAATCAGGAAGCACTTGCTCATGGGTTATTAACTAATAATTTACAGTGCTCTTTTGCTCAAACCACTGTAAGATTTTATTAACATGTAACAATAATTTGACCTTGATGGGAGACAGATAAGATGTCACAGTATTTTTCTCCCTGTATCTTTTTCCCCATGCTTATGACTAGAGGTTTTTAGCCTAACAGTGATTTTGACAATGGACTTTTGAACAGCTTGCCAGTTAACTCCTGGCTTCACTTTCTTATTAGCAGTGTGACTTCAGACAAGATACTTAGTCTCTCTTCTCCTCAGTTCCTTCATCTGAATAATGTGATTATAATTGTATAATGGTTAATAATATACATAACTCAGAATTGTACATGTACAGCACTTAGAACTACATCTCACACGAAGCTTAATAACTGTAGAGGGCAGAATTTTGGAACTTTGTACACTATTCAAAAAAATGAAAACAATGAAAATGCAGTTATGTTTATGAAGCATTACCCTTTTGTAGAGATCGGTAGGAGTGGGCAGCCTATGCAATTATTTTTTTAAGCAAACTGCCCTTGTCTTGCAGAAAACTAAAAAGGAAACTCTGGAGAGCTTACAGTCTTTTACAACTGTCACTATTAAGAGCTGTCCTTCAGAATGTAACTTTTTTGAATTTGCCTGGATCCTGACTTTCTCTGTCCTGGTTTATACTGGCCCTGCTTCTTTCGACAGCATCCAGATACCAGGATGACAATACAACAACAAAGAAAGGTGACAGAGGTACAAAGGGCCACGGGTATCAGCCACATCTTTGAAGTCCCAGATGTCCCATTAGGTGTTTCGTTTTCATTCTCAGATGTGTGGTTTCTGCTGTTGTACCCTTTGGTTTTGTTCAGCAATTGCTTGTTGCTGTTGAGTTGGGATGGAATGGGCATGTGAGAAGGTTTTGTGTCTAAGGGCACAAAGAAAGCAGAAATAGTCTTGTTATCTGGATTGCTGATGAAGTCGGCACTGCGTGACACCTTGTTGACCTTTGTGGCAATGGAATCATTCTGGGAAATGACCCTTGCCCAAGAATCTGTGGTCAATGCCTTGGAGTATCTGGTATGGCTTGCATTTACAACCAAATCTTGACGTGTGGTTGATGATGGAGCCTCTACTGATGGTAGCATTTGGTTTATCATGGTGGTTTGTTGTTTATCTAAATTCATAGCTTTTAGATTTCTTAGTGTGTCCCATCTATTAGATGAAAAACGGGTATTTAGATATGTGGGAGGTGAGTGTCCAAAAACCAGCAAATCTGGATCTATACCTGAAAGGTAAATAAAGCATTATTCGTTTTATTCGACTAGTATAGCCACTATGGAAAACAGTCTGGCAGTCCCTCAAAAATTAAGAATCGACTTACCTTATGACCTGGCAATCCCTCTCCTGGGTATCTACCTGAAAAACTTGGAATGTATATTCGCAAAAATATATGCACCCCTGTGTTTAACAGAGCACTGTTCATGGTGGCCAAGAAGACGTAGAGACAAGCAAAGTGTCCTTTGATAGAGGACTGAATAAAGAAGATGTGGTGCATATATACAATGGAATACTATTCAGCCATAAGATGAAATACTGCCACTTGCGACAACATGGATGGATCTTGAGAATATTATGCCAAGTGAAATAAGTCAGTCAGAAAAAGCTAAGAACTGTATGATTTCACTCGTATGTGGACACAGACAGCAATATGTTGGTTGCCAGAGTGGGGTGGCAGGGGGCTAATACACGGTAACAGAAGGTCATTTGACTTTGGGTTGTGGGCACACAGCCAACATTCAGATCTTGTGTCATAGAAATGTACACTTGAAACCTATATGATCCTATCAACCAATGTCATTTGGATAAGTTTAATAAAAAATAAAAATATGAATAAGAGAGAACCATGAAGTACAGTTTGGAGAAGTCTTGGGATTTGCTGCCATGAATTATTGAACTATGATAATTGCTCACTTCAGAAAAGCTTGGAAACATACTGGGCACATTTGAACTTAACTGTCTAGGACACTTCCTGTTAAGAATGGGTTTGACTGCATCATGGAGAGCACTTCCTGTCTGCCAGGGCCTTGGGGCAACAACAGTGAGTGCTAGTGCAAGAGCTATGGACACAGGAACCATCTGAGATATCTTATGGCGTTTTTAAATAAAGAAACAAAAGAGGGCCCAAGCAGTGTAACTGTATTCAAAATCATGAGCAAAGCCCTAAATCTCATCCCTTTCCTGTACCTGAGGGTCCGGCCTTTGTCTTCCGTGTTTTCTCTCTTCTTGAAAACTAACCCCTTTTCCTCCGACTTCAGACATGTGTAAATACTGCTTTGACTTTCAAGGGGAAGAAATAACTGAGCAGCTTTCCAGTTGTCCTGGGTATGATGTCTGTCCCTCCCTCCCTTCCCATGCATCCCAACATGCATTTCTTTCCTTTCCTTTCTGCCTTTGTGTTTTTTTGGGTTTTTTTGTTTGTTTGTTTGTTTGTTTTGCCTTCAGTCATCTTGTTTCCATCCTAACGATTCTGTCAAAATTGTGCTTCTGAGATAATCAGGAGTTTCCTCATGTCCTGATCTCTTGTGTCTCATTGCTTTGGCTCCATCTTGTCTTTGATAACAGCTGGCCACCCATTCTTTTGAAATTCTTCCATGACTCCTAGGACCCTCGAGTGTCTGCCTCTATCTTTTTTTTTCTTTGTTTTGCTAGTTCTCTTCTTGGCCCCAACTGGTTGTGCGGTTTCCACAATCTGCAGTTCTTGGCCTTCTGCTGTGTTTTCGTTGCATTTCATACCCACTCCCTCCAAGAAGCCTATTCTCATCAGCTGTCACCACTACATTAATGGCATGCACCATCAGTGTTTCTCTCATTCTTGAGCTCTGATCTCATTTCTCCTGTGTTCTATTGGGGGTGGACACCTCGCGTCATCACTGAATGTCCCCCAAGCCACAACCACTTTGTCTCTTTGTTCTACTCAGAGGCATCACTGTCCCATCAGCGCCCATGGTGGAATCCGTTCTGCAAAGTGACATTTGATTCTTCTCTTCCTATATCCAAAAAGCAACTGCTATCCAATGCCTTCCCAATATGCTGAAAACCATCCCTCCTCTTCGCTGCAACTCCCATGACCTTGTCGAGAAAAAGCCTTGACTATATTTCCTAACCTGCCTGCTGCATATAATGTTCTGAGGCTAAGGTAACCATACACTTTAATGATGGCATTTTATCATTTAATACTTTTGTTGGTTTCTAACCCCACTCTGCCCTCAGCCCTTTTGTTACCTGGCCTACCCTTCTTGCCTTACCTATATTTTTGGTGCAGCCCCAAAGGTGCCCTTTATTGTTGCCGGGCCAGTTTTATTAGTTTCCCGTGGTATAATACAGAGCTAGTCTTGCATTTTCCCTGGAGCCTCTGAATCATCTAGCTTGCTTTAGTCCCCACTTCTTTTGAGCCTTTGGACTTGAGGCAGTATCACACGTTACTGTGTCTAATAATGCCGTGCACTAATTGTAAGACCTGTCGCATCAACTCGATCATAAGGGACCGGAAAGCAGACACATGCTGCAATCTTCTGCACTGCTGAGCACAGCCTGGAGCATTAGCTGTTCAATAAGTACAAATTGATAAATTACCTCTGTTGTATTTTGATGATAAAAACCTATTTTTTCATGTTTACTAATTTACACGCTGAGATTGTTACATATCTGGGCAAAGGGCACTTAAGTTTTTTGTTTTCTAAAATAAAATACACTGGTTATCTTGGGGCCAATGATATACTAATGTATGTAAGTGATGGTGCATAGAATCTGTATATTCAGTGTCAATTGTCCCCAAAACTGCCAGTAAGCTTATTGTTGTTGTTGTTATTATTATTATTATTTCTTAGTGATATCCTTAGCAACTGCAGTAAAAATGCCTACTTTGGCTCTTGCTGAGGACACTTGAAACAAATGAAATATAATGCTTAACATCTTTTTCAATGACTTGATTTGATATCATTTAGAATAAACTTATCATTGCTGAACTTACCATTGCTGAACATGTCAAACTAAAGAGAATTTCCTTTTAGTTTTCTATCTTGGATGCTCAAAACTTTTCTGCTCTGAGAGAATTCACTGAAAAATAATGATTTAAAGATTCACACATGGCTACTGCCAGCCAATTTCCAGATTATGCCTCCCCTGGGATATTACCCACATTCTTCAAAAGACAAACAAAACGCACAAATCCTTACCGTCTGTTACGGTGTACAAGACGGCACTGGCTTCAGGCTCCAATATGCAGCTCTCCATTGTTGGGCAGTGAATGTGGAGGCAGTTGATGTCATCATGAATAGGATCGTGGTAGAAGACAGCCAAGTTACAGGCCACTGAAAGGGAAACAAGCAAAGTACCCCTGCAGGCGGCCCTGATTTCTACAGGCTGATGAACTCTGATAACACATTTCTTTCACGAACATTAGATTATCAGTACTCTGCAGGGCTATCGTCAGACCTTTCACAGAACACTATGAACTACAGTAACCACCCTTTTAAAAGAAAGTACATATGTATCAAATATACACATATGTATGTAGATATGTACACACATATATCAGATTTCTAGGTGGAGTGCCTTCTCAGAATGCGGAAGTAGTGGAGTCCCCCGGAGTCCACTCTTCTGTTACATATACTGTGACAGAAGAGGGAAAAACAGGGCAAAAACAGTCATGACTACATTATTGGGAGAGGCCAGATCGTGGACAGGCAGCTGGCCTTGACCCTGCCTGCAGGTGTGCTCTGGTCCCATGTTGCAAAACGACATCCGATGAACAGCCTAATCAGTGTCCTTCAAGGGGGAGAGGAGTCGACAGTTCACGATGTTAGCATTTGGATTTTAGTGGGCAGGAGTACAGTACTTGCTCATCCTATCTCCCTTTTTTCTAAGTAAGTTTGCTCCTTAAAATACATCCTGTTATTTCTGGAAAACCTTAAGTCACCCTTGTTAAATGCACATCTTTAGTCAATCCGCCGGAAGTGCAACATATGTTTCCCTGCTGCAGTGCAGTAGAAACCAGGTGATGGGAAAGATCCATTAGCCAGAAGGCATCAACTTCTTTAATGAAAGAAGGTTACGGAGCGATTGCATACGATTACTAGACCTGAGAGACGCCTAACGCTTGCTGTGGAATACCGTCGCTGAAGGTGCACTTCCCCTGCCTAAGGTTAACTTCGGGGAGCCGCACCCCCCTCCCCATTACTCCCGGGATACCCTGTGTTTCTGAACGCTTTTCTAGTAGGAGAAAGAATAGGACAAACGTCAAGAATACATTGTTAATACATTTTAGGTCACAAACATCCCCTGAGGCTGTGCTGCAAAGTTTAAGCGGAAAGAATAAAAGGTATTCATTCAAATTCAGACAAATTTCTGATAAGAAAGTTGATGCTGTAAGGAACAGTTTTTTAAAAGTGTTTTATATTCCCCTGTGTGAACATTTTGGAGTCCCCTCTGAGCAGGTTAGCTAGTGCAGGATTGTGGAATTTGTAAGTTCTCTGGCTTCCAGCTAAAAACTGGGAAGTGTGCTTGTGCCCTTTCTTCTGGGGAAAGGCACAGCTTGAAGCTACAAAGGCTCTCAACTCAGGGAACTCTCCTGGACAGTGCCCTGACATTCCAGAAGCCATGGCCTCCCTGGGGTTGAGGGGTAAATTGCTGCCCTGAGAAAATGCTCAGGTGGTACTGCCCCTCCCCCACTGCCCCTCAGTGAAGGTTTGCAGAATTAGAAGCCTCCCTAAGGTGAAAATCTGGATTGGCTACCTTTTCAAAAAGATTTTCCTTTAATAAATTAATTCCTCTCTTCAGTGCCTGATTAACTTCTGAGGACTTAGGCTGTGACAGCTTCTCACACTGTGGTCTTTTGACAGTTTATTTATTTTTTTATTTTTTGACAGTTTAGTCTCTCTAAGTAGCTCCATTTTGCACCCCAGAGATCTTGCTTGCATAATTCGATAGGAGGCACAGGCAATTTATAAGTCAGAATCGACAAAGAGGATTACTTTAGAGTGTTGTTTTGCTTTGTTGTTTCTTTCTGACTAGCTTTAAAATCTTGGAAGAATGAAAAACAAATGAAAGAAGTCTTTAGGTAATTGTAACTTGACATTCTGTAACAATGAAATATTTTCCTAAGTGCAGGCTTTGGTAGTGTTCTATGGATGATATTAAACCCTAATTCCGGATTTCAGACAAAACATATCTGTTAGGATATTTTGAAAATTAATCTTTCTTTCTCCCCTCCTTCTTCCTCTTTTTTCTATTTGCAATATAGCTCCCTATTTGTTTCAAAATAAGAACCACAATCTAAATTCCTGTTCAGTACATCCCACCTTTGGTCATTGAAAAAACTTGAAATGATACTAGTATCACCAAAAGAACTTTGAAAAGAAAATTATTACGAACATGTTTGAAATTAAATATGCTCTATTTGGGGCTGTAGGAATATCATTAGTTGGCACCTGAAGAAAGATTTTCACTTAGCACTTCAGAGAACGGAGGGCCCGGTTACCCGTAGGCTCCATAGCATCCTGGGTCATTGCCAGGTTTGTAAACGGAGCCACACTGTCCCCAACTGCAGTCGGTCCAACGTCTCTCCCTCTTCCCTCCTCTCCCTCCTCTCAGGGCATCTATCTTTCCTAGTTGCTTCCAACTGTTTACTGGACCCTCTGCCCAGGACTCCTTACTTAGGTCTTCATTTTGGAAGTTTCCTCTTATTTTTGCTCAGACATAGTAACACTTACCATCCTTCCTAAGGCAGCAGCTCCTACTGCATTTCTGGCCCGTGCTCTCTGTGTAGTATCTCAAGAACTGCGCACCCATCTTCTGAGACTCCTCCAGGTCGAGCAGAAGACCTGGGAAACGGCGGATCCAGCAGTCTCTGTAAAAGATAGTGGGGGAGCAGAGAGCGTCCGCGGTCCAGCCCAGGCTCAGGAGCAGTATCACGTCTGCTGCCACCACTGCCACATGCATTTCCTTGGTGAGAAGATTCGGCAATAAATCTGACTTCTAGGCAGAAGCTGGAGCTGACCATCACGGTTTAGGACAGTTTCTGGACTTCGGGGCTTTTGCTAAGTAAGGGACAGCTGTCTTGGAACTCTTCTAGAGGGTCACTTTCTAGAATTTCTTCCCAGTTGAGCCCCAGGTGAACATTAGACTCGCTGGCGTTAATTCTGTACAGTTTCCAGGCCATTTCAATACTTTGCCCCTTAACCTGTTAAGATGTGGATTCTCTCCTCTTCTTTTCTCTTTTCTATGAAAGTGGATTGTCACAAACACCTTTTACTAAGTAAATATAAAGACAAGTGGAAATCCTAGCTGAGAGTCTTTCTGAGGAAAATAATAGTTTAGTCAGTTGACGTCAGATAAAAGAAGGATCCATTTCACCAGAAACAAGACATCATTTTGTAAGGAACTTGGGACTACAGATTTTTTTTTCAATTATCTCTTATTTTTTCTTGAATTTAAATTTTAGTATTCAGGTTCACTAGAAAACCAGTTTGTGCACTGGTTTGAAATTTTTGTTTTTACTAAAAATAAAAAATTTTGAAAGTAAATGAAAATGGAAAGAAATGAAAATTAAAAATTTTAATTTTGCTGTGATTTTGAAAACATTGAATATAGATCATGGCTACTTGTCAGGCCCAGGCATATTTTGCCAAGGCCAGCCAAAAGCTTTCTTCAAAGAAGACCACGAAGATTCAGCAAAAAGAATGACCTAATAATGAGGATGGAATATGAATAAGGAGTGTAATTCGCAGTGAAAATTGTGAAGAAGTTCAGATTGGGGGTTGTCTGAGTCGTTTTCTGATATTCATGTTTGCAAGTTATAAAGTAGCCGTCTTGGTAAAGCCCATCCCGAAAGACAGTATCTCTGATTGAAGCAGAAGGATTTGCTAAGGAGTGTGCTTTAGGAAAATGACAAAATGTTTTTAAACTTCTAAGTATTAATAAAATTACTTCAATTGCAATGCCAAACATTTGAAAATACATTAGAGGCAGTGGAAATGGCCTCTTATGTTCATGAAGATTGTATGTTTTATGTCTCATGATATCCAAAATGACATTAGTTCAAAGCATAAAACTGTTGCTTTTTTTATATCCATTTTATACAAAACATTAGTGGCAATCAGCTTCAGGCATAAAGTACTATATTACTCTTTTCTTTAAAAATTTAAATAAACTTTTCCTATCCTGTGGTCTGTATTTCTTTCCTAATTTTTTGCACAATGGCTCATTCACTGACTCGACACAAATATGTAAACATTCTTTGAACTTTCATCTCTCTACCTGCTCTCTAATAGCCTAATTGTCTCATGTCTTGATTTTTAGAAACATAAATATTAGTTATCTATAATAAAGAGGAAAATATTCAAAAGACTGAGTAGCTTTAAAAACAAAACAGTCACTTTCTTCCAAGTAAAAATTGTATCATGTATTAACTCCTAACCTTACATAAGCCACATAAAATACACTAAAAACGATAAATATTTTATTCTAAGGAGCTCATAGAGAAGCTTCAATCGCTTACCTGCTAACAATCTGACTTCCATCTGTTCTGAGAGGAAAAACAAGGATCCTAATGGCAAAGCAAGAGACAGATGAACAAAAAATTACTCCATTTTTCTATGAGATTGCAAAGCTGCACCCTGGGGACATAAACTGGAAAGTCTACTTTCTAACCTTCTAAACTTCACATCTTTCAAGTCACATTAAATGTAGTTTCTTTTGTGTGATATATAATTCCTTGAAGTTCTCATGTTGCCTGAATGGATGATGGAACAATCCACAATTGTTTCATCCTTTTGCTATCGAATGATGTTCAAGTGAAGGTCAAACTTGCGTTTTAAAGATCTACAAATTCCAATGTAAAAGCATGCTTTAAAATTTTAAAAACAATTTGGTAATCGCATAAACATTGAGCCTGGAAATGAGTGACTTTTTAAAGCAAAGTACTTTGAAAAGTGGAGATAGACAGGCCAAGGGCTGCAGGGCGGAGGGAGGAACACCCAACCTGCCGCGGTAGGGGCCCAGAAACATCTGGTTGCAGAATTTGTCCCTGTGACATGAAATTGCAGAAACCAGAAAGCAACTACAACTCTGCATGAAAGGCTAAACAGCTTTTGTACAAATTACATCAAATACCCAGATTCATTGCACGATTTGCAGTACAGTGATATATTGTACTTATTTCCCAAAGGGCACTTTTGAGAGAGGGTTCAGAAATTAGATTTCTACCTTAAAAGCTGCTCATCTTTCCCAAGAGCCTGATTCAGTAGCCCTGTTGTTGGAAGCAGGTTTCTTATTTTTGTAAGGAGGTGCCCCAGGTGATTTCCTAAGATGTTTGAACAACACTGACATAGGTGATGGAAATAAATGGAAGTTTTGTCTCCGTGTAGATGTTCAACCTGATTTAAATAGAGCCATTTTAGGACTGATGTGCTACTTTTAACTGATTTAAATTGCCCCATAGGCTTTAATATAAAGAAAATTTGGTTTTGATTGTTAAAAAACAAAAAAGTTATTTTAGTAATATTGGAGGGACTAAAAAAATAAAGATTATTTTTAAATGGTAGTAAAATAATAACATAGGTTTACTAAATTCAAAAGACATTTGAAAAACAGTCAATATTTCATCGTTTTTTAAAAGGCACTAACTATATTTCTACTTAACAGTTTAATTTCATCACTTGATAAAATTGATGTAAATTCTTTTAAAGAAATGGAGTCTAAGAAATTTAAATGCCATTAATTTTCTCAAAGTGTTTTAATTTTATTAAATTGATGTACCTTCATTTACAAGATCCAAACCATATAGAAAAGTACAAAAAGAAATAAAAACTATTCAAGATCCTATAATCTTAACATTTTGGTAAACATCCTTCTAGATATCTGTAAAAAAAGGATATATATACACAATTTTACATAAATGGATTCATACTCTTCTAGAACCTGTTTTCTTAATCTCGTATAAATATGTATATTAGAGACACTAATATATAAAAATATAAATATGTAAATATTTTACATATGTATATAAATATATAATATTTTTATAATATTTGATATATATTAGTGTCTCTAATATATACAAAATATATATAATAGTATCTCTAAAGAATGACATCTCTTCATCAAAAGTTGTAATAGTTCTATGGTATTTCATTCACCATATGTATGTAAATTTGCTCTACACCTCAGCTTCCTCAGTTGTACATCAAAACAGCATTGTAGTCCCTGGAAAGCCTAGCAGTGCATGGCATATAATGAACATCGTGACATTCAGTAAATGTTAGCTGCTATTATTATACATTGTTTTTCCAATGTTTTATTACTAAAAGCAACATTAAAATAAACACTTGTACTTAGATTTTTTCCCATTCTAGGAAAAAAGGTATATTTTCCATAATTCTTTTTTAAATTAAAAAATATGTTTATTGATTTGAGAAAGAGAGGAAGGGAAAGAGAGAGAGATAAGAGAGAGAAAGATCAATTGGTTGCCTCCCCTGTGCATCCTGGCTGGATTGAAGCAGCAACCTAGGTACGTGTCCTGACGGGGAATCAAATCCTCAACCTTCTTGCGTGCAGGACGACGCTGCAATCAACTGAGCCACAACAGTCAGAACTATTTTCCATAAATTCTTAAAGAAATACCTTAACTCTATGTTTGGCCATTATTTTAGTCTTCTGTAAAATAGATCATGATGTAAAGTGCTTGAAGTTAATCATAGTTACCACAAAGTGCGAGTTCAATGATCAGTCAATAACAGATCTATAAAATTATGCCTCCAGTTACACATAAGCAAAGTTTTCATGAAGCTTAGATAGAAATAGTATTTTTGGCCTTTTGTAAGTAAAATAATTTATATTGCTCTTCTAGTGTAACAGAAAGCTTACTGTGTGTTTTGAAAGTGACGATCTTTGAAGACTCTTCCAATCCTAAATGATGTTATCGTGTCAGGGCCAAAAAGTTTACAGGATCGGTGCCGAGGATTGTCAAACTAACACCCCAGATTCCCTCTCAGAGTTGATCTTGCTCTGATAATGTTACTGTGCATGAATTGCTTTTCTAAAGCACATCATTCTTTGAGCGTGATTTTTTTTTTTTTTTGGTCTGTTTTTAAAAGGCAAGAAAATACCAGTCTGAGGCATATCTATGACAGTTGGGAAACAAAAGCATCTATTGGTGAAAGATTCTAAAGCGACCGAGGAGAGACTAAGAGCCTGTTCTTCTTGTCTGACCCACTGAGCCTGGCATTGTCACTGATGGAGGCACAAATAAATCCCAGGTCCTAGTCTCTTTGAATCGGGGGCACCTCTCAGCACAAGTTCCCCAGCTAAATGCCTAATACTGGATATGGCACTTTATCTTCCGAAAGGGATACCATGCAAAGAGTGGCCATGCAAAATTCATGGTCACTCACCCTCAAGGAGCCTTAGCATGTCTCACCTGCACCCTTGTTGAGGAAAAGTGTGAGGTCCATGTGTGAATGAAATTTTTATCAGTAATGATAACGGCCAGGTGAAACAAGGTGAAAGGCTAGTTTTTAATAGAATCTAAGGAAACTGAAAGAGGCAACTCATAAATTCATCTTTATTTCCTTTACTTTTCTCAGGGGCCCAGAATCTAGTAGAATTTTTGTCCGTGTCTTTAAATTTTACTTCTTTATTCATGGTGTATTATAAAGAGAATAATGGATGACATTACTTTACTATGAAGCAGCAAATTTACATAGAAAGGAGCACAAATAGAACCAAACAACGTGTTGGAAGAATTCCTTTTGCAGATATGGCATTCTTCTCTGGTTAACTTCCTAAGATAAAATGTTAATCACCACCTGAGTTTATCTGCTGTCTGAAATAGGGGAAAGGTACTCATGAAGAAGGTGTTATTTAACAACTTGTCATTCAAGAAGAAAGCTGAAGCTTGTAACAATGAAAACGAAGTCCAAACGCAGACTGTCTCCCAAGTTAAGGACTATTGTAATTGGTTCTCAAACCTTGGTACGGGAAAGTTTTCAAGGATTTTTTTTTGTAAGATAAGAGTGAACACAACCTCTGCTCCCACCCAATCCTACCCCTCCCCAGGATTAATTCTTATCTTATGGCAACTCAAGGTCCTTCGTATTATTTGGCGTGAGCTTTCTATCCGCAATATGTGAGAAGATGGGAAAGAAGTAGTCCTTCCTTAAGTAGTCCTCAGAGAGGAGTGGAGGGGAGGGAAGGATTAAAGGGTGGCAAGAAAAGCCACCTCTGTAGCCAAATATGAACAGAAGTGACCAGACCTTCTGCCCAAAAATAATACTTCATAATGGCCAGCCGAACCGAGCCGAAATAGGGAAAGCAATGACTTTCCCATGTGTCAGAAAATATTTTAAAAGAAGGCACGCAATCTAACTTTAGTTGAGTTGTACTTCTTTCTTTTAATAGGACACATCGGATAACGCCCCGCAGCAGCAAATACAAGCTCCCCTGCTTCCCCATCCTTTATATCGGGTGGACCCCAAGCTCTGAGCCCCGCAGAACCTGCTGCCAACTGGCTGGACTTTCTGCAAGATGGCTCCTACACAATGAGCCCTCCGGACTCAGCTCTAGGTGCCATCAACATGTCTGGAGACAGCCAGTGGGCCGCAGTCCCCAGGGACACGAAGCGGGACTGGGCCAGATGGGTGATCCCAGATGTGATGCCTTTTTGACTCCCTGGACGCCACACTTCTTCATCCTTTCCCCCCCACGCCCGTTTCTTTTGCTTTTTGCCTCTTCCCCACTCTTTCGGAGAGGAGTGTGGAAGAAAAGGCAAACTGGCTTCATCTCGCCTCCCGTCCCCCAGCGTGCATCGCCGCAGACCCCCGCAGGCTGCAGAGCCGCTACGCCCGGCGTGCAGGCAAAGCAGCGGGCCGCGCCTTCCCGCCTCCCCGCCTCCCGCGCGGCTGCCGCGGAGGCACGCGAGGCCCGCGGCCTGCCAGACGCCCCGGGAAGCCGGATCCAGTCCGCAGGTCTGGCGGACCGCAGGGGTCCTGCGGGCGGAAGTGCGAAGCGGGGCGTGGGAGGAGGCTGCAGGCTGGGGGCTGGGATACCCTCCCGGCTGACGCGGCCCGGGACAACCCGCGCGAGGACGGCCGCCGCCTCCCGCCGCCCGGGGCGCGCCGCCGGCCCTTTTTTGGCGCTGAGCGGGACCAGAAGGGCAGGGACGCCGCTCTCGGGGAGCTGGACTGGGCCGCCGCGCCCGGGACCAGGAGGAGGGGCTGCCTCGGGGGCGCCGCCGCGACCCAGATAGGCCGGGCGGGCGCGACAGGGAGCGGGCGGCCCTTCACCGGTCTCCTCCTGCGGGCGCCGTGCCCCGGCGCGCCCAACCCGGAACCCGGCGAGCGCGGGGGCGGGGAGGCGAGCGTGCAGAGCTGGCGGGCACCCCCGCGGCCCCCGGCCCCCCAGCCATGTCGGCGGAGGAGATGGTGCAGATCCGCCTGGAGGACCGCTGCTATCCAGTGAGCAAGAGGAAGCTCATCGAGCAGAGCGACTACTTCCGCGCCCTCTATCGCTCCGGCATGCGCGAGGCCCTGAGCCAGGAGGCCGGCGGCCCCGAGGTGCAGCAGCTGCGCGGCCTCAGCGCCCCGGGCCTGCGCCTGGTGCTAGACTTCATCAACGCCGGCGGGGCCCGCGAGGGCTGGCTCCTAGGCCCGCGGGGAGAGAAGGGTGGGGGGGCGGCCGAGGAGGAGGAGATGGACGAGGTGAGCCTGCTGTCCGAGCTGGTGGAAGCGGCCTCCTTCCTGCAGGTCACTTCCCTGCTGCAGCTGCTGCTGTCCCAGGTGCGGCTCACCAACTGCTTGGAGCTGTACCGCCTGGCGCAGGTGTACGGGCTGCCCGACCTGCAGGAGGCCTGCCTGCGCTTCATGGTCGTCCACTTTCACGAGGTGTTGTGCAAGCCCCAGTTCCACCTCCTGGTGGGGTCTCCTGCTCAAGCCCCAGGGGATGTCAGCCTGAAGCAGAGGCTGAGGGAGGCCCGGATGACTGGAACTCCTGTCCTCGTGGCCCTGGGAGATTTCTTGGGGGGACCCTTGGCCCCTCACCCCTACCAGGGGGAGCCCCCGTCCATGCTCAGGTATGAGGAGATGACTGAACGTTGGTTTCCGCTGGCCAACAACCTTCCTCCTGACCTGGTGAATGTCAGGGGTTACGGGTCTGCCATCCTGGACAACTACCTCTTCATAGTGGGCGGGTACAGGATCACTAGCCAGGAGATCTCCGCTGCGCATTCCTACAACCCCAGCACCAACGAGTGGCTCCAGGTGGCCTCCATGAACCAGAAGAGGTAAGCACCCAGCAGAGCTCTGCTGCTTTCTCATTCGTTCACTTGATTATTAATTAATTCCCCTCACATTTAGTGAGCAGTCCCAGGAGGTTGTGCTGAGGTGGGAATGACACCTTTAGGACTGTGGTTGGCCTTGACCCTGGCAAAGTTCCCAAGGAACTAAGAACTTTGAAGGAAGAAGACGCCCCAGAGAGTCAACTAGCTGAGTAGTTTCCCTGCAGGTATTGTGTCTTTAGGCAAACTACTTTTTTTTTTTTTTGCCTTCATCCCATTGGGGAGGAGGGGACACATATTTTGGTTTCCTAGGATACTTAAAACAGTTCTTTAGTATGGCTTTTATTTTTACTTTTTTTATTTTTATTTTTTAGGCTCTGATCCTCATAATGATGACACATTGGGCAGTAACCTGTAGTACTGACTTTGGGGGACTTTTTGTTGTTAATGACTTTGAAGCCTTCCACACTGAGGCACCAGTCTATTATCAGGAGATAATCATTAGGATTATATTAGTATTACCTGTATAGGATTGCCTTTCTTATTTTTTATCTCTTTTTTGCATCTTCTCCGCAGACAGTCATACTATTGACCCAAAGCTTGCGTCTGGAAGTGGTTACCTACACTACTAGAATATTACGATCCACCTCAACCGTCTCCCTTCCCATCCTTCAAAACCCTCCCAATATGAACTTGGGTGACTTGAGGAAAGGAAGAGAAGACGAGGAGATGGGGTGGGGTGGGGTGTGGTGAGAAAGGAGTCAGGAAAGGGACAGGAAAACGAACACAACAGATAAAGGAAGAGGTGGTAGGAGATAAAGATGGTGGGGACAAAGATGGCCCCATAGCCATTCAGAAGTGGGGAGAAGAATCAACGTAACCCAAGAAAGGTCAAGAATACCCTTTCTTCTAGTCCACCTGTCTCCATCTTCATCCCCACCGTGCTCCCTGCCCTGAAGTATGGAGCAAGGAGTCGGGGACTTACCGCCTGTCAAAGAAAGTCTTAACAGGAATGAGAAAGTACACATATTTACTTCACCTGAAGGGCTCCCCAGGCCAGTGGGGAGCACTAGCTTTATTTCTACTGTAATAGAAAATTTATTTTGGTACATGTTCCTTTTTTTTCCTGATGATTAAAAATATTCTCGAAAACTGGGAAAATGGAAAAGAATAAAGGAGTTTAAAAGCTATCACTCCTACTCCTTCCTAGGGGTAACAACCATCTGCATGTTAGCGTGTTGTCTTTCAACCCCATTTTAGTGCGTTACACCAATGAGATGATATCATGTTTAACATTTGATATCAGAAGTGTTTTTAAACAAATTCTAGCCCTGGCTGGTGTGGCTCAGTGGATTGAGTGCCAGCCTGCAAACCAAAGGGTTCCTGGTTCGATTCCCGGTCAGGGCACATGCCTGGGTTGTGGGCCAGGTCCCCAGTAGGGGGCATGGGAGAGGCAACCACACACTGATGCTTCTCTCTCTCTCTCTTTCTCCCTTCCCCTCTCTCTAAAAGTAAATAAATAAAACCTTCAAAAGAAACCCGAACAAATTCTAGGAGCTTTATTAAAGCAACAAAGAAACAATCAGTGGCTGTGAGTGGTACTTAGGTTCATCCTCGTAGGAGGCCCAGGAGGTTGTCTGCTGCCTCTACTCACGTGTCTCCAGCTTTATCAGCTGGTGCTCAGCATACCTCCGTGAGCTCCACACCCCCACACAGTGCCTCTCTTTTCTTTCTTGATCAGTAAGAAGCTAGGTCTTTTTCTTTTTCTAGGAATACCCCTTTGTCCCCTTTGGGAAAAAAGAGTAGAGCCTGAATACATGTTTAGAAAAATTGCAGATGACATGGAAAACTATAGAGTAAAAAATTTCTGTGTCTAGGCATACTTTTACATTACAAATACATATTAATATTTATAAATAAATGTATATTCACATTAAAAAGTAGACAACAGGAAAATGAATATATGTATGATTGATGTACATGTGAGGTGTATATGTAACTTATACATGTATATTTTTACTGAAGTTATGCTGAGTATTATAGCACTTGATATTTCCACTTACCATGACTGCATCTGAGAGTTCTTTTCTGTATCAACAAACGTAGATCTACCTCACTCTTGTTAATGACTATATAGTATTCCAGCCCATGGATATACCATAAAGTAATTAGCCCTTCCCTTATATGTGAACATTTAGAGTACTTCCATTTTCCATTATAAACAGTGCTATATTGAACATCTTCATATATGTGTGTATACCTTACTAGGCATATGTGAGTTCTGTATAGCAAGTTCCGGGAATCCCTGGATAGGTGGCTGGTGTGAATCTCTCCAAATGAGAGTTGGTTCTTTTCATGTAATTATCGGTCATTTTTATACTTTTGTAAGTGGCCTTTGCCAATTTTTAAAAAATTGGCTTATCTTTTTCATATTTATTTTATAAGTTACGCTTATGGATATCAGTCTCTTCTCTTTTAGGTAATGCTGCACATGTTTTCCCTGCCTTTATTTTACTATAAGGTTCCAAATGCCTAAGGTGACCAAGGACAGTGAGTGGGCATAATGATGAACCAGAGAGCTACTGCCCCACCACAAGAGGGCTCCACCTTTCAGCCACTGCTGGTTATTGACAAATGGAAGTAAGAAATGGTGTTGCCAGACAATTATATATCCTGATTTTTTAAATGTTGGCAGCTTACTCCACTTAAAAACAAACAAACAATAAACAAAAACAATAAAACTTTGCAGCCCAACAACGTGTAGGCCAGCACTGGCCTTGTGAACTTCCAGTTTTGGAATTCAGGTTTACAATGTATTGTTATATGAAGATATTTACAATTTTTAAAAAAGATTTTATTTATTTTTAGAGAGAGAGGAAGGGAGAACGAGAGGGAGAGAAACATTAGTGTGTGGGGTTGCTTCGCGTGCGCCCCCTACCCAGGACCTGGCCCACAACCCAGGCATGTGCCCTGACTGGGAATCGAACCAGTGACCCTTTGGTTTGCACGTTGGCACTCAAACCATTGAGCCACACCAGCCAGGGCTAAAACTTTTTTGTAGACAAATTTGTTAAGTGTTCTATGAGCTTTTTATCTTGCACAGGAAAGAACTGTACAAGCTAGGTATATATAAATACTCATCTATCTCATGATCTAATTTATAATTTTGTGTTTTTACATTTAGATCTGAATCTTTTGGAGATTTATTTTCATTTAAGGTATAGCATGAGGTTGTATAACATATATTCTAAATATCCCAAGAGTCTCAATCCTTTTTGCTCTGATTTGCAAAACCAGTTATTACATGCTAATTTTCCTGTTTTCAAATTGGCAGATTGGCCATTCCTGCATTGATAACACAGTTTTAAATTACGGTAGCTTGGTAATCTATGGGGTGGGCAAAAATAGGTTTAGAGCTATGACAGTCTTTAGAGTTAATAAGACTAATGTAATAATTATAACCTGTATGTCTTTCTCCCATATGAATAACTATAAACTGTGTTTTATTTATTGTCTGGTAGAACAAAGACCTCTTTGTTCTGTTTTGTTCATTTTAATTCTCTTGGCTATTTTTTGCACATCTTCTTCAGATAGGATTTAAAATCAGCTTGTCAAGTTCTTTGGGGATTTTGATTACGATTGTGTAATATTGATAGAATAATTTAGAGAAAGTTTCACAGTTTATAATACTTTACAGCTTGAAAAATGGTTTGTGTTTCTAGGTCTTTTTGTCCTTTGGGAAAGGCTTTTCTTTTTAAAAATATTTGTAGTCTCTGTATATTTATTGTTAGGATCAGTCTTAGATATTTTCTAGTTGTTCAGTTTTTCCTACACAGATACGTTTTCCATTATATTTTCTAATTGGATACCATATTAGAGTTTGTACCCTTATCTCCCTCATCCTTTGGCTCAGATCTGACACACTCTCAAGCAGGAGTCCCTTACTGAACCCTCAGTTGGGTTCAAACTCTGCTCCCCTAGCAGACTTCCACTTGTAATTGAAATGTTATCTTAATGTTTGTCTCTCTCCCTTCCAGTTCGGATTTATTTATGGAAGAGGGTATTTTTTTTTTTAATCCTCACTTGAGAACATGTTTATTGATTTTAGAGTTGGGGGAGAGAGAGGGAGACAATGATGTAAGAGAGAAATACTGATCAGTTGCCTCCCATTCACGCCCCAACTGGGGACTGAGCTCGCAACTTGGATATGTGCTCTGATTGGCAATTGAACCCACAGCCTTTTGGTGTATGGGATGATGCTACAACCAACTGAGCCACCGGGCCAGGGCGGGTCCAATTACTTATTCAGTGTTTATGTATTCCTACTGTAAAGATGGTGTCCAAAAAATAATAGCTGCTTGCATTACATGGTTTATTGACTTATGACATATGTTTTTACTTTATTGTAATAAGAGCCAATGTATAATTTTATATTATTTTAAAATATAACATTATAGTGAACATTTCAATCTTATAACAGTCATTATAGATATTTAGAATAGCTGAAAAATAATGTGTAACATTAAATTGAAAATTTAGTCTGTGCCAACTACTGTTCCTACTACTTTGCGTGTACTATCTCACTTATTCTACACAGGGGCCATCTTAGGCAGGTTCTCATTTTACAGAAGCAGAAACTGAGGCACAGAAAGTTAAATAGATTGCTTAAGGTGTGTACTAAATTAGTAACCAGAATGTAAATATCTATTGAATATGTGTTACTATTTAGATTACTTACAAGTTATAGCTTATAAACTGGCAATGACCATCTTCATGCAAATGTTTAAATTTTCCTTTTATAAGTTGTTTTCTTCCAAAATATGAAGCACAGATATTTTATGGTACTGCGCTGCTCTCAAAATTTTATCACGTGCGCCTCAGTTTCACCACCGCCTTTATGTCCAGCATTTTTCTTGTCACCATTGGATAAACAAAAAAGATGACATGGTTCCTGCTGGAATTTGTAATTGAGTTTATGTGATGAGACAAGTGAAAATGAAACCTAGTTGTTTCTGGCCAGTGCATCCAACACAGGTTCCGGAAGCACTGGGGGAAACTTAGAAGCCTGAGTAAAAATGGCAGATTTTACACACCGTTTCACGTCCATTTTGATTCACTGCCTTTGGGATGTATATGTACTGTTTTTACTTTGACAAAGGGGTCACATGCAGAGCAGCTTGCTCTCCCTGGGCACGGAACAGTGTGATGACCCCAGAATCTTAATTAACGAGGACAGGCAAGAACCCTAGGATTAGGGGATGTCGTAAAGCCTGGTGCACCCTGGGGAATGTGGTGCTGTGTGACCAGCAGTGTATAAAAGAGAAACGGTTAGTGCTGTGCCCACACACTTGAAAATGGCAACGGGAGCCCATCAGTCTTTGAGAGGCTGCTTTCACGTCCAGGTAGGCAGCACTGCCCAGTGGTCTGAACGTGGATTTGATCTCAGGAGTTGTTGGGACAGAACTCTTCACATGTAAAGGCTTGTGTGTCCACAGAATTCCTTGCTTCCCCTCCTTACTTTACTTGGTGATAACTTGCAGAAACTGGCCATTGTGGCCACCGTCAGTTCATTAATTTCTCTGTATCTGATGTTGCCTCTTGTCCCTCCCATTGCCCTGTACTTCTGCTCTAATTGGAGTTGGCTGTGTGCTCCTTTTCTGCCTGTGAATATGGCAAGGCTGGGAGAGGGACAGAACAAACAGCAATTTCCTGGCAGGAGTGGCGTTAGAGTTGTCAGACTTGGCTGTCCCCTGTTCTCTGAGCCACAGCTTAGTATTTTAGAGCATTTCTAGAGACATGGAACCATCAAGAGATTGTGTCCTCTATGGTTAATGTTGCAGCTCTGTTCACTCCCCTGCCCTCAGTATAATTTTGGTCAACAGTTTAAATTGCTTTGTGCACTGGAGTTTCTCAGAGATGGAAACAAACTATCTTGTTTCCTAACTTCTCCCCTCATCCTGGTTTTTGGGGGAGGTTAAGATGTAGGAAGGTGGCAGAAAATAGGCAGCTGGAGGGGAAAGAGGAGACAGAAGGACCTGGGTGACCCCCAGGCTGAGTGGTTGAGAAAGGACTTGAGAAGGGATCGAGCCATTTCTAATTTTCACTGTAACGGTAACAAGCTTTCTATGAAGGAATTCCTAGCAATGGTTTACATCTCTTGAGCTCTTCCTCTGGGCAGTGTATTGTGGTCAGCACTTTAGTTGTCACTTCCTCTTTCATGCTCAAAGCACCTCTGTGAGGTAGGTATTATTATTGGTCCTATTTTCCCAAAGGGGAGCTGAGGCTCAGCAAGTTGAACGAACTCACATACAGTCACAGGGCCAACGCTCTGTGCCGCTCAGACTTCTGTGCCACGCCTTCTGCCTGCTCTTATAACCAGCTATCCTCAGCCATTGATATTCTGTTTGTCATGGTTTATGTTACCTAGCTTTTAAGGATTTAAAGAGATTTTTATTTATTCTAAGTGAAGTGGAAATGAAATCATCTAATTTTTCTCACTATTTACTATAAGTCAAGTATGTAGCTACAACAAACTATCTGGTTTTAAAAATTCTTTTTACCTCCTGAATATATTATGTCAGGGGTCAGTATTAAGAAAAACACTGCAGAGATCATAATTTTAAAAACAACTGATAGCTTGATTCATACCTTTACCATTCAAGAAATGAAGAGTGGAAGAATTATTTTCAAAAAGTTGGAAATGGGACGGTGAATGGCAAGAACTTACAGATGAGAGGGCACTTTGTACAGAATCTCAGAGGACACTACAACCAGTAACGGTTGCAGCCGACAAATGAGAAACTGACTCTCTTGAAGCTGAGACATGGAGGCTTGTGACATGCAGAAAAGCATTCCTCCCATGTGACCTGTTTCCGCAAGTGCTACCCTCTTTAACTCTTACTACCTGCACATAAGGGTTACAAAGGGTTAAGTCTTTTTAGCCTTTCCTATGTGTGACCGGAGGCCCTCACAGGCGGGCAAACTGAGGCTCAGAAAAACTGAGAAGCAGGGGCTTATCCAAGGTCACATAGCTGTTGAGCAGCGGAGCTGAGGTTTCCCTGTACAAACCTGGGCTCACAATCCGTAGCAGTATGCCTCCTCATTAAGTGGTCTGTTTTTGGGTGGCAATTTCATCTTAAAACAAATTCAGTCTTGAAAAATGTTTCCCTGGTCTTCAAGTGAATTCGAGCATGTTGGGGTCTGCAGAGATGGCACTTACTTTTAACTGCCTATTCATTCAGCCTCAAAAAAGAAGCCCCTTGCATCTTTGCTCAGGACAAATGATTATGCTGGATGAATCCTAAAAACTGTTTTGATCTGACAGAATTTACTATCTGTGTACCTATGGGGAGCAAAAACAAATTGTGGGCTGGTGAAATTTAGTGCTTATTTACAAGCTTTATTTCCTTTGGTTCCCCAAATTTACGCACATGGAGAGGGCATCATGGTCAGATTTTAAGGACCATTGGCAGCAGGAAACGTAAGCAACATGAACCAGGGACCCCCCAGTAACTGCCACCTCGGTGAGGTCTGTTGGCATGAAAAATTGAACGTCTGGCTGGGTTTAATGGACAATATGGGCTTCTTGATGAAGAGTACTCTATTCACCCTCTGATTTGAAAAACAAAACTAAACTAAAGCTTATTTAAGTATAAACATTACAAGCACCTTTAAAAACCTGAGTCACAATGCATTAGTGTTTGTTCACCGCCTCTTAGGAGATCAGGCATGGACTGCGGTGCGCTGCTGCTGCTGCTCAGCCCGTCCTCTTACGCACCTTTTCATGCGGAGCCACTATCCCCATTCTTTCTTCAGATATTGTTACTTTTGAAGAAATCATTGTGTTGGCTTTAGGTGGCCTCTAAATTCATCTGGTCTGGCCCCTTTTATTTCAGATACTAGAAAATGGAGGCATTGGAATATTAATATCTTACCTCTGTGCAGGACTTTGTGATAAACTGTTCGCTCTAATTGTCCGGACCACCCTGTGCGGGGTCCAGCCCCCTGCTAGAGAGGAGGAAGGGGAAGAGGTGGATGGGTCAGGGAGCTGGTTATCTGCAGAGCTGGGATCACACCTGGGTGTCCTGCTTCGGGCGCAGGACTTTCTGTTGCTTCATACTGAAGCTCTTACTGTTGTATACGGATACTGTTGGACATATGACAGTAAACTGACCCAGCGCTTACAAGTGCTTATGCTTCCAACTGTTTATGCTTCCAAGGAGCTCATTAATCCCCATGTGCTACAATGAAACTAATTTTGTCTTACATATCAATTCAAAAGACATGAGGCCTTTAGTGTCTGAAGCCTGTGAGCAGCGTTTAATTCTGTTACTGAGTATGGGGCTTGAAACTAGTGTATTTCTCTTTTTTCTTAAATTAATATTCCAGTAGGCGAACACTTATTGATATAAATATTTGTTGAGTTAACATGTAAATACCCCAGGAATGCCTGATCAAAATATGTTTAACCAAACATATTTTGTCTTGACAAATATATGCTTGTCCCCCCACCTCGCTGGCTATAAAACACCATATAAGATGCCCTCCTATGGAGGAAGGAGAAACAGTGATCTCTTTGAGTAAGCGCTTGTAATGGGGTCTTGGAACCACCAATAATTAATTAATTTGTTAATTGTTTTTAAAGATTATATTTATTTATTTTTAGAGATGGGGAGGGTGGGAGAAAAAGAGGAACAGAAACATTGATGTGAGAGAGAAACATCAATTGCTTGCCTCTTGCACACATGTGCCCCTTGTGTGGACTGAACTCACAATCCAGGTGTGTGCCCTGACTGGGATTCCAACTGGTGACCTTTCACTTTGTGGATGGTCCCCAACTAACTGAGCCACACAGCCAGGGCTGAACTGCCTTTTAGCACCACACTTTGCATGTGCCTGTCTGTGTTAGCCATGCTGGGGTGTACCTAGGATGGAGCTTACCCATGTGGTAGGAAGAATGAGATAAACATTTGGAGTAGAGAGAGGCAGGGAATGACGTGGGTACCTTTCTCCCTTACCACTTGGTCTTGCTCCTGAAAATAAGGTATTGAGTTTAGTGTATACAGAGTGTCCTCGGTTCTGTTGTAAGGCTGAGAAAGATCGGCCCTTGTTAAAGTGAATTGCTGATCTTCAGTTGCTAAAGTTTAGAGCCTGCAATATTCTTGTGGACTTTTGGGGACAGGAGTGAAATTTGAGATGTCGCTTGGTCACTCCTCTGTCCCCAGGCAGAAGGGCAGCCCACTTGGAGAGTGAGTTTTCTTCAGTGGGCCCGCAGGTTCCACACTCTGTATCATCTTACTGTTTAATGATCAAAAAGGACTGACTTTGTGGGCCCTTGTGTTCTGTCTTACAGATCTAACTTCAAACTTGTGGCTGTTAATTCAAAACTCTATGCCATTGGTGGGCAGGCCGTTTCTAATGTTGAGTGTTACAACCCTGAGCAGGATGCGTGGAACTTTGTGGCACCCTTACCGAACCCTCTGGCCGAGTTCTCTGCCTGTGAGTGTAAGGGGAAAATTTATGTCATTGGAGGATATACGACCAGAGGTAAGTGGCGGGCCAAGTGCATGGCCCTCTGATATGTCAGCTTCAGCAGCCTGGGGAAGGGTGGAGGGTGCCAGAGAAAACGCGCCAGTGTACCCAAGGGTGGTTTGGTACATTACGTACTGGGCATGTACACATCTGAAAGGAAGCCAGCCCTGTGTGACAAGGGGGGCTTGGGCAGGAGGAGCCTTTGATGCCTTTGTGTGAGCATGAGAACTGAATGGGGTAGGGGGAGCTGTGAAGAAAACAATGGGTTTTCTTTCTGCCCTGGAAAGCCAGCCTTGTAGCCTGTCATCTTATGACTTGGCTGGTAGTTCCCATCCTTTCCCCAAACGCACCCTGGATCTTCCCTGTCCACCGCTGCGGACTTGACTGCCTGACCCCCTCGCAGTCTGTTTTCATTCTCTCCCTTCTTGGGCACACACACATGAGCTGTTGAACAAGCTCAGGTCTAAGCCCTTGTTCGCGTACCACGGGAGGAGCAAGAAGGTGATGTTAGAAGATTCTTTTCCGACCGGTGGTGGGAGGTAGTTGTGCGGTTTATTTAACAGTACATAGGTGTTTTTCACATTTTTGGTGGGCATTTTATAGTTCATAATTTGGAGATAAACGTTTCTCCAGCAGGTTTTATTGTGCTGTTCTTAGTAGGAAGCCTCTCGCTTGTTACTGGCAGAAAACAGCTTGCGGTGGTGAGACAGGCGACGGTGGACCGCCAGGGAGAGGTGCCTGTGGTTTTATCTTTCTCCCCCACGGAAAGCAGTCATTTCCAAGTTATCTCCTGGCCAAGGGAATGTATTTCTTCATTGGATCTATCTGACTGCATAATGTCTGGAACTTACAGAAAAGGAATAACTGGACTCTTAGGACTTTTAGCCATGTTGAAGCAGTGGAGGTACCACTGTCTTTGCCAGAATGAAATAACCTGTCCTCTGCTGTGTGGCACGACGTGGGCGGGACAGCTCCCCAGCCCCGGCTGATGACAGGCATGGGGGCCTGATGCTGACGGCCCCAGGAAGCAGTACACGACCGTGTGTAACTTTGTACAGGACAGAAATCCATGTGCTAAAAACATAAGCGTAGGTGACAAAAGTTGTTTTCACCATAACCAAATGTGTCTTGTTTTGAGGATTTATGTTAGAGGAAAAAGTCCAATGTAAGGACTTCTTCCTTACAACTATGAACTATGAACATCTGATTTACTTGTGTGTGTATGTGTGTGTGTGGGTGGCAGCAAAAGATTCTGATTAATTCTTCTCACAGCAAATCTTTAGACAGTTGATCTGGGGGGAAGGATGGTGCGTGCTGTTTTAGCTTCCTGTGGCTGATTTAACCGATGGCCACGGACTCGGTAGCCTACATAGTTCTGGAGAGCAGAAGTCCTAAATCAAGGGGTCGGCAGGGTCTCACTTCCCCAGAGCTCTCTCGGGGAGACTCCTTCCTTGCCTCTTCCAGCTCTGGTGGCTCTAGGTGGCTCCAGCTCCTGGCTACGTAATGCTGATCTCTGGATTTGTCTTACGTGTCTTCTCCTCTATGTGTCTGTGCCTTTTCTCCTTCCATCTAAGAACATACTTCTCATTGGGTTAAGAGCCCACCTGGGTAACCCAGGATGATCTGAAAAGACGCTTTCTCCAAATAAGACCACATTTGAAGGTTCTGGAGGTTGGGAGGTGGACGTACCTTTTTGAGGGCCCTCATTCAACTTACTACCTGTGGTGTGTGTGCCTCCACATTTACGGAGAGGCTGTGACGAGGAGGTTGTGCCTGGGCAGCAGCGGGCTTTGCTTCTTCGCCAAGTCTCCGCCACTCATGGGGCTCTTCCCCCATCCCTCCCTAGTGACTCTCCACTGAAGGTGGTTACCAGCTGTTCCTTTACAAATAATTGGGGAAAAGAAATGAGACCTGGCACTCAATTCTTTTATCTTCAACATTGGTGTTCAGGCTACACTGGTCAACTTTACATGCTTAACTAAACCGTAGCCTCCAGAGAATCCCCGTGCGCACATGTATCCCTGCGTGTCTGTGTGTCTTTTCTCCTAGGGATGTGAATACAGTTCCTTGCTTGTGAAGGTTGCTAAGAATTGCGATTCCCCCCCAGGCTTTGTAACACAGAGTGAGCCCCGTGGGCTGCCTGCGCGCACGCCCCTCTCGGCCCCTCTTCTGGGCAGGGGCCGCAGCCTGGCCGCCGCCCTGCGCCCCGCAGCGCTCTGCTGGTAGACGTGCTGGTTTTTCCATGACCCTGGCCGAGTACGTGTTCTTCAGATTTGACCTGGAAAACCCTTGCTTGTGTGTTTTCTAGTTTCCAAAGCCACTACTAACGTACCTTTTTGACTTGGGCCACCCACTGTGAATCCTGTCCCAGTTTCCCCAAGCCAAATACTCTGGACGGGGTGGCGAGGTGATGGGGATGGATGGGTGTTTGTGGAGGCGTTGAAAACGAGTTTTCTAAGATGAGAGGGCAGGACGGTTGCTTGTGCTCTGAAGTCCTTCTTCTCCTCCGCTTAGGCCCCTCCCGGTCCGTCCTAATAGTTCTTTGTACACACAACAAATCGTAATGGTCATGAAAACTAATTCAGGACTTAAAATTGGGCTCTTAGCCTGCTGACTTCTTAAGCGAGACTTTTAAAATTCAGTAAGTTATAGTCCATGCTTTTTATGGTAGCTCTTTGATTATTATAATTCTTTGGCAGGCACTGAAGAAGTTTTAAAAAATTCAATGGAAAGTAATAGTAACCACTACAGGGAAGAAGGGTAATTTGCTAAACTTCAGAATCAGCTTTAAGTGTAAAAGCGAAATGATCATTCCTCCAACTCAAACCACCTCATCATGGTCTGAGCCCTTGTTGAGTGAGGAGAGAAAACATTTACAGAAGACCTGGGAAGACCTTCAGACCTGGAACTGAGAAATACATTGAAGCTTCCCTGGAATCAGTCCTTTATTCATGCGATGGGAAGCCAGGTTACTAAGCAGCCCTTTTTCATAGATTAGCAACCGAACTCCTTTGGGTTGTCTTCTAGAATGAGCTTTATCACAACAGCTATAAGAAAAAGAAATACAGGGAGGTAGCAGCATGGGTGGAAGGCAGGAGGACAGTTCCCTAAAGCTACAGCAGTTCTGAAATTTCTGCAGGCTGGGGGCATGTGCATACATGGCGTTGGCCTCTTTTCCGTTCCCTCTGTGCCCCCTCGGAGGCACTTGTCTTGGTACGAGACACAGTGGCGGAGCTCTTTGGTCATTGCTCTCTGTGGGGCTGTCCTTCTGTCTCTGGGGAAACGCTGCTCCCAGCTTCTGCAGCCATCAGAATGCCGTGCACTTCAGCTGTGTGTACGGTCGGTTCCCAAGGTGCACTGTCTCTTATACTGATAGATTTTGTTGTTTCTTTTTAAAAAACAACACAACAACAAACAGTTCATTCTTTCTGATAACTCAGCATTTTCCCCCCTGTGAAGCTAAAATATTGTATTTATTCTTCCTCAAGGAGAAAAGGAAAAAAGAAAAATGAAACTAGGTATTTTAAATTTCACAAGAATTTTTTAAAAGGAGAGTAGGCACTGTTTTCCCTTAAAACAGTTTATCATTCAAAATAACGTCAAAGCAAGCAGTCTTTCATGGGCTATCTGATTTTACCCACACAGTAACTATCTCCCGTGAGATGGGCCGGGGAGAGGGAAGGGCCTTTGTTAGTGTGCCTCTGGCGTTCCAGTTGGGAATAGAATTGCCAAGGGAGTCTGTGACTTGCAGGCCAGAGGTGAGACTTGCATTTCTCTGGCACTTCTTGCATTTCTCGTGACTTGCAACTTTTGTGTCCTTTTCTTCTGACAGCCCCTGAAAATCCTGCTTGGCTCACTTGTCTTGTTTAGTAAAGTCCGTTGTCAAGAATAGATGCTCTTGGGGCTCGGCCTGTCGTCTGCACCAAGTAGTCAGTAGTCTGGAGGTATTGATGAGGATTCTGAGGTTCTGGTTCATGTTCCGTTGATCGGCCTGGTGGTTCTAAAAGGTGTAAGGGTGCTGGGGCGGGGGCGGGGGCATGCCCAGACCGCAGATGCTCGTCTCCCTGGCCTTGCTAATTAGGAGAGCCCGCCAGGGAGAGGACGTGCAGGAATGCGAAGTGAGTGGAGGCAATTCTAAATGGATCTCCTCCCAGCCATTTCTAAAAACTGTTCTCCCAAGCTCTGCTTTTCTGAAATAGCTTTGCCTCTGTGTAGCAGGTTATTCAAGGGGAGGTAGACGGTTATTTTCAGCCCAGGGAGTCCGTGATGTCGCTCAGGACTGTGTCATCCTTTGGCTTCTTTTCTTGTTTCAGACCGGAACATGAACATCTTGCAGTACTGTCCCTCTTCCGACATCTGGACGCTCTTCGAGACGTGTGACGTGCACATTCGCAAGCAGCAGATGGTGTCTGTGGAGGAGACCATCTACATCGTGGGCGGGTGTCTCCATGAACTGGGGCCGAACCGGAGGGGCAGCCAGAGCGAGGACATGCTCACCGTGCAGTCCTACAACACTGTCACGCGGCAGTGGCTCTACCTCAAGGAGAACACATCCAAATCGGGTCTCAACTTGACGTGCGCGCTCCATAATGACGGCATCTACATCATGAGCAGAGACGTCACCCTGTCGACCAGCTTGGAACATCGAGTTTTCCTCAAGTACAACATCTTTTCAGATAGTTGGGAAGCATTCAGGCGTTTCCCAGCCTTTGGACATAACTTGCTGGTTTCCTCTCTTTATCTGCCCAATAAAACAGAAACGTGACTGCATTGACTTAGTATTTAAAAGGAACTTGGTTCAAGACAAAAAACAAAACAAAACGCAAATAAGAACGTGTGTCCCATTTCAAGGGGGACTGATTTCTAAAGGGAAAATATGGGTTAAAGTAAGTCACGTGTATATCAGCTGTAAATAAGCTTACTTGAACTAATTACTTGAAAAGATGTAGAGAAAAGAGACCAACTTTATTATTTTTTAAATTATTGGTTTTTAAATTATGGGAACAAGTCCATGATCATATTTTCATCCAGATATAATACCCTTAGGCCAGTGACTAAAACCAATCATCAGAAAGAATAGTCATTGTGTCTGCTTAGTAAAGGGCCAAATTCAATGGCTGGCATGGATGGTAAAGATGATTTTAAAACTGTTTTCTTCAGGTCACTTGAAATATTAAGTGAAAGTTTTTTTTGTTATTAATTTACTTGACAAACATTTATGGTTAACACTGTTATTTTCCCCACCTCTCGCCCAAGTATACCCACATATCCTTCCAGTGTGTTTAAAATAGGGTCCTGTGTTCAGATATTTCATTTGCACACTACCTCTGAGGAAACATACAGTGATGGAACCCTACAGTGGAACCGTGCGAGGATCCAGTCCTCCCCAAAACGTGCATGAAAACATTCCCAGCTATTTTTCCAGGCTTCTTCTTTTTTTTTTTTAATCTTTACAATTATGAATGCTGAGTAAACAGGCAGATATAACCACTCATTTCATTTACGTGGCAGATTGTGGATTTATGTGGTCATATAAGTTGCATTGCCAGGCATTCTGTATTATTTAAAAGAGGATATAGTGTTTAAATTTAGGAGAGATACATATATAGAGTCTTAAATTGAAATTCAGAAGGGAAGGGAAGAAAATACCAAATAACAAAAACAGTTGCCTTTAAGAGTTACTTTTACTGAATGTATTTGACTTAGTTCTTTTAAGATTTGAAAAAATAACTTTGTCTTTAGATCATGCATCTTTCTAATTTAATTTTAGCCCTGTAATGCATGCTTTGCTTTTGTGGGGTGAGGTGAGCATAGCTGTGCGCGTCGGTGCTGGAGAGAGGGGAAGGCTCGTGCAGAAGCGGAGTGGCGCCTGGTGATTTTTCTGAAGTGAGGTGAGGAGCTCTACTCGCCTTGGTTGTTAAATCAGATGCCTCCCAGTTCAAGCACTTGTTTGGCTTCAGTAAGTCAGTTAACAGTAGATAAAAGCTTCTGCCAGTGACAGATCAGCATTTCTTTAAAAACATACCCACATACTTAAAGGAATTTCATTTCGATTGAAAAAAACCTTCTGAAATTCTCAGATCTTTTGTAATGGAATGAGTTAAACCATGCGCTGGACTCTATCCTTCTGTTCTAACGTTCCCGTCACAGTGTGCCTCGCTGTAAGCACATTCCACAGACAACCAGAGACTGTCATGACAAATTCACACGTTCACCAGACACTTGGCGAGCGCCTCTGTGTGCATTCACGGTGCAGGTGGAGTACAGAGGAGCCGGCTAAGTTAACCGAGTTCTTCAGTTTATCAAAGGAGTCGCTACAGGGTCTCTTTACAATCATGGTCTCCTAGTCTATTAAAAATAGAGGTCTGGTTGTAAAAACTTTATTTGCACAACTTTTCAGGAATAGTAGGTGAAAAATGAGGTCATCCTTTATTGTGGATATGGAGTCAGATCTTTGTAGCTCTTCACCAACTCATCAGTACTCAGAACACTGTTTAAGGGTTTCTAAGCCATATCCATTTATTCTCAAATAGCCTTAAAGAAAAAACGACTATGAGCTGAAATCTTTGTGGGAATGATACTTTAATAATAGGTTTATATTAATTTATATTCATTATAGAACTGAATTTCTAGTGACCTGTACCCCATTATATGTATTTAAAAAAATCTAATTTATTTTAGATAGTGTCAACTTCTGTTGCTACAGAGCTTAACTTTTTAAAAGTCTTAACCTTATATGGCCAGAAGATTCTAGCCAGTTGAAGTAGTTCTGTACAAGCAATTGGAGATTAGCTTGTAAATAACCACATTGTATAAAATGCAGTATTAGGCCTGCCAACCAGTGCTCTTCCTGATTACATTCTTTGGGTCTGTTTTCCTAATGCCAACAATTAGATTCTTGGACCAAGTGAAGGCATACTCTGATCCACAAAAGTCTTTATATAAATAAGGTTTGGTGTGTGTGTACACGCATATATCTGTGTGTATGTGTATGCTGACATATTATAACTCTCTCTAAGATACACAGACTTCTAATAAGGGCTTGTCACTCCGGGCAAGGTGGAATGTGCAATAGGAGCAGGTCAGAGGGTTTGGGACATCATTCTCCCTGCTCTGCACATCAGCTGTGCTGACATTTTGCGGGCCATTTTAATTGGGCTCTGTTCCCTTGTTGGTACTGGTGTTACAGTGAGACTGCCTATGTCAAGAGCAAAGTTGCTTTGAAAAGCTCATCTAATCCCCCAGAATGTTGCTTTTTAATAGTATCCCTCTGTTTTCTTCTTTCCTCTAAATGTGTTGCCTCTCTTTTTTGAGACGCTTCTGTGGGGTGCTGACCTTCCATTATGGGACAGGGAGCTCCGGGAGGACCCCCCGCCATGGTGGCCACCCTGCCAGAAGCCCCCTATTTTACAGAGAATGGTCTGAATGGCAGAGAGTGAGTCTTGAGCATGGGTGGGTGGGAGAAGTGGTCATTGGTTCTTTCTGTCATTCTTTCTGGTTTTCTTTTCAACACCTTTAGCATCAGAGGCCTCTCCCTTTAGTGTTCTTTGAAAGGTTCTGATGAATCTGCAAGAGTTGGTTATTTCAACAGTATTGGATAAGTCATAACAATGAAGTACTGAGAAGGTTATGGATACTAGTACGAAACAAGTGGTTTAAGCCTGAACGCCAAAGAGTTGAACTCTGCCATTTTTTTTTGAACCGAAATCACAAGTAATTCCAAATGCCTTAAATATCAAAGTCATACTCAGATGGACAAAGCTCCTTCTCTACAAAGGAAGTAATCAAGTAAATGCTTGTTCTCTTTCAATGAACGATTACTTGTTGAGCATTGTGGATGCTGTGTTTTCAGCTTCCCAGGTTAAAGTCATGGCTACCTGTTTGGTAATACACGTAGATCGAATTGAAAGGCCTTAGCCTTCCCGGTCACCCAGCATGTAATGGGTGGTGGTTTAGTGCAGACCATTCGAGAGGCAGTTTAGCATTAGAAAGGTAATATGGGGCACGTATTACATTGGTGCCACTATTTTATCAAGGTGGCATTATGAATGAGTGGCACTCCTTTCCTCTGTGCCAGAAATTGGTCTCAGAATCCATGTAATCAGTGCTTCCAGGCATCCGTGACCTGTCCATCAGGCAAAGACGAGGTATTTGTCACCCCTGCCTTAGACAAGTGAATGAATTAGTTGAGTAAATACTACCCAAAGCAGCTTTGAAAGCACTGAGGTGATTGGGCTCAGCTCTCCAGCTCCCAGAAAGGTTTTCTTCATGTCTATCACATGCAAGAAGGCAATGCTAAGAACTAGGGACACAGGTATAAATAAGCACCGCCCCTGACCTTGAAGAGCTTACCACCTTGTGAAAATGTTCATGTGATTGTAACTAGAGTGTCTGTCCTTCAAAGGCGCCCTCTCTGGTCGGGCACACTGGGGGCTCCCTGGCTTGGCAGCCTCTTCAGACCAGGTCCAATCTGTCCGTTTATGATTTAATGTTATGTACCAGCTTTTCTCTAAATTTGAACATAATGTTTTTGTTTTTTATGGTATACTTTTTTCCTCACTACTTTTCACAGTTTTCTCTGTACTTTTTTTTTTTTTTGGAAAAAAAAATTATGTGATCTTTATTTAAAAATACTAGACACTGCAGCCGACAGAGCTGAAGGCTCAGCAGCTGGGGCCCTTGGAAAGGAAGAGCAAAGGCAGGGAAGCCAGTACTGAGGGAGAGGCGAGCCGTTTGTGTGTGCATTTATACCTATGCCTTTAAAACACTTCCATAAAAAGTATTCATAAAGAAGATAAGACACTAGTTCTGACTAAAAGTCAGTTGATTTTGCCTTTGTGTTAACGATCAAAGGGTATTTTCCCATCTTGATGTTTCATTCACGTGTATTTGTTTTTCATTTTCTTGTGTTAACTTTGGAACACGATATGAGATACACACCAGTTGGCACGTGCTGACTTCTGCACTTGACCTAACCATTTTTATTCACTCCTACAGGAGAGAGATTAAATGTAAAAGATACAATTTTGAGGAGCAAAGTGTGCTGAAATTACTCTGATAGGGTTGGCTGGTGCTTTCTCACATGGATGTCCTAGTTAGTTACTAGTTAAAAAAAATGTAGTTTGCATTATTGTGTCATTTGTTTTCTTAAAAAACTTATAGGGGCTCTTTAGATGTCTCTACAGTGTTTTCATATCTAGTGGTCATTTTGGGAAAAATGGTAATTTGTAGAATAGTTATGTTTTGTTATGACCAACACTTTGTTAAAAGAGTTGTATTGAGTCTTCACTTTCAAGTGTGGCTTAAAATGTAAACATTATTGTACGGTTCATTTAAATACAATGATGCCTATGAAGCACTTGCTCAAACAGCATTCATTTTGTGTTTAGAACTCTAGAAGAAAATCTCTTCAAATAAAGTAGTTCTAAATCAGTTCTGTTGTCTGTCAGGCGCTGCGCACCAGCTGTGTGCTCGGGGCTGTGCGGGGCTGGGAGGAAACAGGTGAAGCCTGAGGCAGGCCCTGCGAGGAGAGCTCCTGCTCCACAGGGAGGCCTGGCTCCCACGCGTGGGGCGACTGCGAGGCGGTAACCACGTTGGCAGAAGCGCCATGTGCGGCAGCACAGACTGTCAGAGCTCTTGGACTGTGCCAACGAGGGATCTGGGAGGAGGACTTCTGAATCCTTACAGGTCTGAATAAATGAAGTCGACATCCCACAGCATAGCAGTTAGGACCCACCGCAATCTGTTCCTCTGTTTTCTAGCTTGTCCTCCAGGTTCCTTCTCAACACCCTTCCCTCCAGGAAAACAGAAACACACGACTCCTTGCTTTCCTACTGTGTCGGATGACTGGCCGGCTGGGAGGGGACTGGGGGCAGTGTCACCAAATGGGCTTCAATGACTAGATAGCCATTCCCTTTCATCCTTTGTCCCACGTATAGGAACACACAGGC